ATTGAATTGAATTGGATTGAATTGAATTGGATTGAATTGAATTAGATTCAGAGGAAGAGATCTATGCGGCATTCTCCAGGGAGGCGAGCCAGAACCCGAATTAAAACTCCAACATGTAGAAGTAGACGCTGAATCGACCATTGACAAGGCTGGATAGTCTGTTGTACTCCGTACACTGTACAGTAGGTGAAGCGAAGCAACACCTGCAATAATTAGCTGCTTAGTCAGGCTTTGCTTGGGTGAGGCGGGAAAGTCTTCAACTTCTCCGCAGACAAACAGACTCCGACTCCGAGTTCCAGCTGCGGTTATCCTCGGCTGTCTGGCGGCGGCCGCGCGCCTTCAAATACAAACGGAACGACACAATGTTTCCGATGGAAATCCCGGTCCTCATGCTGGAGAGTAAGACGTCCAGCTCTCAGCAATGAAACCTCTCCCCTCACCGCAGGCCCTACGGCTTCTGCAAGGCCTGATCCGACGCCCATGCCTCGCGACGAGACCTCGACCATGTCCCCCCTTCCTTCATCTGAGCAAGCATTTCCATGCGGCCGCCCGGCTAGACAGGACGGAAACCCACGTACTGTCAGACATTGGCGAAGGGGTCAAAGAAGTCCAGATCATCCAGTGGTTCGTGGAGGAGGGAGCACCCATCGAAGAGTGGAGTCCTCTGTGTGAAGTCCAGAGCGACAAGGCGTCGGTTGAGATCACGTCCAAGTACAGCGGCGTCATCAAGAAGATACACTTCGGGCAAGACGCCGTTGTTCAGGTGGGAGACTCCATGGTCGACATCGAGGTGGAAGGCGAGGAAGGAGAAGGAGAAGTGGAGGACAATGCAGTGCAGCAGCAGCAGCAGAACAGTTCCGACCTTGCCGATGCCGAGCAACTGGCCGAGGGCGGCGGAGAAGCTGTTCGGGAAGAGGCCGAGTTGCTGGAAGAGAAGGCTGCTCCGGGGTTGCGATCCGAGCCGTCAGGGAAACATGCCTCGCTCGCAACACCAGCGGTGAGAGGTCTGCTGAAAGAACACGGCCTGGCCATCGAGGACATACCAGGAACGGGCAAAGATGGCCGTGTGCTCAAGGAGGATGTCCACCGATATCTCGAGAAAGGCTCTGGGCAGCCTTCACCTTCGCCTTCGTCCGCCCCTCCGGCCGCGACCAGGCCAGAGGTTGACGCGAAACAGACCGAGACGCCACAGAAACTGACGCCAGTGCAAGCCGCCATGTTCAAGAGCATGACGGCGTCGCTCAACATCCCGCATTTTCTGTACTCCGACACGGCCGACATCACCAATCTCGCTCTGATGCGAGCCAAGTTGAATGCCGCCCGCAACCCGGAAACGGCGCCCAAATACACATACCTGCCCTTCATCATCAAGGCGGTCTCACTGGCCCTGAACAAATACCCGCTACTCAACGCGCGCTTGGATGTGACCACCGACCCGAAAAAGCCCCAGCTACTGATGCGGCCGGTCCACAACATCGGCATAGCAATGGACACTCCGAACGGCCTGATTGTGCCGGTCATCAAGGCTGTCAATGCACGCTCCATCACCTCCATCAGCCAGGAGATCCAGCGGCTTTCGCAGCTCGGCCAAGCCGGCAAACTGGGCAACAACGACCTCACCGGAGGAACCATCACCGTCACCAACATCGGAAACATCGGCGGCGAGGTCGTCGCCCCGGTCATTGTCGAGGGCCAGCTGGCAATCGTGGGCGTCGGCAAAGTCAAGACCGTTCCTGTCTTCGCCGACGACGGCCTGACCGTCAAGCCTGCGCAAGTGGCCAACATCAGTTGGAGCGCTGATCACAGAGTCGTTGACGGCGCCACCATGGCCAGGATGGCCCAAGTCGTCCAGAAATATCTCGAAGAACCCAGCTCAATGCTGGTCGACATGTCTTGACCGAGATTGTGTCCAAATCTTAAATATGTGCCAGAACCCCCAAAGGGACGTTTCATCCTGGACAATGACCAAAATGATGAAGATAGAGACCATGATTGCTTCCATGAGTATGCCCATTAATTCATGCACCAAGACGGCCACGTCTTATCTCGGGAACCAAAATCCTAGAGACATGGACTATTCCTTGGTACTGAGATGTATCTGCCTCGAAGATTTCATTGCCTCGAGATGGCTCCAGGATCAATATGCGCTACTGCTATCTAACTAGTTATATATTTATATATACTCAGCCCCTGGTTCCGACACAGCTCTGCAGATCTGTGACCGAGAACTGGTTCGGTTCCATTCGGAATGTCCAGCTAGGAACTCCGAACGACGTCTGAGCAGCAGCAGGAGGTGTGTTGTGTTGTGTTGTGTTGTCAAAGTCAAGTCCCTATTGCCCATGCACCTATTGGCTGTAATCTGAGCTTGAGCTTCGATGCCACAGATCGGGAAGTGAAAAGAACGACTGGATCAAAATATATAGTTTGGACGGGACAGAGGCAAATAGATATAGACGAGGCAAGCTATTTCCATACTCATAAAACTATGTCCATACTCATACTTGCACAGTCATACTTGCACACCAGCTCTTGTTTTAGATTTTTAAAAGACCCTGGCGGTTCAGACACGGCTACGCTACGCATTGCCCTCAGTAAGGACGCTACCCATTACCCTCAGTAAGGACTCTCGTCCAGTCAAACTTCCTCCACGCCTTCCGGAAGCCGTCGATCCTCTTGTCATGTCCTTTCTGCCACCTGCCCTGTCGCTTGATGACGTCGGGCTCCAGGCCCAACATGCCGCCGATGATCTCCCTGGCAAACAAGTCGCCGCGAGGCCAGCGCTGTGGGTCTTCGACGACGTGCCCGAGTCCGCCGTCGAGCTCGAACCACACGTGGAAATACGGCATCTCCTTGACCAAGCTGCGGCGGAACGCGGCCTTGCCCAAGCCCTCCTTTTTGGCCTTGGAGAGCGTGTCGATGATCTTCTTGTGTTGGCTCCACTCGTCCTCCGTGCTGAGGAAGGCTTCCTTGAAGAAGGCCGGCGCCGTTTCCCCCAAACTGTAGGGCAGGGGCACCACGACGAGCGCGGCGTGCGGCTTGCGGTGGGGGAACGCGGCATTCTCATAGAAAATCACGTCGCGGCCCTGGTCGTGGTACAGGCGCGTGAGAGATTTCATGAAATTCCGCATCTCTTCCCACTCGTCGTCATCGCATTCCAGTAGGTTGGTGCGATGCTGCGTGGGCACGATCATGGCACTGAGTGGCGACATCTCTGGCTCCGTGGGCAATGTCAGATATGTCCGTGTGGCCAGCGACACAACAGGCGCAATCGGCGGAGTGTCAGTGTCCTCGTGGTAGCAGAGCGGACAGTTGTGGAGGATTTTGTTGAGCTTCTGGTATTCGTTAATGGCCACGTTGCGTAGGTTCAGGTCGGACTTGTGCACGCGTTTGGCCAGTTTGCCGGCGTTCTCGTCCAGGTATTCGAGGTCATTGTCAAACTTGCCGTCTTTGGCGATTCGTTCGGCAAGACGTTGGCCTTCGCCTCCGGCTTCACCGCGCGTACGCCGTTCTTCTCGAACCATATCTTCGATGGTCATGTCCTCGTTTTCTTCCACCTGCCCGCGTTCCGCACCTCGACGGTTCTGCACCGCCTTGACCTCGTTCCTTGGGGCGGAAGATAGCATTCTGTTGTCCATGGCGGAAAGAGTGATAACAGCAGGGTCTTGCGTGGAGAACGCGGCCAGAGCCTCGTTATATTCCCTTTCCAGATCCGCCGCCTTCGGGTCCTTTCGAAGCTGAGCTTTCATGAGTTGAGCCTTCAGCTTGTTGAGGGCCGTCTGATCTACTCGTGGACCGGTGGCACTGGTGCTGGATGTCGGCACTGGGATTTGTTCAACAGCGTCGTCGGGATTGACCTCCGCCTGTCCAGGACGAGGCCGTCGATGTCCCTCCTCCAGTTTCCGCTCTTGAAAGAGCTCTCCACTGGGCTTCTGTTTGCCCACATAATCATCTCCATAAGTCTGACGTCTCTCAAGTTCGGTTTCTTCTTCTCGGGCTTCATCAAACTCGCAAAGGTTGCCGTAACGTTCCAGCGCTACGTCTTCGACCTTACGTCCTGATTCCTGCGCCTGCCGGTATACAGCCTTTAGCTTTGTCATGCGCCATTGCGAGCCGGCGTCGCCGAAAGTATAGTTGACCTCGTGTGTGGTAGGTTCATCTTCCAGATCGTCCACACTCTTCCCATTCTGCAAATCCCGTAGGTGCTTGTTAAGTTCTTTTTCGTGCACTTTCAGTTGGAAGTCCGCGCCTAAAGACCCTCCTTTTGGAGGTGACGGCTCAGGTTTCTTCCGCTGGACGTAGTCCACATCCAATGCCGAAGGGGCCTCCATCCAGGAATCACGTTTCAATTCGCTTAGGTTTGGCCTGGATGACCCGGATTGTTCGTCTTGGCCTCCATCTTCTTCATCTCGACTACGGCGACGGTGCTTGCGTCTATTTCTGGTTTCTGAAGTATCTTCATCTCTAGAATGTCTTGACCTCTTCGACCGGTGACCATCGTCGTCATTGTGGGAAGCATCGTCTCGAGGACTGCGATGGTGGCGGCGGTGGTGGTGGTGTCGACGATATCGATCGGATTTTTCGCGCTCGGTGCGTCGCTCTGAACGACTCTCTGCTTCTTTCTGTTCTGCCAGCTCCTTTTCAAAGTCTTCCAGAGCCATTGTGAGGCACGGCCTGGCTGTCAAATGGTGGTGATGATAGTTCCGATGGGACAGTAAATTTGTCGTTGCGTATCCGTAGACGCTGCGTCACTGCGCTCTCCAAAATTTCTCCGACCATAACCGGGCGCGATTCGAACTTCTACTCTACTGTAAGCAGTAAATCACTTTTGCGGCTTCAGGTATTCTATACTCCAGCATTATCTACCGACAGTATGGCGGCCTCTCCTGTCGCGGTTGTCTGCATCGGCATGGCCGGTATGTAAATGCGCACAGCGTTTAGGAGTGGAAGGGCTGACATTCTTGCAGGTTCGGGCAAGACCACGTTCATGCAGAGGATTAACAACTATCTGCACGTCAACAACAAGAAGCCATACGTCCTCAATCTTGACCCTGCAGTACTCAATGTTCCTTTCCAAGCAAATATCGACATTCGGGACAGTATCAATTACAAAGAGGTCATGAAACAATATAACCTAGGCCCCAATGGGGGTATCCTTACCTCGTTGAACTTATTTGCAACAAAGATCGACCAGATCATTGGACTGCTAGAGAAGCGCGCCAACCCACCACCAGAAAGCTCGATTGTGCCGCCCAAACATTTCCTGGTTGACACACCAGGGCAGATTGAGGCGTTCGTCTGGTCCGCTTCTGGCAGTATCCTCTTGGAATCGCTTGCCTCCTCCTTCCCCACGGTGATCGCTTACATTATCGACACTCCGCGCACATCATCAACGTCGACTTTTATGTCCAACATGCTATATGCATGCTCCATTCTGTATAAGACCAAACTCCCGATGATTTTGGTGTTCAACAAGACGGATGTTCAGGATGCCGAGTTTGCAAGAGAATGGATGACCGACTTCGAAAAGTTCCAAGAAGCACTTCACGAAGAGGAGAACAAAGGCGTCTTTGGGGGTGAAGGATTTGGTGGTAGCGGCTACATGGGCAGCCTGCTCAACAGTATGAGTTTGATGTTGGAGGAATTTTACTCTCATCTGAATATGGTGGCCGTCTCAAGCATGACTGGCGAGGGTATTGACGATTTTTTTGACGCGGTTGAGGAGAAACGTAAAGAGTTTGAAAGAGACTACAAACCAGAATTGGAGAAGAGGAGGAGAGAGCGAGAGAACGAGGCTGCCAGCAAACGTGAACAGGATCTGACAAGAGTGATGAGAGATATGAGCATGGACGCCGCAACAAACGCGCCCGGGAAACAATCTGCAAAGGGAGATTCCGAAAGCGACGAAGATGACGATGACGATGTCGACCCAGATGATTTCCCCGATGCGGAGCGGGACGACGATGACGAGGAAGGTCTCAAACGAAGATACAAGAATGCCTTACGGGAACAAGGGATTCAGGTTGATGACGATGACCCGACTCTGAAGGCAATGCTAGCACAAACTCGGCGGGCAGGATGACCACTAGCATGGCAGGCCAATTGTGATGTCTAAGTAGTTAAACAAGCATGAGATACCCAGCGATGGAGTTATGAAATTACGTTTCTCAAAAGTCCTCATTGTGCAGTGCGTACATTCAGCTTGTACGCACCCGTGTAGATGATGTATTTATTTCCCTACGCAGGCATGTAGCTTCAATGCCTCCGCGCATAAGTTTGACATGGGTGAGAAATTGGAAAGGCTGAGCTAAGAAGGGAAGTTCAGCCTTGTCAAGTGGAGGCTTGGCACGTGACACAATTGCGTGCCAAGATTCGCGCACATTTTCCACCCATGATTGCAAAACCCACACGGCACCGAACAGCGACCTTTGATCAATTCAACCAGCGACGACGCAACACCACTGCTCAAGATGAAGTACATCTTTTCGCAAGAGCAGCTGGTCATCCCAGAGGATGTCAAAATCCACATCCGTTCCCGCGTCGTGACCGTCGAGGGTCCACGAGGTACGAAAACTCCATGGCAGCTCAATTGCCAAACCGCAGGAAGAGGACGAGGATGGAAGAAGTGTATATTAACATGCGCATCTTTCTAGGCAAACTCACCAAGGATCTCTCGCACATTGCGGTCACCTTCACCATCACCAAGAACAAGAAGGGCCAGCAACTCGTCCAGATTGAAATCCACCACGGCTCAAGAAAGAATGTTGCTACTCTGCGCACTGTCAAGTCCCTCGTCCAGAACCTCGTCATCGGCGTCACGAAGGGCTACAAGTACAAGATGCGATACGTCTACGCCCATTTCCCCATCAACGTCAACATTGAGAAGAATGACGAGGGAAAGTTCCATGTTGAGATCAGGTAGGCACTGAGCAGATGGACACATACACCGAGCAACACGGGCTTGTGATGGAGCATACACTAATCAGATTCTTCTTCAGAAACTTCTTGGGCGAGAAGATTGTCCGAAATGTCACTATGCTCGACGGTGTGACCGTGGAGGCATCCAAAGGTGTCAAGGATCAGCTCGAAATCACCGGCAACAGCCTCGAGAACGTCTCACAGTCCGCGGCCGACCTCCAGCAAATTTGCAGAGTACGAAACAAGGATATCCGAAAATTCTTGGACGGTCTGTACGTGAGCGAGCGGGGCAATATCGTTGACGAGTAAATGCGGAGGGGTGTATGGAGAGGTACTGAATTGCATGGATTGGGCATGGTCACTCGAGATACTTGCTTCATCCCGCTTGAAGCACCGGGTACGACACAAAGACAACTTTCGTCCCGTTGAGACCCGACAAACGGGTTAGATGAAGAAAAGAAACGCTTTCAAATTTCCACTGTTTAGCGCGCAAACAAGCATTCCCAGTGCTGTTTCTTTTCCTTTTCAGTGTCACTGTCATTTTTGAATGTTGACCATCTGGATGGACCTCAAGGTGCTTACTTTCTCCTTATGTTGCAAAAGTGGTTGGGTATCTGCTTTGCATGTTCGTGAAGCAAAGCACCAAGTCCCTGGCCTCGTTTCCCTTTCTTCTCGTTGTATATTGACATATTGACATATGACATACAACTTTTGCCTGGACCTTCCCACTCAGTAGTTACGGTACTGGAATGACTGGTCGATCGGAAGACGTCGGTGGCACTGGAAAACGGCACGCATAGACATATACGTACACGTGCTTGTGGCTGATTGCAACCTTTCCAATGCTGACACTTTTTCGCCCGTGGGAGGATGTGCCACGTGGATTGTGGCTTTTAATACCCGGTTGTTCCTGCAGGACTGTTTGTGGTATTTGCAGTGTGTATGCCTGACAAGTCACCCAGGTTCACCGGCGGGCGCGGGCAGGTCGTCGCCCCAAGCCTATATTCTCTTCGGCTAGGTCTCACTCAGCACAAGACTTTTACTCGGTCAACAACAACAACCGGATTGTAATGTCGGCCAGATCAGCCGATAAGACCTCGAGTGGGCATAGAACGGGCTGATCTCAACCGGCCTAGAGGAGCGGCCTAATAGAGGAGACTACTCTGGTCTGAGGTGATAATACTATGGATAGTCCACTCGCCTCTAAAACAAAAGGCTTAGACCTATTAATATTTCGGAGCCAGGATACCTGCCATCGTCCCTTACGGTGATACGAGGGACAAGGGAGACGCAGCCTGTGGCTTGCGGTTTGCTTGCCCCTGCAGAATGTTTGCGGTGGTGGTGGTGGTGGTGGTAATGAGAGTGGCTTTGGAGATCAAAGGGCAAGTCAAGTCTCTCCACTCTTTTCCCTCCGCCAACGGCCGCCCACCCACGCTTGTGCCCGGACTGCCTGCCACTGCCAGTTAGCTGTTAGGTGCCAGTGTCTGCCAAAGGTGCAAATGCCATCTCATGCATGCGCCGGCTTCTTGCCCGCGTCAACGACCCAGACCCTCTGCATCTGCATCTACCTACAGTACATCCGAGCATTTGCGCTCCTACTATTCAGAAATCTAAGAATTTCCCACTCTCCTCCATCCTTTTGGAATCTGGTTCGCTCATTCTTCCTTCCTTATCTTATCCTCCCCTACAAAAGAGACCTTGGTCGAACAACGCTCGTTTTGTTTACCTAGGACTTAGGACATAGTCCGCCTGTCCCGCAAGCCGTATATCCCCAACCGTCGCATCCGGCACAAACAAACCCAGCCGCACCACCGGCACCACAGACAGCAATCACTATACCAATGCGTCTCTGCGGCAGCAATAAGGTCGTCCAGCGCAAGCTGGTGCTCCTCGGAGATGGCGCCTGTGGGAAAACCAGTTTACTCAATGTCTTCACCCGAGGCTTCTTTCCGGTGCGTTTGGTTCTCGGATCCAGTCGTCTCTCAGCCGAACGACGGGCGCGTCCTTACTTTTGCTACAATTCCTAATCTTGCGACGAGTACAGACCGTCTACGAACCCACAGTGTTTGAGAACTATGTCCACGATATCTTCGTCGACGGAATACATATGGAATTGTCGCTATGGGACACGGCGGGTCAAGAGGAATTCGACAGGCTACGGTCGTTGTCATACGACGACACCCAAGCTATCATGTTATGTTTCAGCGTATGTTGGCAGTTCTGGTGAGACGTGTAGCAGGAACGGTTGGGGCTGACTTGAAGGGTTTTGTGCAGGTTGACAATCGAGGATCCCTGGAGAACGTCGGATCGAAATGGATCGCCGAAATAAACGAACACTGTCCCGGCGTCAAGATCGTGCTCTGCGCGCTGAAGTGCGATCTACGGGAAGAGCTCGAGAAAGAAGACGACGACGAGCCGAGTGCGCCTCCGAGACCCATGATACAATACAACGATGGCCTGGAAGTTGCTAGACGGATTGGTGCTCTACGATATCTCGGTACGGCTCTCCACCCGCATGCTGTGAAGTACAGTTCCTGACTAGGTTTGCAGAATGCTCAGCCATGCGAAATCGTGGAGTCAATGAAGCTTTTACAGAAGCCGCCAGAGTCGCACTCCAAGTCAAACCAGCAAATTCGAAGGAAGACTCGAAATGTACAATCATGTGAAAGCTCAACAGTTGATACCGTCAAGCGAGCCCCCGCCCCGGTCCTCGAGTCTGAACATTGACTGGACCTGGTACTCTCCTTCAGCCCTCATGTAAATACCCTTGCTCCGCATGCTTTCCCGTCACGTCCTCCTGAGCACTTTTTCTTTGAGTTTAGCGGTTTGGATTCGGCCGTTACAGCCTCGCACCGGAAAACCCGAGGCATGATGATACGGAGTTGCTGTTAGCTTAGATATAGCCGAGTTGGAGACAATTTATGGCAATGTCTTTTGTGTTGGTGTTGTGCATCGGGAGTCCTTTTGCTCTGATAACGTAGCTTCAGGTGCGAGATTGATACTATCATTCTCTTGTATCGCGTAGTAGAAGATTGTCAGAGTTCGTCAATCAATAATCCCATTGACCAAGGGTTGGCCGTTGCTTCGACCTCTTCCAGTATCAATGGGGGCGGCAGATGGGGAATCGACGTCTACCAAACCCCAATCCTTGACACCTCCCTTCCAATCCGCTGTTCTTCCTTCACGGACTGGTACCAACACAACCCTCACATCATCGCCTGCAATATAAGAACTGCTATTTCCGTCGGGATTGAGCGCCTCCCCAAACATTCCGTCCTCTCCTCTGGCTTGATCGCCAAATGTGTTGTTGGCGAGATGGGCCTCCTTGCACCACTTCTCTTCTTCACTTCCATGCTCTAGAAACCTGGCCTCGCCCGCAATTGTGGTGGATATGGAACTCAACGCCGAAGTGTTCAAATTGAAAAGCAGGCTGGCCAAACTCGACCGAGTGGCGGCCGCGGGAGGACTGCCTGATCGTGCGCCCGCAACCGAACTTGCAGTTGGCGGCCGGTGTGAAACCCAGTCATGAACCAAGAGTGAGACTTTAGGATTGTGTAGCAGGTTCTGTGCCTTGATTGACTGAGCGTTGGTGGTCATAATAATGACGGGCCCATCTTCACGGTAGGAAGGAAGAAAGGTGTAGTTCATCAGCGACACGTACGGCGTCGGTGGATCAGTTTCGGTGGCAGATATCGTCGCCAGATGGAGGAATCGGGAGTTCTGGAGGCATTGTGATACTTCTGGTGGGAGAATGGACGAGTAGACACGGTGTGTTGCGCTGGCCGATGGTTCGTAGTTGAGAGGCGGGTTGTGAGCTTCCGACATGGCTTTTCAACGGATGTCGATCGAGTACGATGGAAAGAGAGGCTTCGGATCAGGGATCCTCTGGTAGTGGCGAGGACGCTCAAGCTTAGCTCAGGTATTAAAAGGCCTAGGTCACAACGAGGGTAAGTTGATTGACTTATTAGTCGGTGGACAACTCTTACACACAACCGCCCCGCAGGCCAAAGCCATTATTTCTCTCTCCCACACTGCGCTAGCTGGCTGTCCTAAGGCTTAGGAGGCTAGTATGTGCCAGCCCCGTAGCTCTCTGACGTCGATGAATGTTGTCAGCGCTTCCCCCTGCTCAGTACGGATACAACCACCATACAACCCCCGACTTGAGCAATCCCCGAGCAGGCTTCCCGACTGGCACCTTTTCAAGCCGCAACGCAATCCCCAATCCCGCATCCTCGACCATTTGGACCCTCTCCCGGCATAACATCTACCTCCCTTGTACCTCGAAGTCTCATATTTCTACGGCCTGGGCAGTGAAACAACAACGAGATCGAGACGGCGGTCTCACCCACAGCTTTTCGCGCTCATCTTGTTTCTGGAACGAATTAGTCCATCACACTTGATACCCCGGTTTTTGCAACCATGCTTTCTCGAAGACTACCCCTCTCCTCCTCCCAAGCTTCCATCCTCGTTCGCGGGTTGACGACCTCTGCGCTATGCCGAGAGCCTGCTCGTTCTCCAGGCTTGGGCGACATCACTCCCGACGGATCAGACGCATTCAACGCAAAGCAGAAGGAGTTCCGAGATGGACTTGAAGCGGCCAGAAAGAGAAAGGAACAAGCCGATAGTCAGTTATTTGCCACTTCTACCTCTCCTTCATCCCCTAGTACCACTGCCTCTGGCGTGTTTGAATCTTTGGGCTTGGGCTCACTCTCCATCGCTCCTCGTGCAGAAGAAGCAAGAGAAGCTGAAACAGATACGTCGACAAAGCGAGGAGGGAAGCTTTCTAGCTTCATCTACGGTACACCTGAGGGCCAACAACTGGACAAAGACATGGAGAGATCGTTCTCGCAGGTTTTGGCGAGGGGTAAATACGTCCACTCGATTGTCTTCCACGACGTAAAGCCCGACAAAGTCGACGAATACGTCAAGCTTGTTGGGACTTGGTACCCCAAGATGGCAAACATGCCGGAAAACAAAGTGCACCTTGTTGGCAGTTGGCGGACAGAGGTCGGCGACTGCGACACCTTCGGTAGGTGTCTTTCGTCGAAGAAATTAATTGCACTGACAGACTGATTCTATAGTACACATCTGGGAATACCAGCGCTATACTGGCTACCATGCCTCTTTGCACAGTATTTCTCATCACCCAGAGTTTCCCGACTTTGACAAGAAACTGAAGACGCTCATCCACTCAAAGAAGGTATCACTGATGCAGGAGTTCTCCTTCTGGCCCACAACACCGCCACGGAAACTTGGTGGTCTGTTCGAGCTACGGTCATACACTCTGCATCCTGGCAACCTGCTAGAATGGGAGACCCATTGGCGAAAAGGCCTCAGAGCGCGGCGCGAGGTGATGGAAGGCGTGGGCGCCTGGTTTGTGCAGATTGGAGACCTCAATACGGTGCATCATCTGTGGCAGTTCGCCGATCTAGAGGAACGAAAGTTGAGACGTGAACAGTCATGGGGAGTGGAAGGTTGGGGTGACACTGTCCACAAGACCGTGCCCCTCATCCAAACCATGAAGAGCAAGATTCTCATCCCTATGCCGTGGAGTCCAGTCGGCTAAACACTTGTCGACAGCTGGATGGTTGGTTCGAATGGTAGGGAGGTCGAAACGTATTGATCATACGTTGGATGCACCATGTTTACCAAAGTCTCTGTCGACCAAGGCTTGCAGCTAGCATACCAAATTATCTCCCACTGCCGGTTTAATAGACAATTGAATCTATCTTGGGCGAGGACGATAGTACATTTTGTTATCCTAGACCGACGAAATCCAGTACGGAGCGTGGTTTGGGCAGAGATCAAAACACTAACACAGGTCCTACGCACGTTCTATAAGGGTGACGCTATGGGAGTTACAAACAGCAAGTTGGCCAGTGAAATGGCTGCAGCTGGCTATACCGGATTGCAAGGGCAGTCATTGGCGGACTCTCTGGTGCTACTTAATCCATAACGCGTGATAGGTGTTGCCACTACTTGTCGTGGTACGGAGTGCGTACTCCATGCTCAGTGTAGCGGGTCGCTGACCTACATGTGCCAAGAATCCATCCTGGACTTTTTTACTTGGATACTACATGTACGCAAAGAGTGTCTGGGTCGAGACGCAGACTCTAAACGAAGTCCGTCAAAGCCCAGGAGAATGCTTCATCGTGCAAGGCCGTCAGGCTTGTGCCACGGCTGTCGACAGGACGTTCAAACCCTCTTTGAGAGAGGGTTTTGCGGACCAGTCGTCAGTTTGAAAAGTCGACCTGCGCCCCTTCAATGGCGGCGACCATTCCGACCCCGACAACAAGTCAGACCCTACGTCAAGTCTCCCACAGCCTTCCAAGAGCGGTCGAATTCGTCTTCTGAGAGGATACAATTTCCAGTCGAGCCAGAAAGAGGATTGGATGCAGATACCTTACAAGAGCAGCTGGACGCTATCCAGGAGTTGGAACATGCTCTAGGTCGGCCTATAGAGCAAGCAATCGAAGAAGATCGAGTGCTGAACGAGGGCTTAATAGAACTTGATGTCGGTGAACATGTCGAAGAGCAATATGACCAGGAAGTTGTCCTCCACGCAACCAAAGACTCGGTAGCGAGCCTGCGGGAGTCTGGAGCCTCCCTAGAGGAGGTGGTCCGCCTGGCGAGGCAGATCCACGGTGATAGCCTTCCTGATTCTGTGCTCGAGGGGAAAGAGTTTAAAATCTACAGAAGACTGTATGGCGACCCTGTGGCCGCTACAAAAGAATACCTATCGGATGAAGATGAGGTTGATGGGACAGCACCAAACCAACTCTTCGACCGAGATGGAGAGCTCGTGGATTATGACCTGCGCGACACTAGCTCACATATGGACAATGTTGATGGACAGGAGGACGCTACAGTTGAACCGCCACCGCCTGTACAGGACAACATCCACCTGGAATCCGACGAGACAACCAGTCTGCTGGTGTCTCCCACCCACAGGGCAATGGAAGTTGCTCGATTAGTGGATGGCCAAATTGCGGAAGACGTTGATGAAGAGGATGCGGGAGAAGACTCACAATCCAGATTTCATCCTCTTACCGTGCTGGGAAAATTCGCGACCAACCCCAAGACAGTTTTTCTGTCGCAGGAAGATTTTGTGCTTCCAGTAGCCAACATCATGAAAGGCTTCTCAAACAAACATCTCAAAGACGCCTGTGAGAAGACTTTCGGTGGGCCTGGGCTTCCCGATTCTGCGCTGACGCCGAGATCTGGACGGTCAAGAGCACAAGTTCCGATACCGCTGGATGCCACCCAACATAGTATGGGGGAGATGGAAGCAAATGCCTTCATAACCACAGTCATGCCACCTACATACGCCGCCATTACGTCTGTCCTGGTCGAAACCCGGAAACGTCTGGGATCGACATGGTTGAACAATCTCCTTGCCAAAGAAGGCGGGCCTCGCATTCTCGATGCTGGTGCGGGAGGAGCAGCCATTCTGGCCTGGCGAGAGATTGTCAAGGCTCATTGGGATTCTATGCATTCTTCCGACTGTGACCCGCCACCCGCTCCAGCATCCAAGTCCGTCGTTCTTACCGGTGCAGACAGCCTGAGACATAGAGCGGCCGCACTCTTGGACAATACAACCTTTATTCCACGACTTCCGGACTATGTACACACTCGAGACGCCCCCACACTTGACGATGACCGTCCAGCGCAGCAGCGCAAACAATTCGACGTGATAATTGCTTCTCACTCCCTTTTCGGGCTACAGGAAGACTGGATGCGAAAACAGCATGTCCAAAATTATTGGTCCATGCTGAGTAATCAGGGAGGAGTGTTGATCTTGATTGAAAAAGGTGTCCCCCGAGGATTCGAGGCGATCGCCGGCGCCCGCGAGCTCCTTCTGGAAAGGCATATTGCCGTACCTAAAGGCCGCAAGACCGGGTACAGCGCGGGTCATGAAAGTGACGAGGTTTTCACTCGGGAGACTGGCATGATCGTGGCCCCGTGTACAAATCATGAGAAGTGCCCCATGTATAATATGGCTGGTTTATCACAAGGCCGCAAGGACTTTTGCAGTTTCCAACAACGGTATACCCGGCCGACTTACCTTCAACGGGTTCTGGGGGCCAAAGACCGCAACCATGACGATGTCGACTTTTCGTACTTGTCGGTTATGAAAGGAGATGATCTTCGCCAACGGAAACTCGAGTCCTGGAAAAGCCTCGAAGATGGTCTTTCAGCTCCTCTGCACCCGAAACCACAGGTCCTGGCCGAGGACTATGATGCCTGGATGACTCTCTGTCAGTCGGGCTTCGATGAAGTCGACCCTAGCAGTACGCTCAGAGACTCTGCTTCCACATTCGCCGATGGCAAAGTTCGATCAAGTCTTCCCGCACCTTGGAATCTACCTCGACTTGTCTTTACGCCCATGAAGCGTCGTGGCCATGTGATCATGGATGTCTGCACCCCGGCAGGCAAGATCGAGCGTTGGACGGTGCCCAAATCGTTCAGCAAACAAGCGTACCACGACGCGCGCAAATCTCAATGGGGTGACCTGTGGGCTTTGGGCGCCAAAACCCGCACCCTCCGGACCTTGAGACTTGGAGGGCCGGACACGAAAGAAGCCAAGCGTGCCCGAAGCCGCAAAGAAAGACTGCAGAACCAGGCTGACGATCTAATGGAGAGGATGGAAGAAGAGAAAATGGCAGATATGGAGGAGGCGGCAGAACTACAGCAGGCCCTAGAGATTGAAGACTTTGATGACCATGAACCAAGAATGCATGTAAAGAAGCAGAAGTCTAAAGCTGTCAAACCGCCGACGGAGCCATCAAAAGCCAAGCAGCCCGAGCCATCGCCTGGCGTCGAGTCGTTCACGTTCGATGACTTCGACGAGAACGAGATCAATCCGCTTCCGCCATCCAAGGCAGGAAAGCGCACAAGGAAGGGAGCGGGCACGGTGGGTAACGGTAACGTGCAAGCGACAGGAGCACACACCAACAAGTCAAATGCGACCAATTCTACCATCAAGCATGATTGGGAAGAAACAGCAACGGGAGCTGCGGCCAGTCGATATGATGACCTCGACCCCTTGGAGGCAGCCAATCTGCGCGAGTGGGAAGCGGAACTGGCGGCTCCTCTGGCACACATGGGGATCAAGGGCAAGGGCGAGAGCTCGACGCCGTCGTATTCCAAGTTCGCTGTACGGGCTGACAAGAGACGCAAACAAAAAGTTGGCCGGGCGAGGCGCGGTCGGTCGGGGCTGTAAAATAAGCAAGGCCCCATGGGCTGTGTATTACCAGTGACGAATGAAACGGGTGTAGCGGAGGGACAATGTACTCTACTCCAGGTAATATCCCAAGAGCGATCTACGCCTGATTGAGGATGCGATGAACTCGGCTCCTCCTTGATTTGTAGTACGGCATCGAAACACATGTGACAATGTTTTGTGTAGAATGTCCTGTCCATCCATGCCCATCTACCCTATGCTGCTAATGGTATCCGTTGGTGGTTAGAAATTTCTCCTTCAACACCTGTGCTATCCTCTGGACTCCTTCCACGAGCCGGTCCTCCTCCTCCCATGCCCAACATAATCTCGCACCCCTCTTCAACAGATCACTGGACGACTTGCTTCCTCTCACAGCCATCATGCCAGCGGCCAAAAAGCGGATATTTTGTTCCTTCAGCGCGACAGCAGCAACCTCATCGGCCAGGATGCCTTGCGGGAACAAGATGTACAGGAAGAAGCCGCCAATGACCTCTTCGTCGTGGCCAGCGTCCATCTTGACATGGTACGGTCGACCGATGTGGATTTCCACCCCCAACGGACCCAGATGTTCCTCGATCGCGCGTCGAATGGTGGCAGACCGAGTCTGGTACAGGGGGATGAGGACGTTTTGAACATGCGCTTCGAGCGCACCGGTGCGAAGCACATGTTCAATGAGGGTGGAGGAGAATTGGCCCGGAGCCCCACCTGATAACGTGGCTCCGCTGTCTATCAGTTAGCATGGTCTGGTCATTGGGAAAGTGGGGGGGGGGGGGAGGGAGCGAGATGGTGATGGTGATGGTGATGGTGATGGTGAGGGTGAGGGTGATACTGACACTTGGTTTAGCCTCCAGATGAATTTGGGGGTGGCTTCTGCCCATCCACATCTCAGCCCCGGTCCCATGACCTTGGAGAAGGACCCGTTGCTGACGGCGTTGCCCCATTCCTGGTCACCTCCAGGGAGGGACTGGTCGACGTCGACGAGTCGGGGTGGGGGCGGAGGAGCCTGAGCGTTTCGCTGGTGCAAAGGAGAGGTCCCATTGCAGGGAGAGGTCTCTGGCCCTTTCCCTTGCTCTTTGGATGACATTGTCCACGACAAGAAATCGTAACAATCGTCGGTAATGAGGAGCGCATCCACCTCTCTTGCCAGTCGGACCAGAGCTTCCCTACGCTCCAATGTGTATGTCTTTGCGCTGGGATTGCTGAAGGTAGGAACCATATAAATCACATGCCGGTAGAGCTTAGGATATCTATCCGGACGCTTGTACATAGGCTCCGAGGCTGCTTCCTCACGATCGACCGCTTCGATTCGCCGACGCAGGAGCTCGACGTCCAGACCGTCTTCATCTTCCGGAACACCGACCAGACGACCTTGAAAGCCGGCATCGTCAAAGACGGTGCATGCCAGGAAATAGGTCGGTTCCACCATCCAGACGCGGCGAGTGTAGACCGGGTCTGTAAAGGCGGCCATGATACAGGCCAGATTTCCCGACGCGCCGGCTGTGATGCAGATGCGGTCAGGAGAGATGGGGACAGGAGCAGGAGCACCATTCTGGGAGGCTGATCCGGCCGGTGGTGGTGGTGATGGTGGTGATCGGAGGCAGTAGAGGCGAGACAGCCATTCGGCACATTCTCTTCGCAGCGCAGGGTCGCCTATGTTAGGTCCGTAGAGCAAGGCCTCTGTGGCGCGTGCCGGCCCGGAGAGTGTTGCCTCAGCGGCAGCGAGGAGCGCCTGGCTGGGAAGTAGGCGCGGTGTTGGCCATCCTTTCTGAAGGTCAATGTGTGGTTGAGGCAGTGAAGGCGAGGTCGCAGTCTGTGGTGCCATCCTGATCCTGATCCTGATCTGGTGGCTTATGCTTAGGCCCTGCGAGGAGGTTCAACGGAAACGCCTTGTGGTCACACACGGACAACATGATCAAGACTCTTTCAGGACGGCGGTTGCGGTTTTGGTTTTGGTAATAAGGACAGGACCTATACACAGTGGCGATTCTGTGTGTGTGTACCCGTACACGTACCCATCCAGACCCTTACCCGTCCCCATACCCGTACCTGTACCTGTCCCTGTACCTGGACAAAGACCGATCGGCTTTCCTTTACGCGACAGTCCACTGTGCTGAGGCGAGGAAGGGAAGTCAGGGTCCAAGCCTTAGTCCTAGGCCGAGGGCTAGTCTGAATGTGTCAAGTGTCAAATGTCAGATCAACGTGTTGTGGCCATCGCATCGAGCCTTGCGCTATTAATTAGCCTCCATTCTTATCAATGGCGACGGACTCTGAGATTCCGACGGACGGACACTTCTGCCCGACCGTCCCCCTCCCTGTTGTATGATCCCATCCGCTTCTTCCACAGTTCATAGTTCATCTTTCAGACCACCCACTGTCCAGCCCAGATGTAGGTGTATCCATCATTGCAGCTTATCGTCTGCGCCTGGTTGGCCGGACGCGTCGGTCAATACCATGTGCGCGTCGCTCGGAATCGCGCCTCCGCAGTGCGAGCGAGGATGAGGATGAGGACGAGGACATGGACGAGGACGCTGACATGTGGAGCGGAGCGGTGATGTGAGTGTCTATGGAGTACGGAGGACATTGTAAGGAACAGATTAATTCGGGAGTCTTGAAGATGCCCCTTCCAGAGTCCAGTCCGTCTTGGATCACTTCTCGACTTCTTACTTCTTGACTTCTTGACTTCCTCTCCTTGTTCGAAAGCCGATACGATCCCTCTTCTCTTTGGTGCTTGTGTCTCTCCTCTCCGCGAATACTTGCTCTCGACGCTGATCCCTGATCCCTGATCCATCATGCCCAAAACAAACCTGACTCTCGACGCCGAACAGGCGGCTTTCGACCAGGAAGTCGCCGACATCAAGGCATGGTGGGAGTCGACCCCCAAGCAACGCCAGCTGAAGCGGTAAGATTCAACACCTAGGTCTTGTATGACTATCTCAGACGTCTGTCTAACGCGGTTTGAACATGCAGTCCATACCCGGCCGAGCGGATTGCCGCCCTTCGCAGCTCCATCAAGCAGAAATATCCGTCGAGCGACATGGCGCTGAAGCTGTGGGCGCAGATGAGCGAGCACGAGAAGAATGGAACTGCCGAGCTGACGTTCGGTACCACTGATCCCATCCAAGCGGGCGTCATGGCGAGGCACCAGCAGGTATGCAGCAAATCCGCATTCACATCACAGTCTTAAGAGCAAAGCATACCTACCGGTGAAGGACTTGACTGCTGACATTGGGCAACCACACCAAAAGACCATCTACGTCTCGGGCGCCTTGTGCGGATACTCGCGAGTCAGCCAGCCGGGCATGGACCACGCGGATTACCCGTGGGACACGGTTCCTGGAGTGGTCAACCAGATCTTCCGCTCTCAGCAATGGCAGGATCAGCGCCAGCGACAGTTTCGCTTCCTGTATCCCAAGGCCGAGCGGAAAGGGCTGGAACACTGGGATTTCCTGACCCCGATTGTGGCCGATGGGGACATGGGCTTCGGCGGTCTCACCCATACCATGAAGATGACGCGGGCGTTTGTCGAGGCCGGTGTGGCCATGTTCCATCTGGACGATTTGGCCATTGGTATGTTTTCATCTTTGATCTTTGACGTTCGACAGTCTGTCTACCGTTGAGGTTGAGCCCGCTGGTTGCGGAGGCACTTGTTTCAACCACCATCACCCCCATGACCACTACCACTACCAGTACCACTGCTAACGCGCTCCTTGTGCAACTTCAAAGGTACCAAGAAATTCACCATTGGCGAGGGACGAACCGTCATTCCCACCAGCGAGTATCTGTCACGCCTGACGGCGGCACGCATGCAGATCGACATCATGGGCGCTGAGACGGTAAGATTGCGCCTGCGATTGCGATTCCGGTTTTCCTTCCTTTCCGACCCCAACCTACCATACAGACCGTGTACAAGGCAGAACAGCTAACCAGTGTTCGATGTTGGTAACCAGATCCTCATGTGCCGGTGCGACACCGACCACGCCGGCTACATCACGTCGGTGATCGACCCGCGCGACCACGCATATGTGCTGGGAGCGACCAAGCCGGTCGAGCCACTGACCACGGTTCTGGCTCGAGCTCTCGCCAGCGGGGCCGACTACCTCGCGGCGCAAAAGGAGTGGATTGCCTCAGCAGAGCTGAAGACGTTTGACGGCGCCGTTGCGGCGGTTGGGACGTCATCGCCGGACGGCGTGGCCGCATACCAAGCGGCGATCAAGCAGGCCGGATCGTCCACCCTCTCGCTCAGCGACCGACGCGCGCTGGCGGCCAAGCACCTCCCGGAAGAGGTGTACGCTCAGCTCTTTTTCGACTGGGACCTGTCGCGCACGCCTGAGGGGGCGTACCGGTTCGCGCCCAATGTCGACGCCGTCATCTCGCGCGCCCTGCTGGCGGCGCGCCTGGGCGAAGTCACCTGGGCACGCATGGACTATCCCGACCCGTCGGACATCGACGTCTTCCACAAGGCGGTGCGCGCCGTGCACCCGGACCGCAAGTTCGGCTTCGGCTACACCGGCGGCTTCGACTGGCTCAAGGCCGGCTGGACCGCCGAAGAGGTCAAGGAGTTCCCGTGGGCCGCGTGCAAGAAGTACGGCATTGTCTGGCACGTCCAGCCCATCTGGGCGCTGCAGGGCTTCCGCCGCGCCGTCCAGGACTTCTCGTACCTGTGGCAGAAGGGCGGCATTGCCTCGTACATGAACGAAGTCCAGGCCAAGGAGCTCAACACCACCTATCCTGGCCTGATTGCCCGCCCCGTGCCGGACGAGCAGGACGAGGTTGATGCCGACGACGGAGCCGAAGCCGATGGTTACGCCCGCTTCCGCTTCTCCGGTGCTTATCTGGCAGATGCCCTGCTGGAGACCGCCACCATGGGCGTCGAGGGCGATCAGAAGGGCTTGCTGATGGGCCAGGGGGTGGTCAGGGGGGGGGGGTTGATTAGATTGGGTTAGATGGGGTGAATAGATTCGTTTAGATTCGGAAGATGAATAGATTCGGATAGAGGGAGCTGTCATAAGGTTAAATGTTCCATGTTCCATGTTCGCTACCAAAGGGGTAAGGGGAGCCCAGACTATATATATACCTAGGTGTGCCTATCGTGCCTATATATACCAGTCTTCTAGTTAAAGAACAAGGCTGGGAATGCCCAAGTTAGTGCCTAAGTTTGACGGGAGCGAGGGAGAGAGAGAGAAAACACCCTGAACACAGACAGCAATCGAATTATTTGTTTCCATTACAGTCATAGGAGAAAAAGCTTTTCCTCTTCCTTTTTCTTCTCTTCAAGATTTCTTTTAAGAATTTCTTTCTTTGTTCGAATAGACATAGACGAAAACTGCCCTACCGACCCATGTTGAGTATGCCTAATCAGTATATTTTATTTCCTTATACTTTGGGAGGGGTCGAACCAACTCCAACTTGCTCCCTTTTTAAGCATACAGGTATGGACGAAATACAAGTGCGCTGGAAGGCATGTAAAATCAATCAATCACCCGATCATTCCATATAGTAGTACTGTAAAGTGAATCAATCAAGCACCATATAATTCAATATAGTACTATTGTAAAGTAAAATCGCCAGCCACCAACAAATTTATAAAAGAACCTTCACACTCACACATTTGGAATGAATGAGCCATGAGGATGAGTGACTTTGAAACTAATTTAGATTGCCTTTCAAGGAAAGAAAGGCAAGGCAACCAAGCCACACCCACATATACATATATGCCACCTCACACCTCACACCACACACATACCACATACCACACCAGACCATGTCCTGGGACGGTATGGTGCTGATGCGTGAGGTGATTACCAAACATATCGGAAGTGCTGTTGAGCAGAGTCAGAAGGAAAGGCCTGGATGGAAATGGAAATACTCGGGAGCATTTCGGACGGCACGGGACATGTCATGGACGTACCAGGTTTTGTTTATCAGTCAGATCCTTGAAATCCGTGTCGGGATGGACGACGGCGCCGGCGGCGGCGTCGCGAGCGTCACGGCGCTTGTTCTCCCAGTAACATAGAAACATGTAGACGGCGATGGTGATGAGGGACAGCCCGTAGGAGCCCAGAATGGCGCCGGTGCCGAGTGGGTACAGGGGCGCTTGGTCGGCGATGAAGAACTGAGGCGAGATGATGTTGCTCACGCAGTACGAGATGAACATCATCGCGTTGACGGTGACTTTTTTGGTGTGGCCCTGAAATGACAACAAACACCGCCCATCAGTTAGGTTCATGTAAATGTAAAAAGGAGCGGGACCGATGCCGGCGGCAGTAATAGTAGACAGTGAATGGTAGAGGAGCTGACACAGGGACAGGCACAGGACATGGTCGACTTACCGCTGTGTTGGCGCCCACCAGGCTCAGGCAGACAATGTATGGACCCAGATAGAAGAAGGACATGTACATGGCCGCGAGTCGGCTGTGGTAGGAGGTCAATGGGAGGGTGTATAGGAAGACGGCAGCGATCATGCCGACGATGATGCCGAACATGACGGCGACGCCGCGGAGGTGGTATTGGGGCAGGTACTTGGCGGCCAGGAAGACACCCCCGTTGCAGATGTAGCTGGAGAAGGTCTGGACGACCCCGTTGGGAATGGTCAGGAGCGCAGCCCGGCGGGAGCTGTAGCCCAGGCCTTTGACGATCAGAGGCGAGAAGTTGGTGAGCCCGCCGTTGGGAATGCTGATCCAGATGTTGAAGAGGAACATGAGCCACACGCGGATGTCGAGGAGGGCTTCGATGAACTGTTCCTTCTTGAAAGTCTTGTTTTCGATACCTGCAGTCACGCACAATGACAAACACAGAGTCAGTATGCCTTTCTTTCTTTTGTTGTAGCAGCGGCATCAAAGCGCGATCGCTTACCCGTCTGATTGACTCGGACGCGGTCAATTGCAATGGCCTTTTCCCTCTCTTTGAGAAATTTGGCTGAGACCGGGTTGTCGGGGAGGAAGATGCCCACCACGATCCCGTAGGCGAATGTCATGGATCCGCAGATCCAGAAGAAGCTCTGCCAGATGTGAAAGTGGGTGGTTTTGATGGCTCCGATGCTGCCACACCATCAGTCAGCCGGTCATCGGTATCAAAGGTACTCCTCTAACTCCCAACTCTCACTTACGCGTAGCCAATGGGACCGGTGAAACAGGTGGAAAGACCAGTATACATGAGTCCGTAGCGCAGGGCTTGCTCCCTAGACCAAATCTGTTAACACGCCGTTCGTGTCATCTGTTTCTGACCGGACCAAGCCCACTCACGGTCGTGTGTACCACATGGACAAGATCAACATGTTGCCGGGCACGATGGGGGCTTCCAACAAGCCGAGCAGGAATCGACAGGCCATCAGCTGAGAGAAGGTCTTGACGAAGCCGGATCCGATCAGCAAGATGCCCCACAGCATCATGGCGACCGACATGGTTTTGGCAATGGGCAGCTTCTGGAGCAGCGAGCCAGATGGAAAACACCAGACCAGGTAGCCGAACTAGATGGCGAGCGATGGAACGTGTAAGCAAAGACGTCCTTTTTCTTGTTTCTTTTTCTTGGGGAAGAAGGGACTCACGTAGAAGATACTGCCAATCCACGAATACTGGTTGCCGACGAGGTTCAAGTCCGTCTTCAGGCCGTAGAGCGCGGCGGTGGCGTGGCTGACCTTGTCCATGGCGGGCAGGAGGACATTGAACCAGAGAATGGGGATCAGGCGAAGGTCCAGCTTCCATCGCAGGCGCCATACTTCGCGAGCGGTGTAGCCGTCGCCGCCCTCGAACACGTCGGCCAGCTCGGCGGCGATGTCTTCTTTGGTCAGATCATGCTGGTGATGTTTCCCGCCCGTTGGCCCTGGCAGGTCAATGACCTGGCCGACCTCGGTGGACGATTTGGCATCGGCGGGCTGGACGGTTGACATGGTGGGCTCAACCTTCTCCATGGTAGTGTGCGAGTGGCGAGGCTTTGCTGGTATGGTTGATGGTTGATGTCGCGACTGAGACTGCGACTGAGACTGAGACTGAGACTGACACCATGGTTGAGCAAGGCCTTCTCCTTATATGCGACGCGAACCCGACTCCGACTCCTGATATCTATGGCACATGCGCATGCGCATGCCCATGTCTATGGCAGCGTTGATAGTCAGTAGTAGGCTCGTGGCGTGTCTTGAGTATTCTTGGTGTCGGACGTCCAGAGTCCGAATCTGGGGGGTGGTGGCAGGGATTAGGAATTATGGGGACGGCCAGTGAGGCAGGGCGACAGAGTAGATAAGGCTTCATGGTACGGAGGACGGAGTAAGGAGTATGTAGTAGTCTGTCTGTATCAGTGTATGATTATCAGTGTACGGTAGTCGGTAGTGGTCAGTGGTCAGTGGTTGTAGTCACTGAGATAAGATTAGCTGCGTTGAGCTTATTAGGAGCTCCTGCCGTGCTGGTGTGCTCCTTCCTATACAGTGTATGCACTATACAGTCTGTTGCCTGCAGTACTAAATTTCATCTTCTCTGCGCCCGTCCTCCTCAACGGTTCACTCAATACCCAACATCCATATGTTATCCGTCCTTTCCATCCGGAGTTCAGCATCATCCTTCTCAGGCCTAAACTCGTATCTCTATCTCAAACTCCGCCCCATCCCCCAACTGTGGTGGACTCGAGACAGCTCCAATAGCCCAATGGCTGGCCGTTGCATTATCATCGGCTCAGAAGGCCTCCACTCCTCTCCCGTCCATATGCTTGGGATCGCACTTTTAAACCTCCGACTCTGGAACTCGACTTGTTTGTTCAGTTGCCATGCTACTCTCCGTACTATACCGAGTCATACTGGACACAGGATACGGGATACAGGACGTCCTGGGCGGCTTCAAGAGTTGATACCTAGTAGCTGAGGCATGTCCCAGGCCCACGCCCAGGCCCACGCCCAGGCCCACGCCCACGACAACGAGGTTGGCCGCACCGTCTCGTTCCATGCTCCTCTGCCAGCTGCTGACCCACTCCTACAGGCTCATCCCAGGTCCATGAATGTCAATGCAGATAGCAATAGCAGTTCCATCCAGCTCCATCCAGCCAAGCGTCAGAGAGTCCTGGCGTGTAAGCGGTGTCGTCAACGCAAGCAGAAGGTATCCAAGAGTTTATTTTTACGAGACACGACACGGCACTTGACTGGCAATGCTGATGCTGATGGTCTCCCTTCCTAGTGTGATGGAGATGGCGAGAGCCCATGTTCCAACTGTACCCGGGCCAACAAAGGTACTGTATACCCGAGTAACCCGCCCTGCATCGTCGTCGAGGTCGAAGACGCTGATTGATGCTCCCCCGGTGTAGAATGCTCACCTACCGAGCCAACGTTGACGCGGGCACGATACAAGGTAGAGTCAGTACTCAGGCACCTGCTCCCCATTCCCCCCTTCCCCTCCCCATTCCCATCCTCACTGGAGCCACCGCTGACCGACATGTACGCCACAGCTATGTACAGTCGTTAGAGCAACGACTGGCCCAGCTCGAACGTCAAAGACCAGACACCAACCCCAACCATGCGCCCGTCGAGCATGACCGGCGGCCTCACCAAGAACAAGAACCGAGTCACGACGGAAGCCAGACCCAAACCCAGATCATCGACACCATCTACGACAACAGCGTGTCGCCGGCTCAAACCCACCAATCCCACAGCACCCATGCATCTGCATCTGCATCTGCCTCTGGAGCATCTGGCTCGCCGTCTTCGTACCCATTTTCATTTCCATTTCCATCTCAGACAGGCCCGGGCCCGATAGATCATCCGTATCCGTCCCAGCGGCTCACGAGGACGAGGCGTGACAGCAATATCCTTGGTATCATGGCCAGTCTTCCGGTTGCTGCACAGCATCCCCATCACAGTCAGGAGCCGCGCTCGGGTGCTCTCGAGCATTACCTGACTCAGCTGGCCATCTGGCCGGATGCCATTCCGGCCCAAGTCGAGCACCATCTCATCAACGTCTACTTTGACAACGCCAACCGACGCTGGCCCTTCCTGTTGCGAGCCACGTTCGAGTCGTGGCATGCCTGTTGGAAGAAGAGATCATCTGACCGAGACCGACCGGAGCGAGAGCGAGATCTATGGCAGGGCTTCTTTGTGAACATGGTACTGTAGCTTGGACCCTACCCCAACCCCAGATCCGGTCGCACCCCCTGGAAATGTGTCAAGTGCTAATATGTCAGCAAAGCTCTTCGCCTGCAGTCTGCTGCTTGATCCCAAGAACCCGCTGAGCATGTCCTACACGTCGCAAGCAAGTTACACCCTTTCCGTTCCCATTCAGCATTGATCGGGAAGTGCACAGTCAGCTGACTGGTGACTCGTGTCGTAGAGTTTCTACGAGCAAGCCGTCAACAACTATTTACCCGCGGTGTTGCGACAACCCAACCGGTTGCTCCATGTTCAAGCGTATCTGATGATGTCCATCCATGCGCTCTTTTCGCCCTCGACCGAGCAGATCTCGCTCATGATCTCGTCGGCCGTGCGGTATTGCATCGTGGCTCGATTCCATCTGGTCGAAGCCGAACCCGAGCCGGTCGATGCCGCCAGCCGCCTGGAGATCCAAATGCGCCGACGAGCATTCTGGGCCGCCTACAGTTTGGATAGACTGGCTTGTGGTGTTTTGCGTCTGCCCTTCTCCATCGCCGACGACAACATCACCGTTCCTGTACGTGGGTTGCTGCACTTGACGTTGGGGAAAAGCACTTCCACTTGATCTCAACTTCTCCATCCTTCCGCTTCCCCTTCCCCATCCAGTCCAACCGTTTTCCTTTGGAGGCAGAAAAGAAAAGGAAAGGCAAGGCTGACCAGTGACCGGAGGGCAGCTCTTTGAAAACATAGACGACTCGGCCCTGCTCGACGGCTCCTTCGTGTCCCAGGGATCCAGTGCCAAAACGTCCGTGTCGTCGGCGTTGCATCGAGAACGCTGTTTCCAGATCCAGTCGGAAATCCTCAACGTCACCATGAGGGCCGACTTTGCCATGAACTTCGACTCCCTGTCCGACTGGCGCTCGTACATCCTGGCCAAGCTGGACCACTGGAGATCGCAGCTGTCGCACTTTTCCGACTCCGACACCAAGACGCCGATGCACGAACGCTGGATCCTGATCGTCTACAACCATTGCCTGTTATACCTGCACATCCCGACCAAATCCAACGTGCGAGGCCCCGCCGGCGACTGGTCCGTCCAGGCGAGCACTCAGTCCATCTTGATCTTTCGCAAGTATCAGGGCTACGGGACCATTCCTCATCCCATGCTCGGGTTGATCAGCCAGTTCTCCATCGGGACCATCATCCTCTACTGTCTGTGGGCAACGCCGCCCAAATTCCGCACCGAGTCGTACAACTCGAAAAACGTGATCGAGGCCATCCGCGCCTGTTCCAACAACCTGGCCATCATCACCGAGCGATGGGAGAACACCAAAGATCTGTCCGACATTTTCGAGCTTCTGGCCACCGAGATCCCGCTGGCCGAAAGTGTGTCGCCGACGCCGACGAACCCTCCCCTTCCGAATATGAACATGAACATCCATAGTAACATGCACAACCACAACAACATCCATACATTGGACAATATCCATAATAACAATATCCACACTACGACACGGACGCGAACCACCTACGGCGAAAGCGAACGCGCCATCAAACGCATCAGCGACGAGGCCGCCCGCGAGCTTCGCGCCAAACTGCCTCGCGTCAAGTCTCTGGTACTGAATCGCGAAATCATCCGCATGATCGAGGAGATGATGACCGAGGACTTTCCACGCGACCACGATTACGACGCTCCAGGCCCAACCGCAACACAAGCCAACACCGGCACCCTCGACCCCTCGTCCTCCTCATACCCGAGTAGCGGCATGGGTGTAGGGATAGGAGGAGGAGGGGGAGGGGCGGGAGGAGAAGGAGATAAACTCGACCACGACCATCTTTCCGCGACCGCGACCGCCACTCTGCCCATGTCCACCCACCCTTTCTTCGTCCACCCACATACCCTGCCCTTGCCCTCTCCCTTGCACCACTTCCCCAGCCCCTATCTGTCCGCCGACGGTTCGGCCGGCCAGCTGGGCGCCATGTCGCCAGGCCAGACGCTGGAGTTTCCAGGAAGTCTTTCGGGTTATGATATGTTTTGAAGACAAAGCGTGGCCTATAGATATGTACTCATTCTCTCAACCTCACGTCTCGTCTTGGGAATCAAGAGGGTGGGAGGAGTTGGTTGTGGTCGTGGTCATTGGAATCAAATCAATATAAATATTAAATACCTCATGTGACATTAACAATTACACTCGGGAGGAGCAAAGGAAGGAAGGAAGATGGCGAAATAAATCTTGAACTGAACTGAACTGAACTGAACTGAACTGAACTGAATTGAATTGGACTGACCTGACTGGACTGACCTGACTGGACTGACCTGACTGGACTGACCTGACTGGACTGGCCTGACTGGACTGAACTGAATTGAACTCGACTCGACGATAGAGTTAGTCGTCCTTAAAGATGCATGCACAGCTTCTCTAGACGAGCTATCTGTTTCTAGCATCAGACATAGATCTAGATCTAAACTTAGGGACCTTAGTTCGCTTGGCCGTTGGCCTTGACCTTCCATCACTCACTCAGAGGTCTTACTCGGAGGTCTCAGAGGCTACACTCCAGAGCAACGTAGTCTCAGTCTCACCAAGAAAAGAGGCAGAAGAAGAAGACAAAGACCGAGGCAGTAGAAGACAAAGAACAGAAGAAGATCGTTAGGCTAACAAAACATGACAAGAACTAGAATAGAGTAGACTAGCCATAGCCATAGCCATAGCCATAGCCATAGCCATAGCCATAGCTACCTAGCTAATCACGCCTATGTAGTAATGTACGGAGTAGAGCCTCGGCTATGAATCAATCAAAGAGCCCACATAGAGCAAAGAGCCCATATATACCAAAAAAGAACATGAAAAGAAAAAGAAAAGAACAAGAAAAAAAAAGGACAGGGACAGCTAAGCTCAATAACAACAGACAGCCGAAGAGAGACAATAGACATAGACAATAGACAATGGTCGTCCTAAGCAGGAGGGAACAGGAACAGGAGGGGGGGTATTATGTGACAAGACAGACAAATAAATGCAAGCCCATGCAAGGCCTAAGCCCTCAGTAACATAAACACAACCACAACCACTGCGCCTGCCAAAGTGCCAACAATAAACATGGAAATCAAGCAACAACAACAATTATGTTGGCACGCCATGTAGAAATGTATCCTTCTCCTTCCTTCCTCTCTCTTCTCTTGGCTCGCTCGCTCTTCGCATTTAAGAAAGCGAACGAGCCACTCCATGATCTATGATTATTGCCCTTTGCTTGATTGAACCAATGACTGGCAGTCATCATGATCTTATGGTTATTGGGTGATCGGCTCCGGCTCCGGTACTGACTCTGGCTCTGGCTCTGGCTCTCGCTCTGGCTCCGGCTCCGCATCTTCGAGATGCCCCGATCCCGTCATCGTGCTATCCAGCAGAGACGCGTCGTCGTCCACGTCTTCTGTGAGATCAAGGTTCAGGTTCGAGTTCGGGTTCGGTCGACCGGATTTTTCAAGCCCCGGTGTCGGTGTACGCGGTGATGTAGGCCCAGGCCCAGGCCCAGGCTGAAACTGAGCTTCAGGACTGAGGCGCCTCTTCTCTTGTGCCTCATTACTCTCCCGTCTCTTGTCTTGTTGTCTGCTCGACAGAGACCTGGGTTGTGAGTTCCACGCTCTTAACGGTCGCGGCGATTCCCCACTTCCCTTTCGTGCTTGTGCCGCCGCCGCCACCGCCGCCAGAGGTCTCATGCTCGGCGGGGGGATCGATAACTCGTTCGAGTTCAACGGACCAGTCCCGCCGCCTCCAGCAGCACTAACGGCCCGGTGGCTCGTGCTTGGGGGGGTGATAATGCCTGAAAGAAAACTGGCCGGACTTCCGAGCGTCGACTTTGACGGGGTCTGAGTTTGGCTGCCAATGGTGGATGCCAGGTCTGACAACGCCCCCATCGAAGTGTCTCTGGCTCTTCGCCAGTTACCCCACGCGGCAGCTGCAGCCATTGGAAGCGCCCGTGGTGATTGAGCATAGCTTGACAACGCGGAGAGGGATGGGAACGAACTTGTCGACCCGGACGCCGTACGTTCCTTGAGTTGTTGCTCCATTTGCAGATTCGCCTTGAGTCTGATCGCCGCATCTTTGACGCTGTCCCGGTCAAAGTCCGGCTGCGACGCAAGGTTGATGATGTCTTCGAGGTCGTCGATCCGCACGTTGAGTAGCTCGCGGAGCCAAGTGATCTCCGTGTCACGTTCCTTGAGCTTACCGGGCGCGTCGGTGTCGACCGCGGCAAGCTCGGATTCCAATTTCTCAATCTTTTGCTCCCGGTTCTGCAGTTGATCTTGGAGAACCATAATCGACTCTCGCAGAGCCTGCGGCGAGATTTTCTCCGGAACATCGGACCCCCTGACCAAAGAGATCGAGGCGCTGGAGGCACGTTGAGGTGGCGATGCAACGACAGAGGGTGCGGGAGTGGGAACGTTGACCCCCTTGGCTGCTGCCGCTTCCACGGCCGCCCGGGCCGCCGACTTGGTAATTTCTAGTCGTTCCTCGAGATCGGCGACCTTGCTTTCCAGATGCTTCACTTTATCGTTGCTCAAACTCAACGTCTCATTGAAATGGTGTTCAAGCCGGGTTCTGTTGTCGAACGAATTATGCAGCTCCCTCGTGTGACGGTCGCGGAGGTCGTTGAGTTTCTTCTCGTGGGTCTGATGCTGGTCTTCTAGCGCACGCTCCCGCTTCTCGTTGGCTTCTCGGAGTGCCTCTTTGTGTGCGTCGATGGTTTCACTCATCAAGGCGTCATGCTTGGCCTTTTGATCTTCAATGTCCAATTCGGCATGGTCAAGCCGGCTTTGCAGCCGCAAGATCTGAGCCTCGGAATCGGTTCGGATGCTCTGCAGCTGCAATTTGGTACTGTCAAGCTCGGCCTGGAGTTTGGTGGTGGACGTCGCCAATTCTGCGTCTTTGCTGTTGACGACGTGTGCCAGTTCTCGGTCGAGATTAAACGCTTTGGTGTCGAGCGCTCTGTTCTCTTCTTGGAGAGATAGGGTCAATTGATTCAACCTCGAAACCTCCAGTTGGGATTGCTCTAGAGCGGTCTTGAAGTGTAGGTTGGCTCGGTGGTCCTTGTCCAAGGCAGCGAGATCGAGTTCCGCCTTTTCGCGGTGTCTCCGCTCGTAGTCGAGTTCGTTTTGAACGACAGCCAGCCGATTCAGCAGGCTGTGCTCCCTTTCGCGCCAATCTGCTTGCTCTGCATGCAGATCATGCACCACCTGGGTCATGTGGGCCTGCACGCGTTCCAGCTTCGTTCGCAGGTCTTGTCGAGAGTGTGACTGATCCTCCAGTTGTTGCCGCAGGTAACGCAGCGTCTCCCGGAGCTCTTTATTCTTCTCACGCTCCGAGCGGATGTCTTCCCGCCACTGATCACTTGAAACCCGATATTCCTCCAGGGTGGTCTCTAGAGCAGCGTTTTTGAGACTGAGAGCATCATTGTCCTGCTCCAGGGTTTTGTATGATTCCTTCTCTTCGACAAAAGCTCGCAATGAATGTTGCGCCTCTTCCGATGACTCGCGGTACTGCGCGGCTTCCTCTTCGGCAATACGAAGGTGCAATTTCAGCTCGTTGATTTCCTCTTCTGCCTGCCTTCGCAGCCGAGCTTCCTCGGCAGCGTGTTCTTGCGATATCTTGAGCATACTCTCCAGGCCATCGATCTGCGGCTTGTACTTCATTTCGGTGGTCTCGTGATCTTGCTGAACTCTCGAACCCCGTAACCGAGGATGGTGGGAGATGACGTCTTCCACAATCGTCTTCAGTTCCGCCCGGGTATCCTGAGATCCTGTTTGCTGAGCAACTTGTCTCAATTCTTGCAAAATGGTGTTGATCTCGGCCATGTCGATTGTATTTTGAGACAAGGCTGCTGCCTGGTATGTAGCCAGTGCTTCAGTAACGGCGGCACGGATCTTGTCTTGCTTGCGGCCCCCTCTTCTCGCCTCGGGAGATTTCGTTCGGTAGGACGCGGACCCTTCCCAAGCGTCGTGGTCGTCTTCATCGTCGGCATCGGAATTTTTGAGCCCGGGGGAAATGCTGCGGCGGCTGCTCTTGGGCCTGGTCTCTGAAGCCACGACGGCCACAGACTGCCGGATCTCTTGTAGGGTTCGCTCTAGGGGACCGAGGCGATTCTCGAGTAGGCCGCCGACCAAGTCCGCGACATGACCATCAAAAAACTCGGAACGAAGTTGCAGTTTGGCTTCTTCCGCAGCAGGCAAGGTGTCATCCCACTCGCTAACGTCATCCCTGCCGCTATTAAGGTTATGCACTCCAACTTGATGCCCCAATGACGCATGGTATGATTTCTCACTCTCAGGACCCTGGTCCGTTTGAGGCCTCAGGGGACTGGGACTCGGAGCGTCACTTCGAAAGTTTTGACCAAGACGTAGATCAATGAGTGGTGATAATTGAAGCGGAGTATCGTTCCGTTCGATGCCCAATTCGGGGTGCACTTCAAACTGTTTCATAACCGCGTCAATCTCTTCAAATGATGGGACAGGTTCGTCTTGCGGTCGTCGCCGTGGAGGCTCGGTGTCGAATTCATCCTCTTCCACGTGATGCGGGGAGTCACGAGCTTCGGACTGCTGCGGCGAACTCTCGTGCTCTCGACGAGACGGAGCAGTGTCCTCACCAGTACTTTCTTCAAACACTTCGACGACTTCTTCGACATCGGACTCCAAGGTAGTTCCTGGTTCCGCATAGTGATACAAATCCGCCGGAGGGGAGGAAAGAGTGGCTGTAATATCGGTGGAGGCTTGTTTCGGGCTAGATTTTACCGCATATTTCGAAGCTTCCAGTCCTTGGGGCTTTTGAGGAGTGGCGATCGAGGCGGCCGCATCTGGGCTCGAGAACTGGGATGTGAGCTCGAATGGTTTGGCAAGCGCCGACAGGGCTGGTTTGGGGCCCCGATCATGACCTGCAGCGGTTGTAGACGTCTCTGGGCCCGGCACCTTTTGTCCAAGATCCTCTGCCACCTCGCCTTGAAGGTCCTCTCCAGTCTCAGATTTGTCGCCGACCTCTCGAGGACGAGCTTCGTTGAACTTGGCAGCGTCTTGCTGATCTGTGAAAGTGAAATCTGAATCACTCGGGGCAAGTTCGTCTTCCTTTCGGCCCGAAGCTATCTCGCCGTTGCTTCCCAGCTGCCGTTCTGGTTCCTCTGCAGGGATATAGGCCCAGCCATCAGTAGTTTTTTCTGGACTTTCTAGCCTAGGTCCATTTGCGTCGACATCGTCGACAATCTCCGACAAGATCCTTGAGTGATGGAACGGTGCTGATTCGGCATAGACAGCATTGCCATCCCCATCGCTGCTGCGTCGGACACGCTTCTGCCTATCTGTAGGCGCCATAGGTCGGCCGTCATCTTCTTCCGGATCGGTATCTGTCGCGGCCCCTTGGTCATGCTTTGGCGTGGGGTTGAGGATTGGAACGGCTTTGCTTGCTCTTCTCGATACCTTGGATGCTGGATCGACGACAACGGTACCGAATATGCTGTCTGGGCTTTTAGTGCTCCCTCGAACAGGGTAGCTGACACTCCGTTGGGAATCCCCGTATAGCGGTCGGGAAGGATTGAACTCCGGAGCTTCCACGTTGAAAGTTGCAGAGCTGAATTTGAATGGTGCTTCTTTCTGGGTCTTCTGCGCCATGAATGAAGGAGTGAAAGCAGGTGCATCCGCATTGAGATGAGACATCGAAATCCTACTCTTGGGCGAAGGCTTAGGCACAGAGGGAGCAGGCGGCTGCACAGGTAGACCAAAGGGCGTGAAGGTGTCCCCTCCGAAGGAGAAGTTCGTGCTCGAGAAACCGGCTCGAGGATCGAAGTCCTTCGCCTCCACATTGAACTTGTTCGGTGAACGATCCCGCTCATGAGCAGTAGAGGGCTCGGCTTTGGCAGCGTCACTCAAGGCCTGCCAATTCACAAAAGGGTTTTTGTCATCCATGAGCAGTGGAGTCGCAGCTATGCTCGGATTGGTCTCGATCTCGGATCTTTCATCTGTGATTGTCTCAGGACGCCGGAGAATAGGAAGTTCCTCATGCAAAGACTCGTCTATGGTAGAATTCTTCCTTTCGAACCCATCAAAGTCCTCAGTGGCATCGGCATCCCCCTCCTTGGAATGCAATGCAGCTTCGGCTTCATCAATCTCCCTTTGAAGCGCCATACTGAGATTGTGACGATGACTCTTCGGCTTAGGATGTGCAATCTCGATCGGCGGTCTAGAGGATCCATTTCGATCTAGGCGGTCAACCCGCGGGCCAAGGCCGGGGCTTGGTGTGGTCTGGTTCAGATTCTGAGGGAGACGCACTTGTCCTTGCGATGGCATGAGATTATGCCGGACCGATTCGGGGATAAAGTTGGCGTGAACGCCGCGCACGTCCATGGCTCGTGATTGAGACATTGGAGATAAGACTTCCCCAAGATTTGGGAGATGTAGGGGATGGTTTGGCGAGAAACTGTTCTGACGCGACGACAGGGGCTGTATGTTCGGCCGAGCCCCGGGACCAAATGAGCTTGACTGGGAAAGCGAAGGCTCGAAGGGCGAGATGATTCTCCCCTGAGCAATCGGCAGGGCAACCGACTGCTTGTAACCATGCGGTGGCATCGGGAGAGCATTAAACTGGGACGACGTCACCGAAGGAGGCTGAGGGCTGATCCCGGTCGACGAAACCAGAGAAGGGGAAAAGGTATGGCCCACCGGCCTCGCAGGATTGCTTCCGGAAGATGAGGGCGCGATTGGAGGTGAGTGCGCCAGACCTGGATAACCGGAGGAGACCCGACTCAAGGTGTTTAAGAAAGGTGACTTCGTCGGTGGAGGAGCGTCCGAATTGCTTGGACTCACACCCAACGCTCGTAGTTTCTCCTCTTTCAGATAGTTTACCCACGAATCCCATTCTGCTTGGTCAGGGACGTGGACTTGATAACGACGTGACTTGCGCTCGGCCTGTATCTCCGTCGGATCTGGGTAGACAGGCCGGCTCTGGCCACTGCTCTCGACGGGTGCGCCTGAGGGAAGGCCGCCGGACTCGAAGCCATCCACACGATACCCGGCAGCAATCCATCCTTGGATCCGCTCCTTGATTTCTTGTGCCGTCAATAGAGGTGGGAGACCTGTGGCTTGCCGGTCCGTCAGAGGCAACGCTATAATGCACGTCTTGCCTTTCCAGACAACTTTCTTTTTCTGTCTCTGATAGGACTGCATGGAACCCGGTCGGGGTCGGACCGCTGAATTCGGGCTACCAGGCACTTTCTCTTCCTCTTCAAATGTAGACACACGACGAGGAAGGGCTGGAAGAGGCCGGTCCTCGGTCTCGACGCTGTTACGTTCCGGCCCGTCCATACTGCTTTCCTGAGACGAAGAAAGCTGTCGGCGTCCACTTTCAGACCTCACTAAGACAGTTCCGGAGTCATGGAACGTGTCGGGGGTTATGGTCGCAAGGCTTTCGCTGGCTTGATGCTTCCGTGAAGGCCGGCTCGCGGGGTCGATGGCAGAGATCCCCCAAGCGTCAAGGTATACGTCCCGAGTTGGTGTTGTAGTCGCACTGGTGTTGGAGCCGCTCTCCTCAGACTCGCTCAACCAGTTCGGTCTCTCCGAGAGTGCGGTTCGGAGCCGTTTTGTCGTACGCAGGCGCTTCCTGCGCGAAAGCTGGGTTTGTTCCTGGTCTGGAACGCCTTCGACGAGACGGATGGATGGAGTCTTCGCGGATTGACGCTTCGAGAGGTAAGGAGAGGTAGGTTCGATTTCGAAAGGAAGCCGGTCGGAACGCAATTGACGAGGAGATCTTCGAGGACTGGGAGTCGCGTATGGAGATCCCCAGGCAGCGGCGTAATACGCTCCACTCCCTGCCCGCTGGCGAAGATACTCGGGGGATGTGAGAGTGACTGATTGACCGTGGTCGCGGCGCAAGCTCGGCAGAGGAGGGAGAGTGAAGGGGGAGGCCCAAGGGCTTTCTGTAGGCGTCGACGATATACTCTGCGGTCTCTGGGTGATTGGGGAGGGCCGACTATAGCTCAGGGATGCTCCAAGGGCGTGCTGGGGGATCGTAGGGCCGATCTGAAAGCCGATGTCCTCGAGGTTCATGAACGACGCAGGCTGCTACACAGGGTCGAAGCGCAGGGGTGAGGCAGTCGATGGCTGGAACCTTCAGGTAGGCTTGACAGACAAGGGCCCGCAGACTAGCCTCGCCGCCATGAAAGGGAAAGGCTGAGATGATGGGAAGTGCGAAAGCCTGGGGGAAAGTTTGGGTGCTGGGTGTCCAAGGTGTCAAAAATAAGACTGACGATTGCCAGTGACCGAGTTTTGGGAAATCAGCCAGCAAGGACGCTGTTGAGGGCAAGGGTGACGCGACACGCCTACAACATTTACGGATAGGGCATTTTGGCAGCGGGCAAATGGGGGCTGTCGCGGGCGCCCTAGGCACGGCTGGCACCTAGCTGGGAGCTGATCATTGGGCCCAGAGCCCGGCGGGCGGGGAAGCTAAGGGGCCTTGGTAGGCCGGCAGATGCCACCGCCCAACGGGAGATGCGAAGCTGGCAGGGATCAGGGGCAGGCCCTGCCACGCCCACCGAGGCCAGTGTGTTTCCAACTTTTCATGGCGCCGGCACTGAGAAATTCTCCGATGCTCAACTCGGCTCGAGTAGCTGTACCATTGGTCTCGACTCTCTACGACAACGACAACTAGTATTTAATCCCACTATGTCCTCGCAATGAATTGCTCGCTCGGAAATGCCCATCCCTCGCCGCAATAGACGCCGCCGCCATGCCAATAATCCGGTCGTTCCCTATAATGGTCGTCGCCTCGTGATGAACCCCCCAAACTGAAGCCTGCACATAGGCCGGGTCGTGCCGCAGGGCTTTGTTGGGCCCCTTAGCCCCAGGCTTAAGAGGCCCTCTCCTCCACACGTGCTGATCACACACAGCTTGCAGGTGAGCGCGCTTCAGAACCCAAGAGACTCCCTATGCACCGAGAAGTTCTTGCACGTCATGTCCGACGCTCTTGTTGCTTCGAACAGTATTTTTCGATCGTCGTAGTCCACATTCTTTTTGATATTATGGAACCGGTTCGTTTCCGGCACCACCTCTCCACGAGAAAGTCCCTCCTCTTCCAAAAGCATGATCCTTCGAGCCAGGACAGCCATAATGGGCCCCTCCCAGACACCCTCCTTGCCAGCGCGTCGTAATTGGGCTATCGCTCGTCGTCGGATGCCCCAGTCTCGGCACTTACAGGCGACAAAGAACAGAGGGTGATTGATCCCTAGTTCCATCGTGAAGGGGACCAGGTCGACTTCCAGAGGGTTGGCTTCTGGCATACTCAGTGCCGCAGTCATCTGTTCGACCTTGGATACCATGTCCTCAAAGTCGTCTCGAAAGGCATCGAAAACGGTCTCGGGTCCAGAGTCTATGCAGGTCTTGAGCATGATGACCGCCGTCTTGATTTGAAGTCGTAGACCTAATAGACTTCTGATGTCGGCAGCGGACAGTTTTGTCCCTTGGGACCGGAAAAAGTCTTCCAATGCAGCCATCCATGCGTCAAAGATGCCAATGGCCTCCTGCCGTTGGACGTCCCACGCCATTGGGACCGAGTCTGCTGTCCAGTATCGGTACATACCCAAGTCGGACTTGACCAGCTGGTACACCGACACGAGAAGGTTATCCAGATGGTTTCGAACTTGGCTCAAGCTAAGACTAGTTGGCAGCACCTGCGGCACCTGGTCGACGTGGGTCAACAAGGGCTCTGCGCGCTCCTTGGAGAAGGTACATGCTTGAATATCGTATCGTGCAAATACCCGGAGGATTTCGTCCACCTCGTTTTGAGGGATCTCTCGAAAGGTGGCTTTGTGCTGTTGGGTGGGGGAATAGGGGGTCATCGCAGACTGATCACCCTGGGGGAGGTTCATTTGGCGGATCAATGCTCTCATTCCCATCTGATAGTGGACGACCGCGGCCATATTATTCCGGCGCAGGACCTCGAAGCAAGCAAATAATATACTTGCAATAATGGCGAGCTGAGCGTTGGTCGGCGAAGGTACGTCAAGTCGCCGGTTCAGCTCACGGAGTGTAGCTCCGTATAGCCTTACAGCGTACCGGTAGCTCTCGTCCTCGATCGCCTCGGGGGAATATTTGCCACAGCGGTCCTGGTAGTCTTCGTGTAGCATGCCCAGCGCGATGATGGCGCTGCGGACGATGGGTTCTTCGAGGCCCACTCTCAGGACAATCTTCGTCCAGAAACCGGACTCGGATCCACCGGTCAAAGCGGGGACGGTGCAGTATTGGAACCGGTGGAAGATACGGCGTTCTTGGGTGGTGCCATGAAAGGGTTTCGAGATGGAGTTTGGTGGAAGTGGCGACAGCGAAGTTGATGAAGGGCTGGCGGATTCCTCCTCAGACCTGGGTGGAAACTCGTACCCATCACACTTGCGTCCGGTGGAGGTACATCGCCTGCCTGAAACAACACATGAGCACTTGAGTCAGGAGGCAAAGCTGGTCAACCGCCGGACAACTTACAGCTCGGTCTAACCTCATCGCATTTGATGCGCCGTATCTGGGGAGGCGAATTTTAGTCAAAAGGAAGTGCGCCATTTCAGCTATGCTCCAGCAGCAGATAGATCTGGCTAGCATACGAGGCCAGATCCGACACATGATGTACGCGGGGGTAGGGTTGGTATGTGACAGAAACTTACCTTGCAGGTCTTGCAGCCCGTTCGTACTTTTGGTCTGCTGGCACGCGTCCGACGTGCCGCGCTATGGATGGACGGCGATTGTGCGGGTCGTGAGGGGAGACGACGAGCATAGGCCCAGCCTGGCGGCCACATGGCGGGCGAACCTGACAGCAGTGGCGAAGACAGCTGCGTCAAAAGTACGAAGGGGGCGTGTCAATCAATGGTGGGTTGAACTCTCGACCCAACTGCCCAATCTGTCCAAGCGCGTCATAAGAATCTTGCAGTTGCGCGAGCTGGTTCAGTTGCAGTCCGAAGTGGTCCGATCCTGGCGGGGTGCGACATGCAGGTACTGAGTGAGACTCGGCGGGAGACGAAGGAAGATGATTGAGACAACAATGTTACGAAGGGGCAAACTGCGGAAGGAGGTGTACGTTTATACCAATGTAGGACTGTGTCATGCCGTCAATGTCATGGAGGAACTTTTGGAGGTCTTTTGTCGAAGCCCCGAGCCGCTTGAGAGCCTGTCAGGCTGCTTCAAAGTTCTCTGAACTTCAGCTGTTGGTCCGGTCGAGGAGGAGCCTTGCGCAGACGGAGGATATCACTCGAAATGGGCGTGTGCCGCTCGCATAGGCGTGGCCGATCGATCTTGTTCATGCCCAGGAGCCTAGAAAGGCAGTTGGTTAGGCTATGGCCATCGCGGACGCCGACAGGTGCAGGCGGCAGACATGGGGGCTCTAAGGCTAGAAGGACGGCCCGAGATAGGGGAGACGCAGCCCCAAACGAGTGGGAAGTCGGATGGATGGCGTTGGCGAGTTGGGTGAGATGGAAACGACAAAAGGACGTGTGTGGACTATGGAGTAGGAGGAGGATGTGATGAGGATGACAGAGCTGGCTGTATTCTGGCGGCTCGAGAGCGGGGAGACGATGTCGCTCTCATCGTCACGGTCTTGCCGCCGCCAAGCCAGACGGAGACACCGACCGCGCCACGGTCCGTCGGCAGCGGGTGGCACCATGATTGGCCTGTTCGTACGGCTGACTTCAAACTTTGCCTGCGCCACGCTTGCCTTCCTTTCTCCATCTCTCCATCCCACCTATGCCAGGTTCTATATGTCGGCCCCATCAGCGCGTCCCTCGACTGTCAGCTCGAAACTGTATTCAAGCCCTGGCCCGTGGCTGTTCCATTGAGTCCATTCTGCTGCCATAGTTGGCTCACTCACGCGGCGAAAGGATGGTCAACGGGAACGAGGTGCGTCCCCGGCGGAAACAGGAACACGCCGCACGCGACTGGTGGGAAAAGAGATCGACAGGACAGTCGTATAGAATCTGTACGAGATCTGTGAAGTATGCCGATGCCCTTGATGCCACAGGCACCTGTCTCGAAACGGATCCCGATGAGACGTCTGCGCGGTGTCGAAGTCGCCTCGGAGCTCTCGTATAGATACTTGTTTAATCATGCTACATATCACATGCGGAGTCGAGGCTAGAGACCAGAGGGCCGCGTAGTTACCGTATCGATGAGAAGGCTGATCATGTCGTACCTCAGGCCCTCTAGATTTGCAGTCCTACTCCGTACTGTGTACGTACAATACTCCGCACTCTTGTCTGGCATTCAAGGTGTGAAGCCTCAATCAAGCATTGGGGTAATTGATACGGAGAAACGTTGTTCCGTTCCGCGGGTGCGTCCACCACAACGCGGTCATTGCGTCCTTGGGGTCTGGGTGGTGTAAACACACCCACGAGTACGAGAGTGCCAGCACAATTCCCAAGCATATGTAAACGTCCATACAAGGGCAAATAAATCAGGCCATGGTAAGTTTGAACCGTTGCAACATGCACCGTCCCATGACTTCATGGGAAGCCACATTGTCGCACTCAGATCCTCCTGCGCCAAGTTGGCCATCTTGAACAAAGCATTCTGACAATTAGTATTCGCAGGCCTCTTCTTTCCGCCGTCTGGCTAAAGACTTTGCTGCTCTGCAGGCCAGTCTCCCTCCAAATTACATGTTTCCAGAAGCCGACGATGCTTCCATCCTTGCCGATGATCTCACCCAACTTGTCGTGCTCGTTACTGGTGCCGAAGGAACCCCGTATTCACGAGGACTATGGCGCTTACATCTGAAGATGCCACATGACTATCCCAAGAGCCCACCCAAGGCCATGTTCAAAACGCGGATTTACCACCCGAACGTGGAGGAAACAACTGGCGCAGTCTGTCTAGAGACGCTGAAAAGAGATTGGGATCCCAAACTGACGCTCAAGGATATTTTGGTCACCATATCCTGTCTGCTGATTCAGCCCAACCCCGACTCGGCGCTGAATGCCGCAGCAGGGGCTCTCATACAAGAAGACTACGAGGCATTCTCGACCCAGGCAAAGCTTATGGCAAGCATTCACGCCCCAATACCTCGGCATCTAATGCGGGCTGTCCAACAGGCCAAGCGGCGGGGCGAGGAGGACGAGGATGAGGACGAGGACGAGGACAAGACCGAGGTACTAAAGAAATCTGCGCAAACAGGTGCGCGGACTACACCTGAAGCAATAGAGGAGGATAACACGAAAGAGAACGACCCGACTCAAAGAACTACATCTGCAGTCGGCTCAGGCACCGCCAATAGAGGAAAACGACCTGTGTCAGACTTGAGTCCACCCGTCGACGCCGATCAGAGTGAGGGACAGCACAATGCAGAAAGCGAACCAGGGAATCCGCGGCTCATTCATTCGGACAGCAGCCAGGGGGGACCGGTGAGGAAGTCACCCAAGCTCACGCGCACGGATGCTCCGAACAGGCAAGATAGGGCCTTAGCCCAGACACAGTCACAGTCCTCTACAGGTGAAGAAGGAAAGGAGAATGTCTGTTATGCCAAGGCCTCGAATTCCTCCCAAGGCCAAGGGGTTCTCGGATCGAGGCCAACCGTATTGCGCAAGGTCTCGAACGTGGGCCCGGGCAGGAAGGGACAAGCACGTGTTGGAATTCGGCGATTATAAGGAATGGCCTATGCAGTGTGCACAGGTGACGGGGGGGCCACTTTCAGTGTCAGTGTGCATGTCTAGTCTGATCGAGCGTTCAAGCGAATTAAGCGGTGATAGTAATATAACATACGTGGGTAGCTGCTCCATACTCCGTACACAGTATCTATACACAGTACTCTGTATGGTATGTATAGACAAGCTGGCCGTTTAGGATGTTCGTGTTTTCACCAACCGCTGGAGGTTGTTATCCCGAATATCACGGTGACGGAGTACACGGCCGAGGTGTCCATGGGAACCGGGGAATACAGTTGACCAAAGGACAGAATGAGTCGTGACTATCCATACGGAGTACGGAGTGTCTGTTCTACCTGAGGTATCTTTAGACGGCACGCATACTCCAAGACCTACGGATCCTGACTAGCCCTGGCCATGCGAGTTCTTCTTGAGTCTTGACCACCTATTAGAGGGACGTACTCCTTACTCCGTACAGTGCCACCGTCACGCCAGGTCGAAAACAATAAGTATTCCAGAATCCAGAATTACTCCAGAATCCAGAATCCCTCCATCCTCCATCCTCCATATTTTATACTCTATACATACGGAGTACGGAGTACTCTATCCAAAATCTGTACAGATACGTAATCTGTACGGAGTATGAGGTGTCGAGCGGCCATGCAAGGGGTTCAGCTTTCAAGGTCTTGTATCCGTATGTTATGTTAGTCTTCCAATTGTCACCTGTACGGAGTACTCTATACTCCAAAAGTCGGGGACTGGGCTTGGCCCCTAGGGTCTGAAACAAGGGGCAGGGGCAGGCATCGCAGGGGCTTATACGTAACCCTAACCCTAACCCTAAGTCCATACCTGGGCTAAGGCTTAGGTCAGGCCGGGTCCAGCCATCGCCCGTCGCTCGTCGCTCGTCGCCCAACCAGCCCGCCCCAGCACCACTAAACCCGAACCAGCCACCAATTCTGCAACTAGCCCCCCTTCCAGCCTGCCCATTGGCCCATTAGTCGTTGCCCGTTGCCCTGCCGCGCCCCGCCCCCTTGTTTTTCTTTTTCTTTTTCTGGACGCGCACGTCGAGTTTCAACAGGTGAGTTTCTAATTCCAGTTCCAGTCCGTTGTAAACTGGGCGGCTGGCTGGCTGGCTGGATGGCTGGCTGGCCAGTGGCCCAGTTGCCCAGTTGCCCATACACAGTCAACGTAACCAACTGCAGTTACCCATACAGTCAACGTAACCAGTCGGTTGCCCCGTTGGTATGTACTATGTAGCAAGTAGCCCCGCCAACCAACGGTTATTTTGCATTCCTCTTCCTCGAGAGGCTGGAACGGGAACGGAATGGGGGCTGGTGTACGACATAGAAAGGGGGCGTTGGGTTGGTACACATTCGTACTCCGTAGGTATATAGGTATAGGAATACCTATGTATGTGGTTGTGTGCACATAAAGTCTGACTGTTAGACTGACTGTTCTTGGTTCTGCTGCCGCTGTCGAATATCATCCATTCATCCTGATCACCTCTATTATTTACTTGCCTCTGCCGGTACACATAAGGTATCAAGATACGGAGTACTCATACCAATATCTCATATCTCATCTCTGTACCTATCAACGCCGCAGAGACGGGAATATCTGAGCGCACTATCCGTACTCCCTACTCCCTTCTCCCTACTCACTACTCCCTACTCCGTACGGAGTACAGAGGCGACGCTCGAAAAAAAAAAAAGGAGGCCCTCCCTCTTTGTACGAAGACAGAAGAGAGACCAACCCAACCCAACACAACCAAACGAACCAAACAAGGAGCGAAAGATCTATCTATCAATCAATCAATCTTCAGCCGAGTCACCACACGAGACAACACATCACAATCTACAGTACAGACCAAACAGCCACGTCCATACATAATGCAGTCCCTGTCCCTGTCCTCGCTCTCCCTCATCCTATACGGACTACTTCTCCAGTCGGCATCCGCATCCCCATCAACGCTGACAGCCATCTCCCAAATCCCCGACGGGCAGATCCAAGGGGACGCTTCCGCTTCGTCAAGCTCGCTTCCCTCGGATCCTACGGCGTCATACGACAACCCCTTCACCATCTACACGAGCCAGACCAACTCGCTGGGCGTCGTGACCGGCATGCCGTCCGTTGTGACCAGCCAGCCAGAGGTCGTGACGAGCCAGCCCGACGTCGTGACCAGCCAGCCCGTCTCGCCCACCCTGCCCAGCTACTCCGGGTACGTGTACGCCAACAGCTCTAGCTCCAACATCTGGGCATCGGCGTCGGCATCAGCATCGGCGTCCGCGTCGACTCTTCTGACCACCGCCGAGCCTACGACGCTTGCCACCAGCACCGTCGGAACAGCTGCCGGGTCTGTGAGTCAAGAAGGCCAGACGGGGACGGCGAGCGCAACTGCAACGTTCGCTCAGTCCACGGGTGGTGCGGTGGCGAATAAAGTCGCCGGGGCGGGAGTCAGCTTGGTCATCCTCGGCCTGTGTTTCTCTCTGCTGTGATCATCGGCCTCTGTTTCTCTCTGCTGTAAGCGACATGGCTTGGCATGGCATGACATACCGAGATCTCGAGAGTCGACCACCATGTCCAGACCAGACCAAATTCCGGCTTGGGGAAGCACGTGTGAATGGACTGATTCTGGCTTGGGAAGCATGGGTGTATGGACTAATTCTGGCTTAGGGAAGCATGTGTGAGTGGACTTTTTGGGGGAGGGTTTTCCTTTTCGGCCCCTCGTTCGCATTACGACTGGCATATGATATGAGTATGATTTGAGAAAGTGATGCCTTGATGCATTTGGAGCACAATGGGATTTGGGAACGCGGATTTGGATGGGATAACGAAACCAGGGGCAAAATGGCGCAGGAAATTCCTTTGGAAGGGACAAAACAGTACGGATACATCGCAATGTATCTTGTCATCAAGCGCGGAAGTGCTCCGGCTGATGACCATTAGTTTTAGTTTTAGAATAGTTCGAGCTCCCCAGCCTGTTCGAGGCCTGCGGGTGGAAATCCTACACATGGTTGGATTCGGAAAACTCCTCTTGTTCTGCTACATGTTTCCTGCCGTACCGTCGAGTGTCGTTTTGTACATGTAAATGGCTGCCAACTCCATGAGCGCAAGCCTTGACTTTGTTTAGACTTCAGGTTTTGAGGCTTTGTTTTCTTGGATTGACCGACTCTAGCATTGAAGTTCGTGCCGGTCGAGCGCTCCGATCCGCCCGCTGGCCGGTGACGTTGAGTTTGGCGACAATTCTGTCCTGCTAGCCTTGCACAGACAGGTTCTTCGTCTGGCATCTGGGACCTGTGGACCGCTCTCCAGGATAACCGTAGACGATGGAAATCCGCTCGACCAGATCCGACAAAGGCGAGGAGAGAGGAGAGAGTCGGTCGGCGAAGGTCATCTTTTGCTCATGCCGTATATATATGATCGCGACATGGAACTTTGACCGTCGATCCGAGTCTCTATCCGTTGCGGTTGTGGTCGAGCTGGCCAAGGTTGGTTCCATTGACATTACAGCATGTTAACTCCTCCAACCCACCATTACAGCATGTTAACTCCTCCAACACACCCCGTCCTACCTCGTCGACGCCGGTCCCTGCTGCCTGGCCCAAGTCGCAAACTCTCTCCGCTGCGCCCTGATGTCCACAAAGTTGACGCGCTCCTCCAGACTTTTAAATGGGTTCGCTCCGCCGTCTCTTTCAAGTTCCCCCGCCCATTCGTTCCAGCCGACGGGTTTTAATGGTTCCGAGCCCCAGACCAGACCTAAGCATGCCAGGAATACCGATACGAGCGTCTCCAGCTTGATGTCGAGTGGCAGAGGGGCATTCTTGTGATATTTGGTCGACAGGACGGAGAACTCGTGGGCGGAATATGCGCTAGAATATGTTGTTAGTGCTTGCTTTTGTTCGGTCGGGACGAGAGGAAACTTGGACTTACGCATGGAATAGAGACAACAGCCCGACGAGGACGAGGAGGCGCGAGAGCACCGACATGCTGATGCTGGTGTGGGCGGTCGAGAGGACGTGTGTGGTGTTTGGTGCTGGAACGTTGCTCAATGTGAGCAGAAACACGGATTACGACTGGGACTTGACCATGACCCTAAGTCTCGCCGCTTTAATCTGAAGCTCCTGCACGTGACTGACCACAGTGGAGTTTGGTGTATTCCCGGCACCCGCCTATAGTTTATAGCCAACGATTCTACTTGATGTAATGGCCCACAAAGTTCCCCTTTCTCTAAATTGGGCACAATCCGTGTATCGGTAGTCAGTCAGTCAGATTCCATGAACAAAGTCTTGCCTGAAACTCTTCACGTTCTCTCTGATCCTCCAGGGACTCCATGACCTCCCTGATGACGTTCCTAAGACCGCTCTTCCATTCATTAAATAAGTCAACCGGCACCCCCCCCTCCAGAGGAAATGTGGCAGATATATCGCTGGCTTCAAGAATATCACGAAATCTATTGAGCCTTCGTGCATCCTCGTAGTGATTTTCTAGATCGTCATGACTAAAGTCGATGGGACATGAAGGAGCAGACTCAATTTGATCATTTTCAGTAAGCCTCGTCCAATTCTACTGGATTCGAAGTAATGTGTTTCTGAGCATAAGTGCATTGGAATCGTGACCATCGGAGGTTTGCGCGTAAGTTCCAATCTGTTTTAGTATCGGGTAAGTCTGCTTATCGTCGAAAACTGCAGCCACAGCGGGTATGTTTTCCCTGAAATGCGATAGATAGTACCCCTGTAGCATTGTCTTACTGAACCTTTCCCAAGTCTCGGATCTCACAGAGAGAGACATTTCCTTTAGGTCCTTGGGTAACTCAAACAACTGAGTATCATCGGCCAAATCCAAAAACTGCGGTTTTCGTATCGTGAGAAACAAAGGCAAGATATTCGCATCTTGCCAATCAATGATACTGGTCACTTTTCCTTCGTCGGAAACAAAAATATTCCCATCATGAAGGTCTCGGTGCCATAGCAGCGGCAGACAGTGATCAGGGGACAGAGGAACGATGTGTGGCGTGACTGTGCGAACCAGTTGCAGCATTTGGCATACAGCTGCGTTTGACAGGTCGCTAACCGGCTTAACTGGAAAAGAAAATGGTCGGCTGGTGATAATAGCTGTCTCTTTGTGGGCGCGACTTCTAATTTGCAATAGAGATGAACGTGCGAGAGAATCGATATAGTCGTTTGGAGTATGCCCTTTGATGGAGTAAGCATGAAGCCCATCGCTTGTGTGAATTAGGAACTTACAAGGACCGGAGTCGAGGTCCGATTCCCACAGTACTGTTTCCATGAAATGTCTGTGTGCCAACGGGCCTATAATGAATTTCGAAGAACTTGCTGTTGAGACTTCAATCTGCCGGCGAAAATTGAATTTCGCACCGTCCTCGGTGAAGTAGAGACTGCCGTAAACCTGAAAGCGTTTGCTGGCTTCAAGAAGACGCTCTTGGATCGTAATAATTTGATCCACAACGCCTATTCTCTGCTTGACGCTTAGGCGGGGCCATGTGGTTTTGAGATCTGCTCCCACAGCTTCTTCTAGAATCATTTATTCACATCCAACTGTGTTGTCATTGCTGTCGCTCCAAGCCAATACTTTTGGAACCGGCAGATTCAACTCAGCTCTTACAAACTCCAGGGTTGCTACCTCACTTGCCGTAACTAAGCGTCGTGGAACGAGAGGATCAGGAACCTTGACGACAAACCGCCGCCGACCAACTGTAGCAGTCGTCACTTTGTTTGAGGCTCCTTCGGCAAGCTTTTTGACTTTAACTCTACCAGATTGTCCTTCCAATCCGGCCGTCTTTGCGACCACAAGCTTCAGAGCTTTCACATCGAATCTTATGGTATGTTGTTGTAATTTTGGGGGCTCGTTCCAGAGCCAGCGGCCTGTAGTTGGGAGGAACAACGAATCGTCAGTGAACCTTGAAAGTAGGAACTAACGAAGGCTGCGGCCGATCGAGGGATCTGAAAATAGAGGCTTCATCGTGTCCCTCCATATTGCAGAGGAATCGGTAGCGGACTTTAGAATCGAGACAGCAAGTATGACTGAGCTGAAGGCAATGAGCAAAGTCGTCGGATGCGCTGCCTCTGCGCCAGCGGCGATGAAGGGGAGCTTCGGACAACTACATAGGTCCGCAAAGAAATGACACTTTGATGCTGAGATATGCTGGCCTTCGGGAAATGATGTTATCATTTCCTTGCTGATGTCTCATTCAGGACGAGGGAGAAACAGGCATGTGACAGTCCTTGCGGATATCTAACCACACCTGGGTTGGGTCGCAAGTTGGCCCGGCCGCCTAAGCCGCGCGAGCTAGCCTGCCCAAAAGCGGCGCGAGGTCACGTGAAATAGAAGTTCAACGGTCTCGCTGCTTTAACGAGCCCTAGCCTTGTTCAGGGGATGTCCGCCGATTTACTCAATACTGATAAGGGGGAAACCAGCTATTATTAGCTATTACTATTATCTAGTACCTTAACATTGCTTATGGAGGTACCGCAGAATATACTGCGTACTCCGTCCTCCATCCTCCTAACTCCAAAGATCGGTACGGAGGCTCACGCCCGTGATATCGCCAGTGGCTTACTCCGGAGTGTAAGCAGAACAAGCCCCTTTCTCAGACCGACCTTGCACGTCTTGCCATCGCCATCTACAAGACCTCCCGTTTGGCATCCTGACGTCCACGAAGCGTCCAATCATATTCTATATTCTATGCTATTCTATCTGGACAGCATTTTTTGAATCATCAACATGCTTCGTTCAATAGCCAAATTTACAAATGAGTCCGGTGAGCCTAACGTTCCCTCGACCCTTCCCTACTGCACAATCACAGTCTCAGGAATGAAGGGAAAGACTAACACGCCCACTCCTCTACTGTCAGGCGGCATTGAGAAAACCCTCAAACTGCTACAGTCGGTCTCGCAGATCGGCGAGAGCATTGGCGATTCCTCCCCCACGTTCGTCGATCTTGCGCAATGGACGACGGCGAAAAACCAGTTTGCCCTTGGTAAGCACCAGCACCAGCACCAGCACCAGCACCCACCATGCCGACCATCCCTCTTTGTCCCGTCCAATCCAAGCTACGCATATACTGCTGTCACTCCAATCCGTTCCATTTCTCAATTCTCACTTCTCATGCCGTTCATTTCACTTAACTCCTGACCGGCCCGTCGGACTTGGACACGATGAAATGGCAACTGACACGCCTGAGGAACAGCACGTCGATACTTCCGGCTCTTCAAATGGATCGACTGCTTCACCGTAGCCAATGCTCAGTACCAGGCGTTCGGAAGCACGCAGCCAAAAGGCAAAGACAAGGGCAAGGGTGGAACGGAAACGGCAACGAAAACGACAGTGAAAACTCCAGAAGATCCCGGAGACAATTTCCGCGTACTGCTCTCGGTGTCCAAATGGTCCTTCCTCGGCATTTATCTCTTCCTGGAAATGTTTACGATAGTAAGTCTCCGGTCTCCCCTTTTTGCTCCCTGCCCAATCCAATTCATCCCTTGTTTTGCTTCCTACCCAATTCAATTCAATACAATACAATGCGAGGAACGGGTATCCTTGAACAAAAGCACCAGAGAAACATCAAGTTGACACCACCCTTCCTCGGGACGATTCTAGACCAACGCCTTGTCCCTGACATCATATTCATGGGGCCCCACTGTGCAAATCGAGGCGTTGAAATTCTGGGCCTACTCGCTCGCCGTATCAGTCATATTGGGCATCTATGAGCTTTTCCAACTCGGCTCGGATTCCACACCGACACCTACCACTGAACCCGACGGCAGGGGCAAGCACGGCAGAGAAGAGAAGACCACCCTAGTATCCGGCAGAGAAGAGAAGACTACCCCAGCATCCAGCACTACATCAGCCTCGAGACCTCCTTCATCCTCTCCCGGGACATCCCGTTCCAGCCAAGCCCACAAGCGTCGAGCCATCTACAAGCAAATCGTCAGCGACGGCTGTGACCTGCTTATCCCCGCCTCGGCTGTCGGATGGATCTCGCTGGACCCTGTTACTCTCGGCGTGGCTGGCTCGATCAGTGCTGTGCTCGGAGCATCGGAGGTCTGGGCCAGAGTCAACCCGTGACATGATCAACGACGGGACAACCAGACTCAACCCGTGACTTGATCGACGATGGAGACGAAAGACGAGACATAATACATGACACCGCGCCGAACTAGACTCAATCGCCTATTGAGTATGCATGGTGGAGTGGAGTGGCGGCGGTGTCATGCACGCTGCATGCATGCTGCATCAACCGGTCGAGACTATTGTCGTCTTAGTACTATACATATACACTACATGCTAGGTACATACTACATACTGCATACTACTACTGGGCTTAGCATCCGTCCCACTGATGCGATATGCGATTTGGCGGCCGCCGTCCATGTCCATGTCCATTCATGCAGGAACAAGAAACAAGAACAAGAAACAAGAACAAGAAACAAGAACAAGGAACAAGAACAAGGAACAAGAACAAGAAACAAGAACAAGAAACAAGAACAAGAAACAAGAACAAGAAACAAGAACAAGAAACAGCGGGGATGGGATGGGGATGGGGACGAGCCATGGCCCATTTCCATTTCCATTTCCATTACTGTTTCCATCTCCATCATACACATTCCGGGGCCCTTTTGTAGTGTGTTTCGAGTCATTTCAGTCTGATTCATCGAATAGATGCACCTGCACCTGCACTTGCATCTGGCAATAAGGTACTACTACTACCGCTACTACTGTAAGTCATCTTTGGCCTTGGCCTCTTGATATCGCTGTACTGTATGGGGGGTCTTATTCTTTTCCCTTCTCCCTGTTCCCTTCTCCCTGTTCCCTTCTTCCTGTTCCCTTCTCCCTTTCCCCTTTCCCTTTTCCTGGTCATCGTTTTCCTGGGGTTTCCTCTTCCTCCACAGGCTGGGTGTGTCAAACTTAGGCACTGACTTAGGCACTCCCATTTCCCAGCCTTGTGCTTTAACCAGAAGGCTGGAGGCTGGTTTAGGTATGCTAACTACCGTATATAGCATGCGCTCTCCCCCCCCCCCCCCTGCGACCCTTTGATAGAGAACATGGAAGATTTCGACCTTTGACAGGCTGAGGGTGGAAGTTGTTGATGTTTGATATTTGAATTTGAATTTGAATTTGTATTTGATTATACGCATTAGAACATGCACTGTGCTTCATCTATCATCGTCGATAGTCTTCGTATTCATTATGGTCCTCGGCACACTCGGTAGGGGCCGAAATGACTTTTAACCCAATCTTTGCTTTTGCTTGTTGCTTTCGTCCGTCCTAACGTCCTACCTCCCAACCAGACCTCACTAGCCAGGCCGTCATGTTGCTCCTCAGACCTCCCTGGCAGTCCGTCATGTTCTTTCGACGTCTAATCAAGGTTGGCGTAGTAGCTATAGTCCTGGTTCAGAAGAGGGAATGCCTCCGGCTCTGGCTGGCCTGCGGCACTGTGCCAGACCGGAGAGGGCAGACTGGACAGGCCGCCGTCCTTCTGTGGGGTGTCGGAGAAGATGTGTTCGAACGTCTTGGCCCATTGGACGCGGTTGTTGAAGCCCTCGAGGCCCCAGAGCTCTTGCAGGAAGTGCAGGAACGACGTGTGCGTGTAAGCCGAGTTGGAGGCGTAGCTGGTGCCGTCATCGTGGATGAGCGTGTTAGGCTGGATCCAGGGAGAGATGGCCAAGGCCGGCACGCGGACGCCCAGGCGGGTGAAGTCGTAGGTGACGTTGTGGCCATCGGACTTCCCGTCGAAGGTGATGCCGTCCTCGGGCGGCGGGATGCCTGTGGGCGGAGGGACGTGGTCGGCAAAGCCGCCGTGCTCGTCGAAGTTGATGATCAGGAGACTGTCCTTCCGCGTCAGTAAGGGTTGGGGTTGGCCACATCTTGGCTTGCCATTTGCTATCCTTCCAAGGCTGAAGAACTACAGTAGCAGGATGAAATTGCTTCAGAGGTCACTTACACGTTGTCCCAGTAGGCAGAGTTTCGCAGCGCGTCGTACAGATGCTTGATCATGAGTTCACCCGCGGCCATGTTACTGGTCGGGTGCATCGAGTCGACGGTGCAGCATTCCGGGTTGATGTAGGAGAACTGAGGCAGGTTGTTGTTCTTGAGGTCCTCGTAGAACTGGTCCGCGTGCACGATGCGGTCCATGGCGTTGTCCTGGACCCACTTGTAGATGTACGAGTCGATGATGTCGCTCTCGTAGTAGTTCTTCCAGCTGATGTTCTTCTTGCTGAGCGCCTCGAAGACCGAGGTGGCGCACTCCGTGCCCGTGACGTTGGAGAACCAACCGGTAGCCTGGCTGTCTGTGTTGTCGACGTATCCGCACGTTGACCCGGAGGTGGCGAACATTCGGTTAGGGTTGGTAGGCCCAGGGTGCTCGGCGTGGTATGAGTCCCAGAAGGCATAGTTCTCGGCCAAAGTGGCGAGTGTGTTGGACTTGGCCGGATCATATGCCTGGATCACAAACGCACTGTCTCCTGGAGTGGCGTTGTACTTGTCGGATTGTCGCTCAATGAAGCCAGACATGTCGGGCACATCGGTCTTGCTCGGGTCCCATTTGCGGTAGATCTCGTAGCTGACGCCGGCGAAGTTGTGGTCGGGGTCTTTGAGAGGCACTTCGGCTTCATACGGCTCGGCGCAGATCATGATGGGCTCATCATAGATGGTCCAGTTGGGATTGGTGAATTCATTGCAGAAATCGCGGTTGCGCAGGTTGTCAATGTCCGGGTGGAAGTCCCAGTACCCGGCAATGTTGTCGAAGGAATGGTTCTCCAGCATGAGGTACACCACATGGGTGATCTTGGAGCTGAGGTCGTTCCATTTCGTGCCCCTTGACTCCAATGGGAGGCCGAGGGCAGAGGAGATGAGCGCGACGGCGGCAGCCAAAGACGCGAGGCGGGCCATTTTGTTCGTAGAGAGCTTGTTCCGTTCTGCTGCTGCAACGGTTGGATAATAATACTCGGAGATGCATGATAGTCGTCCATCCCAGCAAGAAGATTTTATACTTCTCCCATCCTCGTCCTGTTCGACCATGTAGCGCTGTCGTCCGTATTCTTCGGCTTCGCAGGAATGCCGTCACGCGGTTTGTTCTTACCTTCCTGGATCTTTGTCCAATGAGTGTTCCTCATCACTACCACGTTGCCTTGACACTACAGTCTTGCATGAGGTTGTCGTCTTGACCCATACAACGACCCATGACCCACGAGCGGTTTATTTTTCTGCCGGAAGTCGGCCTGGCCTGCGAGGGTCAGCTGTCCGGCTTTGCGGATTGAGGGACACGCGAAGAAACATGGCCGCAATAGTTCGGTGGAGGTCGTGGATGATGCGATATCATCGTCGACGGACAAGTGGGTAGGTAGCTAGGTAGGCAGGTAGGAAGCGGGAACGGATCCAGGCACACACAACGACCAAGGATGGATTGTGGCTTGCGACTCGGAGGACCAGATCGATGCTCGCGGAGCAGGTTAGAGAGCCGAAAGTGAGCTAAGGACACTAAAATAGACTAATTGACGCTAAACACTCTAGCGTTGGTTAATCCCGCGCAAGCTTTGTTAGCGGGGCCAAGGCCCGCCAGGCGCTGGACCGGGAAGCTTAGCCGTCTCTTTGCATCTTTGCTTGGGATGCTTGTCGCAACACCACCGTCCCCACGGCACCTCGCCAATCAGGCTCTATACAATTGCTGCTTACTGGCAACGTGCACGCTTGGTGCGTGAGCCTGCGTTCTCCTGCGGGTCCCTGCAGAGGATCAGCGCTCGTTCCGGCTATTATGCTGGGGGTTTTGTTGGCCTACCCCCCGCTCATCTCCAGCCGCGTGGATTTTTCTCGTCCCGCCGCGGTACACGTTGCTCATCGACAGGTCAGAATGAGGCCGTGGACAATCTTCAAGCTGCCGGTTTAAGCCAGCATCCTTCTGATACCACGAGGGTCACGGACTGGGGTCCTGCAGGATTGCAATAGGTTTGCCGAAGCATGTCTCGCTCGGTTCATCGGCCACTCCAAGGCATTGCTTTTCAACCATGCTGGAAGCGGGTTCCCACCAGGACTAAGGATGGCGTAGGTATGGCTGCAGCATAGCATATGCTCGAGCAGGCTGGCTGTTGTAGAGATTGCGAGCATCTGGTACACTCGAGCACACCCCCTCCATTATTCTGCTGTTCCTCCTCTCCTTCTTCGTCGAAAACGCCCAATTCCCCCCAGTCACTTGTGCACTTCCTCCCAGCCCAAACATCAAACATCAAACACCAGGCCCTCTAGCTAGAATCAGAACCAAGCCCCCTCAAGATGTGGAACGACGGCTTCGAAGATGCCAACTCCATGGCCGCCATGGTGAATTTCTTCCGACCGGCCAAATACTCGTCTCTGGCCGCCGACGCAGAGAAAGCAGCCCAGTCCAAACGGCTGTCCTCCATCGCCGAGGAGGGTGCGTGTTCCGAGACCAGCAGCCAGCCTTCCGAAGACACAGTGTGCGAGAAAGAGCTCCTACCCGCTCCATCCAGAGAGGAAAGACAAGTCAATGCCCGCATTGTCTCAGACGCCATCATTGGGCTGTCGGACGGCCTGACCGTACCGTTCGCACTCACCGCAGGCCTTTCGGCGCTGGGTAACACAAAAGTGGTGGTGTTCGGAGGCCTGGCCGAGTTGATTGCCGGTGCCATCTCCATGGGGCTGGGCGGCTACCTGGGTGCGAAGAGCGAAGAAGCAGCCTACAGAGCCACATACCACTCGACACAGAGCAAAGTGTTAGAGAACGGCAGACACAGCAGCAGCGACCTGTCCTCAGAGATCTCGTCGGTTTTCGCCCCGTACCATCTCCCGCCATCCACCCTCAAAGACTTCACACACCAACTCATCACCTCCAACAGCCTCGAGACCGTGGTTGACTTCCTCATGCGCTTCGAGCACGGCACGCCCGAACCCGCCGCCAGTCGGGCCTTTCTCTGTGCCATCACCATCGCCACGGGATACTTTGTCGGTGGCTTTGTGCCTTTAGTTCCCTACTTTTTCGCCCACAACGTCACCGAAGGTCTGATCTGGAGTATCAGCATCATGGTCCTGGCCCTGTTTGCTTTTGGATACGTCAAGACCGCTTTAGTCGAGGGTTGGTCAGGCTGGCCATCGGTCCGAGCCGACCTCGGAGGAGGTGGCCAGATGGTCCTGGTGGGAGGTGCAGCCGCCGGCTGTGCAATGGCCGTGGTGAGGTTGTTCAACACATTTATAGACATGTGAATAAATCCTCTCACTGCAGGTGGGTATCATGGAGTAATGGAGTTTGTGGGAGCAGTCTGACGGCACAGTGACTTGGCGTGTTCAAGGGGAAAAACCAGACATGAACTTAAAACATATAGTAGCTTGGGAGTCGTTGAGATCATCCAGTACCTCGTGCACTAAACCTTTGGCAATCATTGAGACCATCCAGTACCACAGCCTCTGGCAATCATTGAGAACATCCAGTCCTTCCTGCAGTGTAGTGTAATGAAATGGTCTCCTTGTAGCTCTTGACAGGATAGGTAGGTACCTAATGCAGTAGGCAGATTTTGAACTTGACAGGATAGATACCTACCTAATAATGCAATAGGCAGATGTTGAACTTGCCCAAGGTCCAACGCTCTGATCACGTACCCCGAGCATGGATGGGCCTCTGGACAACCTCCATCCAGGGTCAACTCCAGATGCGTAGCACGACTTCCATCCAGGGTCAAATCCATATGCGTAGCACGTACGGGAGCTTATAGAGCATGCTTGACCTGGGAAAATGCTACGCAGCTTCTGAGCGAGGAAAAGGACTATTACTCAGTTTTGGACAACGACAACGACAACGCTTTAAAGAATAGGAAAAGTTACAGATGGGAGGGCACTGGTTATATGTCCTCTAACTACCTACTTTCAGCCGACTGTGGATGTTCTGTACTATGAAAATCTTCGTCTGGGTGCTTTTATGATTACTTCTCCTTCCTCCTCTTCTTCCTCTTCCTTCCCAACGGACTAGTCATGCATAGCATAACGTGACCTTAAGATCAGCCACTGGCGGGAAGACGCGACCGAGGCGGCTAAATGCCAGGGGACTTGGTGGTGTTATGAGGCACGTCGACACCAGAGACGGGGTCGTAAGGGAACGGGCTGCTGTAGTTGTAGGTAGGAGCCTTGCCCTTGATGGAGTCGACGACCGACTTCAAAACACCCTTTCCATGGGCGCAAGTGGACGCGTTGGTCGGGACGGGCCAGTCTGAAACGTACTTCTTCTCCGACAGCGGGCCTGGGTATGACGCGTTGTAGAAGACTCCTTTGTCGTTCAGGTCGATCTCGGCGTTCTTGAATCCGGTCTTGTTGGCGACCAGCTCGAACACGTTGGCCGAGCAGTCCCAGCGCCCGAGCGATGGAAGACCCCAGTTCTGCGACACCGAGGCAATGGTCGAGTAGTGGTTGTAGTAGGTCTCGTCGGTGGTGCCGCGGAGTTCCTTGGGCACGGCACCGCCGATCAGGATGGAAAAGATCTTGTTCTCGATCCCGTAGGTTTCGTTCTCGTCAAAGGTCAAGAGGACCAGGGTGTCGTTCATGAAGTACTCGTCCTTGAGAAGGGGCTCGAGCCAGTTGCGCTCCCACACGGAAGCGTAGGTGATGTTGGTGTCATGGCCATCATTGGTCATGTTGGGCGTGATGAAGGCCCACTGCGGAAGCTTCTGGTTCTTGAGATCCGTCTCGAAGTCGTTGAATCCCTTGATCAGCTTCAAGCGGGTGTCGTTGTTGGTGACCGACTGGTACAGAACCAGTGGGTTGTGCTTGCGCACATAGTCGTCGTGGAACGTGTGTTGGTTGGAGTAGTTGTACCCTTGGAATCCGGCGTATGGGATGTGCTCCTGGTACTCCGCCCACGAGATGCCTTTGGTGTCGAGGAGGTCGACGACGGTGGCGATGTCTTCGGGGATGGCATGGAAGTCGTCACTGTCCATTCCGAAATTGTCACCACCAGCTGCGGCGCAGTAGTTGGGTTCCGAAGGGTGGGTGGTTGCCCAGTAGTTGCTGAGCGTGATGCCTTGCTCGGCCAGCCATGCTTGGTTGGGGTCTCCAGCGGCGTTGGCGAAGTCAATGTTCTCAAGCCAGATCTGGTAGAACCGGTTGAACGCGAGGCCTTTCACATTGCTCGTCGAAGAAAGGGCAGTCGCAGTGGCAGCTGCAGCCGAGATCTGGCTGGCCGAGGGCTCAATCGTCGACACTGCGGGAGGAGATGCGTAAGAGGTTGAGGCAGAGGTTGAGGCTGATGACACAGCCGCGCCAGCAGCCAAGCGGCACGCGGCCAGGAGAAAGCCAGTGGTTTTCAGCATCTCAAAGGACTTGAGAGTAGGAAGTGCCTGCGCTGAGGATCAAGGTCTGGAAGGATGAGAAGATCTGGTCTGGTCTGGTCTGGTCTTTCGAGCAGGGGGAGAGAAGGGTATCTTGTAGCACACACGGGGCTTCTTCGTCCAGAGGAGACAGCCAGGCGCGTGTCTGTTTCTTTGGACGAGATTTGTCGCTGCAATGCTGTTCCATAGTGCTAACCCTGGTGCTCGACTTGTTCTCGTGGTTGTTTAGTGCATTTGCGTAATGTTCAATGATGACCAAATTGCGGGGCTTGACCGAATCCGACGTGCCCGGAACAAGCTTCAATTAGCGTCTTAGGGTCCTCTGGCTGTGGAGACGGCAGAGCTTACATAGACGTAGGCAGCCAAGTGGACCAGCTAGAAGCAAGCTAGAGAGTTGGCGGCGGAGGCTAGTGTGTTAACCATCCTAGTGCAGCACGTGTCGAGCATTGGCCATTCAGCATTGATATCAGATCAACGTGCCGAGCTTCGCAAGGCTGCTTGCTGGAACTGCACCATTGCAACCTCCCAACCTCCCTTGGAACCTCGTCTCCTCTGCAGAGATTTCCATGACACTCTAGGTCGGGCATCTCCACGTGCGCCGACACGAGTTTCTCCGGGGCCCAAGTCGTGTCAATGTTGTCCACCGCATGCGTCGCAAATGGTTACTCCATGCAGAACAGCCTTGAGCTTTGCCGTGCTCCCGAAGACGAAGCTGGTTCCAATCTCAGCCTCCAGGAAAATGATAAACCGGCAAAATGACATGTTCTGGGTAGTTACCCGAGGGGCGACCGAGTTGTCGAAGCAAGGGCCGCGAGTCCAGGCCGACATGGTCGTCCCACAAGGTGCCCTTACTCAGAGTCCACAAGCAAATAGCTCGTTCGGTAGATTTCATTGCGAACATCCGAATCCCTTTCAGCTGACAGACTCTGCAACCGAAGCTCCCGACTGTGACTGCGACACTGGATTTCGTGACAATCCTCACCCAAGTATGCTTGAATCTGCCCTGTTCGTTCATTAGAAGAGGCTGAAGGGATTAGCTAAAGGGAAATTTCAAGGTTCAATCTTCAACATTAGTCATGGTAGAACACTCCATTATAGTTTCCAAACGAGTTCAGAAAGGGAAATGTCCCATGAAGGAGCTGTCTTCAATCGACTTTGTATGCGTGCTCACTCGGTCATTCACTGTGGTGTCCACAAAATCCATGCACATGCTGCAAATTCCCTTGTTTTTCACATCGACTCTTTGAATCCACGTGTAACCTGTGAACAGAATGCCTTACCTCCGTCCCGACGAACAGGTCTTCTCAACAGGTCTTGGCAATATCTCTCTTGTCGCTTCTGGCACTCGTTGTCTTGGCCGTCATATATACCTGCGCCTTCCACTCGCCCCTGTTCAACCTGTCAAAGTCACGTCCCCTGTATCGGCTTCTTCGCGCTCCTGACCTAGCACATGTACAGCATATTAAGCCACAGCTGTAGTCGGGCCAACTGGGTGTCGGATAATGGGGATGAATTGCCAGACGGACAAGGCCTTGTATTCGTTCCTGGTGTTTGGCTAGCTCGTGCACTTTGCCCTCGTCGTGCCCGACATATACAACCGCCGCGCCCAGACCACGCTGAACGCATACGACGAGATGATAGACAACGGGGTTTGAGCCGGAACGTCCAAATGAAAATGCTGCTCGACCGGGACGGCGCCGTTCATGACCAGCTTACCCCCATTCATACATGCAATTGAGTGGCCCTCTCCGTTCATGGTCTTCTTGCATCATTCTGAGCTGCCATCTCTCCCCTCTGGTTGCTATTAGCCTGCGCTTGAGCCTATAGTTCGTCGGCCGTGAAATTTCGCCGACCCGAGGCCATTCTGGGAGGCGCGCGACCTCTGTTAAAGCGGCACGGTCTGGCATCGGCGCGTCGGTGTCACGCTTCCAATGCCAAACGATGAGCAAGTCAGGCTTCGTGTTTGTCCCCGGAGTCTATCTGCCTTCTCCGCGTTACCAGTCAACCATTCCTTCAGTCATTCAAGTTGTCGTCACTTAGTCACTCACTCACTTGCTCGTTTCCCAGTCATTCATTCTCTTCCACGCACTCTTTTCGTGATACCCCTTTTGTTATCCCTGGATCAACCGCGACATTAAAACCCCTAAACCCTGCGAATCGACGAAGCCTCTTTTCTCCTCCTTACTTCAACGCGGCCGAACATGCGATACCACACCTTTATTTCAACGGCCCTTGCAGCCGCACCGCTGGCAGTGTCGGCAGCAGGCACTCTAGGCTTCGCCGTGGGAAACACCAATCCTGACGGCACTTGCAAGACGCAGAGCGACTTCGAGGCCGATTTCAAGGCCATCCAAGGAAATACCCAAGCCCAAATTGTTCGAACCTACTCTTCTTCCGATCAATATGGCAATCCATGCAATACACCTTCTGAGATCCTCCCTGCGGCCAAATCGGCGGGCATCAAGGTCCTTTTAGGCATGTGGTGAGTCGGGACGACAAAACAAGCTGCCGCAATGAGCTTGGTCTGATAACATGTGTCGTGCAGGCCTGATGGTGGTGCTTATGAGAAGGAAAAGGCAGCGGTTGACAAAGCGGATCCAACATCATTCGGCGACACTCTCTACGGCATTACGATTGGCTCAGAGGGCATGTATCGAGGCACCTACAACGCGGAAGAGCTCACGGGCTGGATCCAAGAGGTGAAACAGAGCTACCCAGACACCGCCATTGGGACTGCCGACAGCTGGAACTGCTGGGCCAACGGGACCATGGACTCTATCATCACGAGCGGCATCGATTTAATGTGAGAGACCGAGACCGTGAACCCAGCTTACTGGGCTCGGGCATAGCTAATCCGACATTTGGGACAGTCTTGCCAACGGGTTTGCGTATTGGCAATATCAAGAGATCGGCAACGCCACAAAGACGTATTTCGACGACATGGCTCAAGCACTTGCGCATGTCCAAGAAGTGACTGGCAGCCTGGACAAGATCCACTTCATGAACGGCGGTAAGGCAGACCACCCCGGTGTACGGTGTACGGTGTACGGCAGTTGAACTGATTTTCTCCTCTCCAGAGACTGGCTGGCCAGGCACCGGAGGCACCGACGCAGGCGCTGCAAAGGCCGGCGACGACAACATGAAGACGTACTGGCAATCCGCCGTGTGCGGTCTGCTCGATTGGGGCGTTGACCTTTTCTGGTTCGAGGCGTTCGACGAGCCCAACAAGGCCGACGCCATCGGCGACAATGGCCAAAAAGCCAGCGAGAAGTACTGGGGTTCCTTCACCTCGGACCGAAACCCAAAGTTCGACATGTCATGCTAATCTTGCGAGTCGCATCATTCATTTCTGAGCGAAGTGGGAGCTGCAGCTGAGCCTGAGCCTGAGCCTGAGCGTATTTTTGCCGCTTCGTACTTCATACTAGGATCGGTCCTCTTGTCCAAAATACATTTTCATAATCAAGCCACGGTCCCTTGATCCCCTGATTCCGTTGGCTGGAGTGGGATCCGGGATTCGGGATCCGAGGACTGGCTGGGCCCGACCGAATCTGGCTCTTTTGTTTTCGTCTATAAAGTATTTCTACTTCTGCTTCTATTTCCGCATCTGCTTCTGCTTCTGCTTCTGCTTCTACTTCCACTTCCATCAGGAGTACTTATTACCCTTATGTGCCCTTGCCTCGGGGCTTAGGCTCCCTCTACAACCACCACATTTAGGTACCTAAGGTAGGTTAGGTAATGTCTTGACTGATGTTCAGTAGTACTGTATTCGTTTACTATACTGCGTACAATATCATTATGGACAAACAACCTTAGTCCTGCATCTAACATCCTAGAAGAACCTCACACTTCGCACCTAGCACCTAGCAGCCAGCACTACATCTCACTATCATGTAGTCGATATTGCAATATTGCATTGTCGCAGTCGCATTCGCTGTCACATTCGCTGTCGCATTGTCGCTTTTCAAAGGAAAAGGGGGAAGAAAAAAAAATATAACACCCCCGTTTATTCGAGTTCGTCATGCCTCAAGATTGATCGGCCCTCCTCCCCTCCTGGATCAAATTGACCCTCTTGATGGGATGGAGAAGCATGCCGGGCAAGCACATTCTGCCTTCGCCTGCCACCTCGTCCTGCTCGCCGCCGTCATTGTTGAATTTCATGCCGAGCCAGCGGTGCCACAGGACCTCGGGGAAGCCGGCGTTGTAGTACCAGGTTGTGCCGCGGAAATTGTGCTCGCGATCTCCAAAGACGCTGGTGCGGGCGCCGCCCGTGGCGCCGTTGCGGCCGCCGTTGAACACGGCCTGGAGGTAGTTCGTGGGCCACTTGCGGTCAATGTACTCCGGGTGCGGGGCGTAGACGGCTTTCAGGCCATGGTGCAAGGCGCAGCTGGCCGGCCACATTTCGCTGAACATGGTGTGCTTCTTGAGCGCGGTTTCGCGGTGCATCGTTGTCAAAAGCCTGCGGCTGAGTCGGCTGGCCGTGATGATGGCCGTGCGTCGCGGAGGCCGCCCCCGCGTGATGTTGTACCCTGTGGTGTCGTCCTTCAGAAGCCACGTCGTGCCGTCCGGGTCGAAGAGCGGGTTGAACACGATCAGGTCTGCCTCTTCGCCCACCCCCCATGTATATTTGTCCTTGTCGAATGATGTGGGCGGCATAGGGTCGCCGTCAAACGCCACGTCGTCGTCCAAGGGACGTTCGGGGCCCCAGATCGGTGTATCGCCCTGCTGTCTCATTCCGCCCGCCACGGGGACGGAACCGCTCTGATCTTTGGCCCGATTCAGACTGCTCCATAGATTGCTGGCACTGTTGGTGCCTTGTTCCGTCTGGATGCGTACCATATGACTAAAGTCATCCCATGTCCCATGCTCCGAGGGAATGTAGAATCTGCTGTTGCGCTCCCACAGGAGCTTGCGGGGCTGAGCTTTGGCCCATTGGGACACGCGGTCGAAGAAATGATACCAGTGGTGCGTGCTGCGGATGTCCATCTCCCAGTTCCAGAAAAAGTCGTATTCGGGATGTTGGTAGGCAAAGTATTGCATGGGCATGAACGTGCTACGGTACACGCCGTGAACAGGCAGATCTCGCATCCAAGTTTCTTCCAGGCCGCCGTACATGAGCAGCATTTGGCGTTCCGACCAAAGTGTACCCATACCGCGGAACTCTTCAGGTAATGAATCTCGGAGAACTCGCTCGTAGGTTTCGTCGTCAGACCATACGGGGGCGTCGTCGCTCTTGACTTGGATGAGAAAGTGTACCACGTACTCTCCCCCACTCAACATGCTCAACTCCGAGATGAGAGATCGAAGGTACATCTTATCTTCGATGGTATATGGATAGTCCCACCAAGTCCGAATCACAACCGCTGTCCTAGGTAGCTTCTCTGAGCCGCCTTTTGGCTTTTCATCTTGTTTGACAGATGTGGCCTTGGAGTCAAGGGAGTTGTCTTTGTTTGAGATGGCTCCGACTTGCATTGCCCTGAACTTTTCCACTCGAGGTTCCGGCAGCTCTTTGAATCGATGTTGATTCGCGGCGACACATCTTTGTTGAGCGTCGGCCCATTGAACTTTCCGCCAGTCCACTTCCGGGCTGTCTTCCCAGACCAGGTCGGCCCCCTCTCTTTCGCCTTCTTGTTGCGCACCACTGCCGCCGCGGTTGATGCTGTATCCCAAACCATACGGTCCTAACCGACCGAACCGATCGTAGCAAATGTCGGTTCTCAGGCCTAGCTGTTCGGCAGACCCCATGACATTGTCGGGGAATCCTCTCGGAATGCCTTCGTAGACTCGAACGCTTGGAATAGACACCGTGTTTTTGGCGTCCAGATAGCAATCGACCTTCTCGCCGAATTTCGCAGTGTATTCTGTAGATGTGTAGTTTGGGTAGGGATCGAATCTGTTGCTGGCTTGAACAGACCGTTTACTCCGTTTGCTAGGTTTCTTCTCTTGCTCTTGCTCCTGCTCCTTTTGCCTCCTCTCTTCCTCCTGCTGTTGCTCCTTCTGCTTCTTTTCGTCCTCTTCTTTCTTAACCTCTTCATCTATGCTGAAGCTGTCAGTGGGCATTTCGTCGTCATTTCGAGGGTATTCAGGATCATTCGACTTGGCAGGAACCAAAGACCGAAGTCCACCGTAGTATCTCTGGAGGAAGGGAAAACTCTCCCACGGTGGAGGCTTGGGTGCCACTTTGGCTTGTTCGATGGCGACTTTCACCTCCTTGTCTGCGTTCCAACTTAATCGAACCAGTGAGAAGATGAATATGAGTAATGTGGCGGCAAGACCCAAACAGAGCCAGCGCATAATCGATCGCGGCATTCTTCCCAGATATGAAGGCGAGGATGACCTCTTTGAAGCATAGGCCGTGTGTATCGGCATCGGTTTGTAGGAAGAGGTGCGTCGTGAGGATGCGGCAGATTGTTGATCATCGTCATCGTCGTCGTCGTCAGAGATCGCATAGCTATTGTCGTCTTCGCTGCTTCGTGATCGGAAAAAGGCTTCCTTTTCGACATCGGACTCGCCTCGGCCCCGTACTCGTGCCGTGGAAGTACCAGTATGTAGGCCCGACGATGAGCTCCTTTGCCATGCCATTGTCACGAGGCAGGTGGCTGCAGCCCCGGCGCATCGTCTCGTATGTGTTTTTCCAGCGTTTGCAGACTAAGTCTCGTGCACCGAGGACACGAGCTAAGGAGGTTCGACAGGAGCAGTGAGGATGGCAAGCAGGTGGAACACCGGTCTTGTCGTGGCGTTAGGTTGTCTCGGCGGCGGGAGCGAAGATTAGGGTTGTACGGGACAAAGTCAAGTTTGTGCAAGGCGCACCAAGTAGATACAAGACTGCAAAGGACAATATGTACAAGAGATTGAAAGAGCTGGAGCTGCGCCTGCGCCTGCGCCTTGCAAGAGATCTGGCTGTTGGGTGCTGAAGCTGCGTTTTCTGATGCCTCGGGGAACTTTGAACTCACAGACCCCGGACCCTTATCGCCAAAAACTGGAAAAACAGGGATCCTTGTCCCTTGGCAAACAACAGACCAACTGTCAACTGTCAACAAGCTGAATGAAGGACAGCGACAGCCGCACCGGCCGCCGATTGCGGGTGCGACAGCATCCACCAAGCATGGGGCATGAAGCCACAGTGGATTCAGGGGCCGCGTACGATCTGCCCGGAGTGGTGCTGATGATGATGAATACTGTATGGATACTCTGGAGTCTGCACTGTCTGAATCTGCTTTGCCAGCTGTTGGTGTAACGTCTGATCATAAGATACCATAAGGTCTCTACAGAATATGCACAGTTGCACATTGTCTGTTTCGGCACCCATCCCCATCCCCCATCCACCGGTGAGCAAGACGCATTCCTTATGCTCATCGAGTCAGTTCCCATTCTTAGCTGCAGAGGGGGTGCCAGTGATGTTTATGACCACGAACACACCCCTGCCGGCGTGCCCTCGATATTTCTAAGACCTAATGCCTACAAGTCATTCCCACTTGGCGGCAGGCCTTGCACTCCCCTGCCCAGGTCCTCCTTCAGCACCGTGCCGGCGATCTCCAGCTTCTCGCAATCCTGAAGCACGAATATCATCCGAGCCCACTCCGTGTCGCTTGTATTCTTCCACGCGTGCATTGTGGCCCTTTGGACCGCCACATCTCCTCTTTGCATGAGCTTCGTCTCCCCACTGTCCAGCGACAATTCGATGGTCCCTTCCAGCACAATGCCGTAGTCGAGGCTCTGCGTCCGGTGCATAATGCATTGAAAGCCCGGGGCCATGTCGACCACTCGGCAGACGGTGCCATGCGGGTTCACCAGGCCCAAATTGCCGCTTGCTACCACTTGGTCGTGAAGCTTGAGGTCTCGATCATTGTTGAGGTTGGCGGGGAACTCGGAGGTCGAGTAGATGACGTTGAAGGCCATCAGATTGTCATCGTAGCTGCTCCAGTTTCCATCTCGGGACTCATGGACGATGGCCTTGCCTGTGGCGGGGTCGTGGCCAGTGATGTGAGTAGTTAAGCCGGGTAGGGAGGTGGCCAGTTGGTTGGCATTGGGAGGGTGAGAGGAAGACATGTTTGGCTTCTTGCTTGAGGCTCCTTGGTGAGGCTCTTTGGTGAGACTGTAGTGTCCGCGGTCAATAACTGGTCTGGCACTTGCAGGATGAGGAATAAAGGGAGGAAAGCGCGGTTGGATCTCTTCTTGAGTTCAGTTTCCTCAGAGAGCACCCGGTGACAAGTGAGACAAGATACAGGTCCAGCACATCCTGAACACAAGACTGATTCTGGTGTGACAAGGTGGGTGCTGCTTCATCTACTCTGTACCTGTGATACCCCGCGCAGTGCACCAATCGGCAATCCATGTTCATACGTATGTCTCTCCCAGGTTCAAGGCGCAGCTGAAGAGGATTCCCCTCTCGTTCTGACCGCCCATTGTACCATGGCCATTACTATAATCTGAGACCCAAGACTCCCTCGAGAGCACCCGTACCGAATCCACCGTACAGAAGCAAAATTCCTATCTCTCTCACAGCATCATCTTGAACTCAGGATCTCGATCGTCTCCGTATCCAATATACTTGTCGTATTTTCCGTTCGCTTTATCGCGATTAACCCTGGAGCAATAAAGAACATTGAGCAGGATCCTGGCACGGTCAAATCAGTGGGCGGACAGAAGGCATGCACAACTTACGCGAACCACGCATAAACCAACAGACCCAGGATGATGGTATGGGACCTGTGGTATTGAGGCGCTTCAGAAGATTGATAAATGAAGGCACTCACAAAGCCACCTGCGTTGGCGACCGAAAGCTGGAGGGCAGAAGTCGACGACCGTTTGTAATGTCCCGCCGAGTTATTGGAATTCCAGACAAGCACAGGAGGGACACTGGCGTAAAGGCCCGTTGCCATCAGAAAGGTCATGCCATACTTGGCGCTGTTGTCGTGTTCCTTCACGTTGGCGATGGCCGCATACCCGATGATGGCCAGAGGCAGGACGCAGAGCATAACCACTCCTCTGAGTTTCAGATAATCCGAAGCAAATGCCACGGCAACGGTGATGACTGCCGCCACGGCATATGGGATAACCGTCCACAGTTGAGCCTCATTTGCAGTATACCCCAGACCCTTGATGATGGTGGGCAGGAAAAGGCCAAAGGAGTACAAGCCCGACAAGATGGAAAAGTACGCAGTCGCCGTCAGCCATAATTGAATGTTGAGAGCTCCTCGGCCAACTTCTGACCAGCGAAACTTTTCCGTCCCTTCACTGTGATGGCCATCTGGTAGGTGTGCTAAGGTGTCAATATGAAGCCGTTTTGCCGCCAGTTCTCGTTCCTCGGGATCTAGGAACCATGCAGTTGCCACATTGTTGGGGAGCAAGAAGTATGCCACAACACCGGCAACAAACGTCAGTAACCCCTCAATCACCATGATCCAACGCCAGCCAGCGTCCAGACCACCGCGGGGTCCGATGGCCGAAAGACCACGGGCCAGAAGGCCGCCGAATGCACCCGCCAGAGACGCCGAGGTGTAGAAGAGACCGATTCTTAGAGCCAGTTCACCTCGAGTGTATATCCCTGACAGATAGAGAACCATGCCAGGGAGTAAGCCGCCTTCTGCAAGACCCAGGAATGCTCTGACGGCGAGGAATCCTCCATAATTCTTGACGAAACCGAGACACATTCCGATGATACCCCAGACGGCAGTCAAAAATGCCAGCCAGATCCTCGGACTCGCCTTCTTAAGCACCAAATTGCTGGGCAATTCTGCGGCAATGTAGAAGGCAAAGAAGATGGCCAACCCGTTGGCGTAGTGACTGTCGCTGAGACCAACATCCTTTTGCAGGCCCAGGATTTTGGCATTCCCGACGTTGGTCCGGTCTAGAAATGAGCAGAGAAAGAGGAGAGCAAGGACAGGGAGGATTCTAATTGGGTGAGGCCCATTCAATTAGATAGGTCGTCTCCAACAGTCAAGTGCTTACCTGCTATCGAGCTTAAAGAGTAGCTTCCGGGTCAAAGCCTTGGTGTGAGCGTCATCACTCGAAGACGGAGTCGATACAGCCTTGTCGATGGGAATGACTTGGCTGCCGGTCTCAAATTCGTTTTGTACATCCTCTGGCTTCTCAACGGATGACTTTACATCCATTGCAACGCCGGTACACAGGATGTGTCAGCGTGGGCGTCGGAGACTCGGCGGTGAGATGAATCGCCACTGGGTTCAATTCAAGGCAAGGAAGTTGGAGGGAGGTTGTGACTTGTATACTCACCCCAACGATCTAAGAAAAGTAGAAATGTCAAGGCGGTGGGAGTCCGGGGTCAAGATAAAGGGCTTAGGAAGCTCTGATCCCGCATTCTGACCCCGTGGGTAACAGTATGTATGTGGATTCTTTGACCATCCCACCTTGCAGATGACCCGATCAACATATGAGTTGTTCCTAGCTGCAGTGTCACGTCACGGCCAGGACAACCAATGGTGGTGGACTGCGTCATGGTATCAGGTTGAGTGCGGATGTCTATTTGGCTGGGGTTGCACGGGACAGGGGTTTCGTCGGAGACAGATGGGATCAGCGACAATCCAAGAGGCAGAAGGAGAGGAGGCGAGGCGGCTGTTGTCTGGACGGAGGTAGAAGAATGTCCGAAAGCACTGGCACGAGTGGCCTAATATCGTAAGCTGATGGAGATGGTAGAGTGAGTGGTAGAGAGGCGTAAGCACATGGGCAATTTAGTCTTAAGCCTAGCGAGGCACCAAAGTCAGTATGGTCTACGGAGTACATAAGGGCTAAGAGGCTTAGGGGGCTGACTTATCCATTAGGCGTCCCCTAGAGCAATTGACATGCCTTAGGCCCTAAGCCCCTAAGCCTAAGGAGCCCTGAGCTAACTGTGCCCATGACGGTACTGTAGATCTACCTATAGGTAGTCACACTGGTGCTTGGCCCTTGAACCCTACCTAGGTAAGGTAGGTAGAGAACAAGCCTCACCAACCAATCCTCCATCCGTCACTAATAACTATCCACAACATCTTTCTACTTCCAACCCTCGTGACATTTAACGATCCATCAACAAAGCAGTAACTCTACAGTTTCACTAGAAGGGACCAAACGGATGAGAATTTGAGATCTATGAACGCGGCATCCCTTTCCTTGCAGCATCAACTCATCTCTCAATCGCGCAGACGATATATTTTTCTCCAAATACCTCTACCACATCTCCTTCTTTGCTGGTCTTTTCCCAGTCCTGTTCCTTGGGTTGGCCATTTTCGACATAAGTGTTGATGCTAGGAAGAGTAGACAAGTTTTCTTTGTCGCCTGCCGCATACTTGACCGTCCACGAACCCCGTTCAGCCTCCCAAGTTTCTCGTCTGGCACAGAAACCCTTCATGCCTACTGGCCCCTCGCTTCCCCCTTTCAAAGCCAAGTAATCCCCTCCCACCCGGCCGATGAAAGTCCTTTTATCAATGCTGCGGATGATCCAGGATGATGTGAAGAGCTCCCCAAAGCTTGCTGGTAGTGACCGCCAGACTTCCTCATAAGGTGTCACAATGTTGGTTTCCGGGTTAAGCATGCTGCCTGTCTCGATGGAGTCGGTAGAGCCAGGTGACTCGACAGGCTCAAAGCTGCCGATATCAGGCTCCGTGTACCCATTGGAATCGATCCAGTGCGTCCACTTGCAGGTGACTATTCAGAGAATGTTAGTCCACATTGACGATTTGGGAGAGGGGCCATCGACAGCAGATGAGGTCTGCGGCGCGAAACCAGATGCAATCTTGTCTTTCATTTTCTTTCGCCACATCGATTGGACTGGAAATGACTATCAACACATACAGGGCTTTTCAGACAGGATAAATCTTTCGCCAGCCATGCCCCAGTCAATAGACCCGTCCTGCTTGGTGATGCGAAGGTCTACAAACCAGCCTCCTACACTCATAACAAGTGTGTCAGTTGGTTCAGAAGGCTCTCCCGGCACCCAGCGGATGCTGAGTCGTGTAGAAAGCCGAGCAGCCATTGTCTTCTCACGGGTGTAACGCGCAAAAGTTCAAAGATCAAATGTTAGGTAGGCCAATGATATGAGTAAAGCTGAGGTTGTCGGGGTATCTAGTTATATAGGAAGAACGCACCAGACATTTCACCTGATTGAACGAACTCGCAATCCCACGGCCCAAATATATGCTGGTTGGAACATCCCCATGAGGATAATAGAAGCAACGGGGAGCGTGGAATCTGATGGCGTGTGGATTGCTCGCATTCATATGATTCGCGGGTCTTCCGTCGTCGGTTCATCATTCCCCTTTCGACCTAGTCTGATTACTCTGACAAAACGCCCCCTCAGGCGCCACAGACTTTCAATCCACCGTCATCATCTCTTCTAGACTCCCTCGATCTCAATAGTAGATGCTGGGCTACTTACTTGGTCGATGCCCATTGAACGTCTCTTTACACCGGTCAGCAATACACCCAATCCCTTCTCAGCAGTGGCTGGGTGGAAAAATAGTACTCAACGCAATGCCACGCATGCGACAGCTTTGCCGTGAGACCTATCGCCTACGGACGACATGAATCCTCCCCCTCGGTCCTTCAATGGCTGTGCCCGCTGCAAGAAACGAAGGCAAAAGTGCGGAGAGCAGAAACCGCAGTGCGCTCGATGCCTGAAAGACGGGGCGACCTGTACGTACCAGAGGACATTAAGATTTGGGGGACGTCCCTTTGGACAGTCACGTTTTGGGACGTATCTTTCTAATGGAGGCACTGGTGCTCAGAGGATTGGTATACTCCACCAGGGTATTAAGTTTTCCAGTGGGTGAATTGCTGACCAAGAGCAACAGCTACTTCCGATGGAGGGTTCGTGTACGCCTCAATACCATCTCCGGAATGTGCTCAGACAACACCCGTGTCTCAGGCGTCGGAGGTATCAGACACAAATTCAACTGACCAAGGGGAGAGAATAATCACGCAGCAGGGCATCTCTGAGCCCAGTGACTCATTGGATCTGGTTCAAGGCACCAGCTGGGGCAATGGTGCCATTCCTCCGCAGATCGATGTTTTATCCTACCTTCATGTCAACAACAGAGCCCTTCTAGAATACTTCACTTGCAACGCATCTATGGCGTTAGCTTCGCATTCTTTCGTCCATAAGGAAGTTTGCAATTTGATACTGCCCATGGCCTTGGAGACACCCGCGCTCCTCTACGCAACCATGGCGTTGGCCGCAATTCATCGAACATCATTGATGTCTCCAGCCGATTGCCAGTTCAATGATGACGCTAGACGCCTGATAACCAACTTGACCGCCGCATGTATTCAACATCTACGCAAAGAGCTGCAGGACCCAGATGACGCTCAGCTGGGCGCCCAACTAGCCACCACCCGAACACTCTTTCTGTGCGAGGCAATCTCTGGGTCTCCTACCCCTCGGGCATGGCGAACGCATTTCATGGGAGCGCGAGCCCTGTTGACGTCATCTGAAAGATCTGGTGGCAAGGCATTAAGCTCTCAGCGACGGGATACGTCAATCTCTTTCTTGAAACGATGGTTCAACATTACCGAAGGGCTGGTCGCTTTGACGACTGAAGGATTGTCGGGGGGCCAAGCTACGGGCTTTGGACCCCGAGGGGTTGTTTCCATGAAAGAAGGGAATCAGGTCTGCCTCGATGTTTACACTGGCTGTACAGAAGATCTCTGTGTCGCTTTCCGAGAGATCGGAGCCGTCGCATGGGAGAAGCGACGAGCCATCGACCATCCCGAGCGCTATCCGAGACTTTCCGAAGACGACTTCCTGCGCGAGGCTGATATGCTCGAATTATCCGTCCGGAGAATGATAGAACGCGACAGATCACGGTCCACCGTCTTGAATGTTACCGGAGCCCATGATATTTCCCCCGAACAGGCCGAAGAATTCTTCCTGTGTAACGAAGCGTATCAACACACGGCGCTCATTCATGTCCACCGCCGAATCCGAGGACTACCAGTACATGACCCCCTTGTTCAGGAGTCTGTCAGGAGAATTATCGAATGCGTTAGCAGCATCAGGCCTGCGGCGACCCTGTCACCTCTGACTCTGTTGACTACCCCATTATTCGCCGCAGGTTGCGCAGCCCTGGGGACTGAACGCATCAAGATTGCACAAATACTGACCAACATGTTTGCCCTTCTTCGGCTGCCGAATATGAAGCGCGCATTGGAAGTTCTCGAAGCCTTCTGGAACGACTCGGAGGCCCGAGAGATTGACTGGGATGAATTTTCGCGTACGTGTACATCTGATTATGCAGTATGGAATCAAGTTGACGATAATATAGGTCAACGTGACTGGGATTTCTTGCCTTACTAAACTTGTCGCTCTCGAAGAGTCTATCTGAGCCTGTACCTGTCACCAGGTACATTCGAGCTAGTGATTGCAGACCAATGTTGTCATCGACGTTCCGTTCCTTGGGCGACTGACCCAACTAGAATTGGCATATACGCCGGATCCATCCGTTATGGAACATGTCTTCCACTATCTGGCAGAGTGGTTGGTTTATTTTTCAGTAGCCAACACCATTGGTTTCGCCCACTTCGGGCCCCATCGATGGAGGATGAAGTATGTTGGTATCAGACAACAGGTACAAATTATTGCCTGGGTTCCGAAGCACCAACCATACCCTGAGGCAAGAGTCAGCATATATGATTCTCGGCAATCTTCAGCTGGAGAACTTCTTACCAACTGCGTCGGCCCAGTCGTAAATGTACCAAGGCGCAATAAATGCGGACATCTATCATGGGTCAGTTTCCCACGTCTTTTGAATGTCCTGGTGGATGTGCACTCACATTGATGATGACGGAATAGAATGTTATCACTTCGATTGCGTGTTCCGGATAAGAGTCGACGATGTACGTTGACAAGGTTGTATTACCCGCCTGGAGACCGATGGCAAAAATGCAAAGGGCGACTTGACCGACAATCCAGTGCCAGCTCAATTGTACTGAGGCGCCCCAGACGGCCAGACCGATGGAGGAGAGAATTGCTGCAGGGTAACCCAGCCAGAGTCTCATTTCCGGTACTCTTCGGCCGCCATTCCTTTTGGCAAGACGAGCCACGATTCGGTCACTCACATGCCCGGAGCAGAAAATCTCGGCTAGGATGACTCCGATCAAGGCTCCTGTGAAAAACAAGCCCTGGATCTGAATCTTGTACTCGAAGTATGCCGCCGGGATCATGGACAGCAGGGTTACGATCCTGTCTCATGTCAGTGGTCAATCAAGATGGACGAGGGTGTTATGTCACATACCACCAATAATGGAAGAATATGTATCCACAGACACTTGCAACCAGGTTGGGATACGTCCAAAGTTTACAGAAGGTGATCAGCGATTCCCACGGTTTCGGGTGGACCACACCTGGGATCTTTCGAACGTTCTGCGGAGCCTGTCAGCAACATTCTCGTCCAACATCTCTTGGACATGCTGACCATCCATGGGAGCTGCCGTGTTCTCTTGATGTCTAATGTCATGTTTTCCGCGTTCTCACCACGAGCAACGGCCTGATCCTGTACTTGCTCAAAAGCGACCACCTTGGCGCGAGGGTATTGTGTCTCTGGCAGGAAGAATAGCTCCAAGAGAAAAAGGAGTGCGAAGGCCATTGTGACATGATAGGCCACCCAGTATTGGTTCACGGAGGCCAGAAATCCGCCAACTGTGATGATGGGGATATTGAGTCAGCCAAACAGTGTCATGAACAGCGAGACAGCAGCCAGCTTACAGAATCCCCCCAAGACACTGCCCAGATTTGCAGACATGGCCCACAGACCAATCCGGAGGCCGCGTTCATGCTCCCAGGAAATGTCATTGATGATGACAAGGCCCACATTGGCGGCCGGGCCAGCTGCGAACCCTTGGAAGAACCTTGCCGCCATATATTGACCGATTGACTGTCCTCGGATGGAAGCACATCCGCTGGCGAGCACGGCTGCGGCTGTGAAAACGATGGTGACAACTCGGCGTCCATATGTTTCTGCGACCGATGCTGTGAGGAGAGGGCCAAAGGCAAGGCCGAAGGCCGAAATGCCGAATGACCAATTGACCTGATTGTACGAAGCATCAAATTGTTCCTCGAGCAGGGAGAAGGAGGGCACCGGAGCGGTGGTGAGGTAGGTAAGGAGGAAGTAAAAGTAGCACACAATTGCGATGATGATGGACTTTTGCCACTTGGACCAATTCAAGGGGTCAAGAGGGTCTCTGGTCGGCGTCGGCACCAGTGGCCTATCCCCTCCATGTTCGGCGACATGGTAAACGTCGGCAGCCTCAAGTGAGACCCGTCGGTTCTGCAGGTCAACGGGGATGGCTTTCTTCTCGTCGCTACCCGTCTCGGAAGCCATTTTGGGCAGTAGCAATGGCCGGGTGGAAAATATTGGGTAACGGCAAACTGTCTAACTAATGGTGCGATGGGTCATGTTCCATGCAGGGCGGCCAGTGTTTATATATATGTCATATCAACTCAGCCATGACCCCAGACCACCGGGGGGAACGAGAGCATCAAGATAAGGACAGCCCTCTCTTGCTACACGAAAACAATTGTCGAAAGGCCAGACCCGTAGATAGGGTTCGTCAGCCTCAACCCCCGACGGCGCCAGACCCGACAGGGAAAGTCGGGGAGAGAAGCAGACCCAGCGATTCTGATGGTTAGGACCCATCGTCAGCCTTATCAGATGCCTGGGCCATCTATCGCGATGGAGCCATACCGGAGAGGGAAGGTTGGGGAGACGGGCCCCACGAAAGATTAGGCCCTAGCCCCCGATATGTCATCGACGAGACTGATAAGAACGGGGCCTTAGGCCTCAGGGATGTTTCCAGTTGCCCTCGTCGTCGCCAGCTCATTGTTCTCAATCCGACCGTGCCGCCCTTCGAGAGGCTTGCGGTTATTTCTCGTCGCCTCAACTTTCCTCTTCGACCAACGCGCAGAAATTGATTGGTATCCATCAATTCCTCCTCGTGGTATTATATATCTCAAGAATATCGGGCAGGATCTCGGGATAAGAGCATCAATCCCTTAGGATCGGCGAATCTCTTCCTCTGACCGTCCATTTGCTGTTTGCCATTTACCATGATTACACCATACACACTGCGGCTGTTGGCCTACGCCGTGGTCATCGTCGGCCTCATCAAGATCATCATTGCAAGGCTACAGTCGCCTCTGGCCAAACTACCGGGGCCCAAATATACCTCTTTCACGTCCCTGGTGCTCAAATACAAAGAGCTTACGCACGGTCGACGGGTGTACGTGCATGACTTGCATCAGAAGTACGGGCCAGTCGTCCGGCTGAGCCCCAATGAGGTTTCATATGCCACCGTCGATGCCGCCAAGGAGATATACCTGTCCGGAGGAAGTGGCTATGATAAGACGCCCTTCTATACGCTGTTCACCCAGTTCGGCACCCGGACTCTGTTTTCCACCCTTCCAAGAGCAGATGTAGGCCACACCCACACCTATGAACTATCCTATCTGGTTGCTATTGGTGATGCAACACTGACTCTGTCAATAGCACAGCTACATGAAGCGGTATTTGGCAGATCGGTACGCCAACACAAATATCATGAAGCCCGAGGTGCTAAATGGCATCTCCAACCATGCAAAGGATTTTTTGAACAAGTGCATGGAAAAATGTTCGTCTCCGGACGGATTTGCCGATGTCTACGTGAGTTCCGTTCTCTCGTTCAGTCGCTCTGACGCTGACGAGTTCAGGTCCATCTTCACTGTTTCGCCCTGGACGGCGTCACTCACCACCTCTTCCATCCTTACGGCACGCATGCCAACGTCAACGACAAAGACCTTCGTCTCATGCAAGAACTGTCGTATCATGACAGTCTGGCCAGCAACTACATCATCTACTATGTGCCCGCGCTAACCAAGCTGGTGGCCTACCTCAGCCCTCCGAAGCTGAGTCCACTATCGAATGAGTACGTGCTCAAGACCAGCGCGGCTAAGGACCCGTCTGCCCACAGCCTCCTGTCCAAACTGCAATCGCACGCCAAAGCCACGCCCAGCATGCCTCCCTACGGTGTCCCTGCCGAATGCAAAGACCACTTGGCCGCCGGCGTCGACACCACCGGCGACACGCTATGCTTCCTCATGTACCAACTTTCCTTGCCCACCCCAGCTTCGACACGGGTCCAGTCCCTTCTACACCAGGAACTGGTCCAAAACCCAACCGTTCCTTTCGACCAACTGCCTTACCTGGACGCGGTGGTCAAAGAAGGTCTTCGCTGTTTCCCGCCCATTCCCATGTCACTGCCCCGTTTCGTGCCAGACGGAGGAAGTACGATTGAAGGATACTGGGTTCCTGGAGGTACCATTGTCAGTTGTCAAGCCTGGACCCTCCACAAGGACCCAAATGTATTTCCTCAGCCACTTGAATTCATCCCGGAGCGATGGTTGGACGAGGACAAGGAAGCCGTGACGGAAAGGAATAGATGGTCATTTGCTTTTTCTGTGGGTGGAAGGGGATGTTTAGGAAGACAGTGAGTGTTTGGCTTTTCATAGTCCCTCTCCGTCCTAGATGCCTCTCTTTGCGTGTGTTTCTCTCCCTCTCCCTCTCTCCCTCTCCCTACTCCCTCTACCTACTCCCTCTCCCTCTCCTCCTCCATCTCTCATGTGCCTCTCTTTACCTGTGTTCCTGTCTCCCTCTCTCCCTCTCTCCCTCTCTTTACCTGTGTTCATGTCTCCCTTCTCTCCCCCTATCATGTACCTCTCCCTTCTCAAAGTCAGTCATGTACCATCCCACCCCACTCTACTCATGAATACGATACTAATCTTCGCGTCATCTCAGTCTGGCCATCGCAGAGATGAAGACCCTCCTACGCGAGGTTTACTCCCAGTGCCGGACCACCTTGTCTCCGCACATGACGGGCGACATGCAGATGGAGGATCAGATCATTGCGACACGGCCCAAAGATCAGACTTGCAAGCTTGTGTTTGAGAAGATCGGTCAAACTTGGGCACTACAGTAAATTAGGCATTAACTTACTGTAGGCATTCCCAGCCTTGTTCTTTAACCAGAAGGCTGAGGCTGGTATAGGTATAGGTATAGTATATATATAGTCTGGGCTCCCCCCATACCCATACCCATACCCATACCCCTTTGATAGCGAACATGGGACACTTGAACTCTTGACAGCGAACATTGAACACCTGAACCTATGATAGCGAACATGGAATATTTCAACCTTTGACAGGATTGAGTTATGACTAGACTAGATGTGATATGGGTATGGGTATGGGTATGGATATGGATATAGATTTAAGGATTCCCATCCCTAGATCCTCTCGATCGAGTATTCGTATATGTACCTTATGTGGCATGAATCGTTCTCTCCTATCTTGTCTTGTTTTGTCTTATCCTGTCTTGTCCTACCTTGTCTTGTCTTGTCTTGTCTTGCCCGCCCTACTATCTACCTACCTACCTACCTACCTACCTATAGTACCTACAGCACTTATAGTACTTATAGAACCTTTATATATTCGGCCGTAGATCACTGTACTGTATTGTACGCTAATCTATTCTGTTCCTTATACTTGTTAGACCGCCTGTATACACACACACACACTCACTCTCTCTCTTCTCCTTTCTCACACACCCTTATTTATTCACTTACTCACTTACTCACTCACTTACTCACTCACTTACTCACTCACTTACTCACTCACCTACTTACTCACTTACTTACTCACTCACTTACTTACTCACTTACTTACTCACTCACTCACTTACGCTCACACTCTCCCTCTGTAACGGTTATATACACCAAGTGGCTAATTCACGAGTGAATTAGTACTTCGTCCTTTTTGGCGACTGTCGTGGTGTGACAGTTTAGGTTCACTCACACACACACACACTCACTCACTCACACACTCAATGCCATGTATGCTATACCCCTGCCCAGCTGTGCACACATATCAATCCCCCAATCTAAATCCAATCTCATGTCACAGACTAGATCATCCATTCCCCATCTAAATCTAATCTCTTGCCATAGACTAGATCATCAATTCCCTATCTTCTAATCTCATATTACAGTTTCGGCTTGACACCTCCCACTCCCCCGTTTGAACCTGACCCCGAACCAGGGGCAAAAGTCGTGCCTCTCCCCCCCGTCAGCGCATAGACAATCTCATCCACGACCTGCAGGATCCATTGGTTCCCCTCATCAGTGGCCAACCACTCGCCACCTTCGACCGCTTTCTCAGCCGTGCCGTCCTCATACGCCTTCCTCAGCCCAAACACATGGCTGATCAGCTGCGGAGCCACACCCGTCTGGGCCCGCAGACACGCAATGCCCACGATCGAAGTCAAGACCCGACCGACCTGCACGGCGGGCGGGGGCGTCGAGTCCGGGTCTGATAGCAGCGTGCCGTAGTGCGCCGCGAGGATGTGTACCGGCAGGTTGGGGTGGCTCTGGCCGAGCTTGTCGTACAGCTTGGTCTCGAATGGGCGGTAGATGGAGTTCCATAGTGCTCTGCCCCGGGATACGACTTGGTCGGCGTTGTGGGAGTCGATCTTGCGTGAGGGCGGGGTGGGGATTGCGTCGAATATTTCGCGCGGTAGGCCCTCGCGGAACCCGGCTAGGCAGTTGATGGTGCGTGGGATTCCGTTGAATGAAATACATTTGAGGCCGACTTCGCGTATGAGCCCGGCGATTTCTGGTGGTGGTGGTGGTGATGCTGTTGATACTGGTGATGATGACGACGACGACGACGATGGTGGTGATGATAACGATGACGGTGACGACGATGGCGATGATGACGACAGCGTCTGTGTCAGGTTGAATAGTTCAACCAGCGACCCGGGCGAGTTGACTGTGATGGTGGCCGCGGTAGAGATGGTCACCCACGCGGGAAGCCCGACGCCTTGCTCTTGCGCGCTCGCAGCGATGCGGGAATATGTCGAGCGGATATTGGCCGGGGGGCTCAGAGGGCCCGGTCTGGCGTGGGCAGCGTTGATAAGCTGTTTCAGCGGCTCGGAGAGTTTCGACATGGTGGTGGTGGTAGTGGTGACGACGGCAGTGGTGGTGGTAGTGGTTACCAAGTAATGGCGGCGGCGGCGGCGGCGGTAGTGGCGGTGGTGGTGGTGGTGACGGCTGCAACGGCGGTAACGGTAGTGCTAGTAGTAGTGATATTGGTGGTGATGGTGGTGGTCGTAATAGTTACCAAGTATGCGTAGTCGTGGTAGAATAGAGGTACATCTAGTACTTAAGTGATGGAAGCTGGAAGCTTGAAGTGAAGCGTACGGTGGTGCAATTGTATTTCAATACGGCCGGAGCAAAAAGAACTGCCGACCGAGGTCCAAGTACGGCGACCCAAGTACTGCGTAATTACTTAACCCTAGCCCTAACCCTAACCCTAAATAAGGACAGTACGGTACAGCGCAGCGCAGCACTCCGCACGCGTATACCACCCCGTATACGAAGTACATGATAAATTACTGCGGTGTCAGGATCAGGGCTGAAGTATCCGTACCCTGTACTCCGTACTCTGTACGTCTGGGATAGCTACTTGTTAGTACCCCGTACCTAATACCTATGTTGACATGTATATATATACACGACATCTATAGTACCCTACCATCTAGATCTATGTATCTAATATCTAATATCCAATATACATATCCCCCCCTCTATCACGTCTACTCGTACACGTAACACGCCCTGTCGTGCAGTCAGTCCGACCATCGACAGACATCGAGCCCACATGGTTCTGGATTCCATCAAAGCACTTTCCATCACTCCATCTGCACAATATCCTCCGCAACGGCAAAACTGGCGTCCGTCTTGGCCCGAACCTCGTCGACCGTCACGCCCGGCGCGAGCTCCGTCAAGGTGAGTGATCCCTTGACCCGGTCGACCTGGAACACGGCGAGGTCGGTGATGATGGTGCTGACCACCCGCGCGCCGGTGAGCGGGAGGGCACACTTCTCCACCACCTTGGGTTGGCCATACTTGTCGACGTGGTCAGTTGTCACCACGATCTTGGTGTGGTCCGGGTTGCTGACCAGGTCCATGGCGCCGCCCATGCCCTTGAACACCTTGCCCGGGATCATGTAGTTGGCCAGATCGCCGGCCGCGCTGACCTGCAGAGCCCCCAGGATGGACACGTCGACGTGCCCGCCGCGGATCATGCCGAATGACTCGGCCGAGTCGAACGTCGACGCCCCCGCCACCAGCGTCACCGTCTCCTTGCCCGCATTCACAATGTCCGGGTCCACCTCGTCTTCCGTCGGGTACGGGCCCATGCCCAGGATGCCGTTCTCTGACTGGATCCACACCTTGACCGACGGAGGGAGGAAAGATGGTGCCAGTGTCGGCATCCCCACCCCCAGGTTGACGTACATGCCGTGCTTGAGTTCTTTGGCAGCGCGGCGTGCGATTCGGTTCCGTCGGCCTTGTGCAGCAGACTGGCCCGACGAAGCAGAGCCTGAACTGGATATTGACCCGTCCGACTCACGTCCGCTGCTGCTGTTGTCGGCCGCCCGAGTCTTCTTCAGCTCGAGCTTCTTGGCCACGGTGGCGGGTACGATGCGGTCGACGTAGATGCCGGGCAAGTGGACGTCGTTGGGGTCGATGGATCCCACCGGCACAATGTTTTCTGCTTCGACGATGGTGAGTCGTGCTGCTTTGGCCATGATCATGCCGAAAGCCTTGGTGGTATATCTGATAGAGATTAGAGTCAGGAATCCAATCCGGTGCGTGGTCCCAATCCGTACCTGAACACACAATTTCCAGCTTCGTCAACCTTCCATGCTCGCAGAATGGCCACATCGCCCGTCAAGGCGGTTTCCATGACATACGTCCGCCCATCGAAGACTCGCGTCTCGCGCGCGTGTCCAGACTCGAGCACGGTGGCCTTTTGCGTGTCGGGGTCTACCGGGCCTAGTCGGGTGGGGATCTCGCCAGTTTGAATGAAGGTGCCTGTGATCAGAAGTCAACCTCAACCTCAAGCAGGTCATTCGGCCAGTCGCACGACTTACGAACACCGGTCGGGGTGTAGAAGGCAGGAATCCCAGCCCCTCCAGCCCGAATCCGCTCAGCCAACGTTCCCTGCGGACACAACTCGATGGCGATGTTGCCGGTGAGGTACTTGTGCTCCAGAGCTTTGTTGTTGCCCAGATACGAGAGGATGCAGCGGGTGAGCTGGCCGGAGTGAGTCAATGGAGCGAGTCCACCGTCGTTACCAGCTCCGGCGTTGTTGGACACGGCGGTCAGGTTGTTCAGCGACTCGATTCCGCGCTTGTGGATGGCGGTGATGATTGTTTCTTGCAGCATCCCGTCAGTCTCGCGTCCGCAAAACCCAAGAGGTCTGGCGGGAAGATGTGAAGACACTTACCAGCAGTCCCGCACAGCCCAAAACCCGCACTGAAAATGGTGGAACCAGACTTCAGATCGGCCACAGCTTCATCGGCGTCCTTGAAGAGCTTCGACCGTGTTCGGTCGATGACGGGCTGCGCGTCGCTTCCCTGGTGCGACAACGCTTCTCGCCATTTGCATCGCGAAGAGGCGAAAAACCGACCATCTTGCGGCCTCACAATCCGGTCAATTCGGTGTCCAGCTCGGGACTGCCAGACAGGGACCGTGTGGGAGAGAAACGGGCGGGAATTAGAGCCCGCGCTGGCTCCGATGTCGTTGACACACAAAAGCAGTGTCCGCCGTGCTGCTGCCATGATTGATGGCCTCGTCTTTCACGGCCTGGCACAGTTGGGGAAGATTATTCTGGGGGTATGAATCTTGTCGATTTCAGATGCAAAAAGTATTTCCATCGATCGGCCAGGGATCCTGACGCGAGATCGAAGGAGGGGCCCAGGCCCGATATCGCCAATCAGAAGCCGTGCGTTTCTTACTCCCACTTCCGCTCGGCTTCCGGAGGCTCACGTGGTGGTCAGGGACACTCGGGCATATTTTTGACACCGATTTGGTGGGACCGGATCCTGCGGACAACCCCGATGACGGTACGTAGTAATATGGCATATTCAAGTAACATTCGGCCAGTCCAGCCAGTCCAGAAACATGGTCTCATCAAGCTGAAACAAATCCTGCGAAGTACTGGCGTTGTTGATGGCTTCAAGGATTTGGTCGTCAGTCATGTCAAACACATCCGGCACTGAGGTTCCCTCCTCGCCGTCGCCGTGGGTGGATTTATTCTGCGCAGTCATGTCTTTCGCGTTTGCCTCTCGTGGCCGCAAGGCCTCATAAGTCCCCAGGACATGGCTTTGGTTGTCTTCGATTGGCTTTGGAATGGAGCTTTGCAGAATCCGACGAATGTGCTTCGCAAACAATACCGACAAGCCCTTGCGATGCCTGGGAGTACTACCAATCCGGTCGAGGACGCGAATCGTGTCTTCGATGAGTACGTGTGCATTCGGAGCCAGGATGGCCCGACTTCCTGTGATGGTCGTTCCTAATGCGAGAGTAAAGGTTGCCGCAAAGGATACCATGATGACAGTGTTGTTCGGCATGGATACAAGCCGGTTCTCGCCCTGGACGGCAGCCCTCATTACATTCATGGCCGAAGCCAACCCGGCCGCACGAAAGAACTGTTTGACGTCGTTGGAGGCTGTAGGATGGTTGACGACGTTGCAATAGGTAGATAGCTTGGTGTGGGAAACCAGGATCTCGACGTAGGGAGGCAGTTGACCTTGCATGATCATGAGCATCAGCCTGAACATGTAACGTACGACGCCTAGGGTCAGTCTTGGTGCCTACCGTCGCCTTGGGAGATTTGAAGAGACCACACTGCATACCACTGTTCGAAAAACCGGTCGATCTTTTCTTTGAGACTAGTCACATGTCAGTCCCTTGCGTATTGGAGAGAGAGTGGTATGAAGCCGTCTCGACAGTTTTCAAGTTCAAGCGAGAACATCCTCACAATTTGACTGCTCTATAGCCACCATTGACGCCTTGGCTCCCGTCACACAATTCGCGGACGCTGGTGATAAGGCCGACCTGGAACAGTTAGGTCCTGAAAGTCGTTGCGAACGGACTTCTTACCAGGTCTCGTCTCAAAACTGCGGCAGAGATGATGCTGCCATCCCATTCGTCTGCGATATCGGATATATGCCACGCATCACAGCTTTCCACCAAGGGCCCGATGGGAACAGCATACGGTCGGCCTCTTGCCAGGCAGATACTAGACGCGAGTATCAGGATTAGTAACTTGATCATCCACGAAGAAGACAGTCGCCGCCTACCCACGGTCCAGAACGAACAACGCCAACCACGCTCGCTCCCTGGTTCTCAGCAGCCGTCGCCCGCACGCTGAAGAAGGATCGATACTCGGAAACCCGTCAAGTTGTAGTGCCTTTGTAGCTTCGATACACTCGGCTTTGGCCACTCGATCCAAGAAGCCCGTTGGACGGATGGTGGGAGATGGCACCACTATCTTGTTGAGGGACAGATCAAGCGCTAGGGTGAGTGCCATGGACAAATACGAGCAGGTCTCGTCGTCGGCCCAGTGCTTCGCCGGAGTCATCCAGGGAATGTTGACCATGAAGGCTAAAACGATCTCGACGGATCGATTCCGGTTAGAAATGACCATCCGGGCAAGATGGTTTCTGTGGTTGGAGAGTCGTCTGGACAAGGCTTCGGCATCCGACAAAAACAGCGCGGATGCGGCAAGAATTGAGGTGAAGAGAAATGCTGATCTGGAACGGACAAACCCTGGGGTGTGAAGGACTGGATCCAGACCCCATCGAGTGTGCGAAAGCCGCTCGTAAAAGTATGTGAAGAGTGAATCCGCCTCTTCTGCAGTCACCAGCCCTAGAACAATCGGGTCGAGGTCAGGGGAATTGTCCAGGTTCGCCGTTGGCGGCGCAAAGAATTGTTGTATCTCGGCATCGCCTTCGTTCTCTTGGTTCACACCTGGTCGTGGAGCAGCACCAGCCAGGAAGGGTGGCGTTGCCGTCGAAGGTGATGGACCTGGTAGAATCGAAGCCATGGCAAGTAGTTGTAGAGGATTGTCGGCGTTGTTGAGTGCAAGTTCATCCGGCTTCTCGCCCACTTCAGCCGGGGACGTGTCATATCCGGCTTCCGTAGGTGCATTCTCACTCTCACCCGTGCCCACAATGCCGACGGACGACCGAGAGAAATCTTGCTGGTTGCCATTATTGGAAGTGGCCGAACTGGAATCTCGTCGCAGGGAAGGACTTGGTCGAGGAGGTGGAATCAATTGTCGAAGATTGGTTTCAATCTCCAAGCCCGGTCCTCTGGAGCCATTTTTGGACCGCTTCAATGCCTGTTCGACTTGATGGATCGCCTTCTCCAGACCGCTCCTCTTGCTGCGGATCACGATAACGGTTAGGCCAGGAAAGGCGCGGGAGCACCAAAACAACTCACTTCTTGACGCCTTTGTACCTCCCGACATGGTATTCAGGCGTGATACATTGCAGGCTAGTTTGTTGGCATCTCCGACAGACGGCAGCACCGGCCGCACCGGCATCCCGGGCACACTTGACCTTGCTCCGACGACATTCGAGACAGGCCGCTAGCTTTGTCTGGCCTGGAGTCGGTGCTGCATCTGGCGTCACCGAGGCCGGAGCGCTAGGAATCATACCTGGACGCAGGCATTCTTCAGAGTGCGGACCGTACAAAGGGAGCTTGCAAGTAGGAAAGAGGAAAGATAATGCCCGACTGGGGGATGGGTCGCGAAGAAGGAATCAGAAATTGGATCGAATTAACGGTTTGATGTAGAAGTAGCTCATTCATCGTTCATATACATGGCTGGATCTATCTGGGGAGCGGTAGCATACGAACTCGAACTGGGACGTGATGCTGGGCCGAGGAAGTCACTTGTCTTGCCACCATCTGCGTCGTCACGTGAACTACTAGTTACCTTTCTCACGTGACAAGCCTGTGAGCACTCCCTACCTAGATAGACAGCCAGTTACAGTCTCTGCATGTATATGCTGAAGATGTCACCAAGATGGACGGCTGTACCTGTCAAACTACTGGGTGCATTGCAGATCTCAAGCACAATCAATGCTTGATTGCGTTGCGGACACGAGGAGGCATGGGATCCGTCCAAGGCGACTTCCATGGAGACCGCCAGTTACCATCCCCGCAGGCAATGTATCCATTACCATTTCAGAGTACACAGCATTGTTAGCCTTAGCCCATCCAAGCCAGCAAAGGCACCTGATAAACGATAGGAGCCAATCTAGAACTCGATGTAATCTAGACCCGAAACCTGAAGACGTGTCATTATTAGGGGGATTGAATCAATAGACTTACGCAGTCAAGTCCCAACGACAAAGTCTGGCCTTGAACTCAAGGAGTTCTTGTTGACTCTCCACAGATTTGATAGTCTCCCGTATCACAGATTGGAGGTCATTCTTTACACTCCAAAATCATCCATTGGCGCCCATCCCTCATCAGCGACAGAGAGACAAATAAATTGCTGAAATAGAGGTCTTTATGCCATAGGAGCGGTGGATGTTGGCTGGAGGAATGTGGAAGAATATATGGCATTGCCACCCACAACAGCGAGGAAGACTGTTGTGGGCCCCCTCTGCAAGCTTCTCTAATCAAACGGTGCCAGATGTCGAGCCCGCTGCCTTGATGATGATATGCTCTAGAGCCTTGGGGTCGAACTCGAATTCTGGGTGTATTGTTGTCGCTTACGGGGCTCGTTCCACAGCCAGCGACCAGTAGGTAGTAGGGAAGAATAGGTCCGGAAGCGGGAGAGGATTGGGTGGAATTTGCCGCGCGTTGTGAAGGATGTGCCTCAGTGGCCTTGCAGAGAGGAGTCTTCTTGCGAGACCGATGGCATCGTGCGGGTGTAACCAACCAAGCCACCTGAGTAACTTCCGGCACGGTTGAGAACATGGGATGAAATTCAACTGCAACTTGAAGTCGAAGTTGAAGTCCGACTCAGGCTCAGAGTCGCCGGTGACAGCTTGGCGCAGCCAAATGACGCTAGCCTTAAAGGGGCAGCACCACGGTAGGCAAAAGCTGCGATATAACATATCATATACGAGTAACAGAATGCTACCCACCTGAGATAGTCGACTTCAAGCTCTCCTACTGTTGCATGTCAAGCATGACGGCGATCGACTCCGGATGAAGGACTCCAGATGGTTAGTCATCGGATGCGAATGTGTCAAAGATTAGGTCTGTGCCTTTTACCGAGTTTGGAGATGGGGTGCCTATTGGCACTATACTGGCGGGGAGGAACGCTGGCCCTGAGGCTGATAATTGGGTACTGTACTGAGATGTAGATGGGTGTCCCCAACCTGGCTTCTGAGCACTGCTGAGCCGGAGGGCCGAAGGTAAGGTGGATGTCTGCCTGTTCAGCATGTAGTTCACTGACCACTCTCAAGCCCTCCACCGTCGGCTTAAAGGATGACAGGCTTTGATTGTTGGGATCTTCCACCTCCGGGAAACATGCATGGGTGACCCTAAGTCATCGCCCGGAAGGGAGTACGGAGCCTGGAGTAGTGGGTGGTACCTAGTGGCAGATGCAGGCGAGCGCGAGAATACTGGGCCAACTCACATGCAGGGTCCAGGTCTATTTTCTGTCTCCGACCAAGTTCTCCGCAAAGGTTATGCTATCTTAGTTTCATTACTCGAAAGTGTCGGTGCTGACCTGGCATCGATTGCAGAGCAGGCTGTGGTTCGCCAGCACCTACTGCCCTTTCTGGACTAGAACGGACCCCTATACTAGGACCCGATAGCCCCCTCTTGACCCTGGCAGCCAGCGTGCCATCTGTGTTCGGGATAACGTGCTCGGAGGGGCATCATCACTCAGTAGAACGTCGCATGAAATCACTGTCTCACTTGTAAGGTACGAGATGGTCATGATGTGACGCGCGGCCCGTATTAGGGTGAGGACTGGTTGCATTAGAGAATACATGTATTGTGTAAAGGTCATAAAGCTGACGAGCCCGTCTGGGAGATAAGCGATCTTGCTGTATCGCTGCCCTCCTTGGACAACACAAGCACAAGATACTCCTTCTTTGAAACGAGACCAAGACAACCAAACCGTACTCGCCGGACCATCCCAACGCCCCCCATCTTCCACCTTCCGTGCAGCGTCGCATCATGTAACGCCTAGATTCACTTTCACATCGTCTGCATAACCAAGTGCTACAGTACATCACTAAGAGCAAGACCGCGATGGAGAAGCCGGCGATGGTTGTGGCGTGGCCTCGGGACTTGCGCTGGGGGCGACGTAGAATGGCACCAGATCAAACTCCTGGGGAAACTGGCCGAGCGACCCATACAGAGCAGGCAAGCCGGACTGAAGCTGGAAGATTTCGTCGTTCAGCTGTTTGATCTGCGCCTGGAGCCGGGCGACTTCCTTGCTTTGTTGCGAATACGACTGACACAGCAGCTGATGTTTTTGCTGCCATTGTGCAATCTGTTCTTCGAGCTCCTTCTGCCGACGTTCCTTGCGCTCGCGATATGCACGTTGCGAGGAGCGATTCTGCTCGCGCCGTCTCTGTACATTTCGTCAGGTAATCTGCCACGAGGACGAGCGTCTTAGGTCAGCTCGCGCGGCTTACCTCGATTTTATCAGGAATGGAATTGGCGACCTGGGTCACCGCTGTACTGGTCGACGATATCCGTCGCTGGGGCGATGATGGACACGAGCGGTCCGAGTTTGATGAAGAAATGCCCTCCAACGAATGGTCGAGACTGGCGTAGAAATCAGCCGCACGTTGTAGGAGCTATGGTTTGACCGGTGTGTCAATGAGATATCTTAGAACCATACGGTTGCTGGCTGAAGGGAAGAGCGTAACGTACATCGTTGTAATGGCTGACCATGTTTTGTGGGCTAGGAGCGCGAGTGAAGTCCCATTGGAATGAAGCGTCGTCGGGAGAAAATCCGACGGATTGCTGGCTCCAACCGTTGATGGAGTGGAGGTCAGTCATGGATGCGCAAGTGGTGTTGTTTTTCCTCGTGTGGTCTCTTCTCGTTGAGTCAAAAATCGTCTCTTCTGCGTGCGGCCTGTGAAGTACTTGAAGGGTTGAATGGAGGAAGTTTCGCCCAGTGGTTGAAGGGAAGGGGAGAGCCGAAACCTTTATACACAGCCAACCGAGCAAAGGGATACAAGTTGGAGGGTAGAAAGGTGGTTTGGCTTGGTCTGTCCCTGAGCCTGACCGCCTAGTATAGAGTATAGTCCGTAAACAGAAGTTGCCCTAGTGGGGACGAAACCCCTGGCTGTAGCGTTGCACAGTACAGGGCTCGGGCCAGCTAAATCCTCATCAGTCAGCCAGGACAATGAAGGCGGCCTTACTCATGGCTGCTGGCCCGGTCCAGAGGACACTAGCTGGCTCAAGCGCTAATGCGGCCAGTTGGGCAAGCCACGTCAAGTATCTGATAGCTTCTCGGATCGGACACCTGGTATTGCGTGCTCGTGGACTGGGTGATTTGCTGTTCGTTCATACAGGACACGGTTGGGCCGGAAGAGCATGACACATGGGACGAGGGCTGCCGTTTACCGTTTACACCTGGTGGCTGTATAGGTATGGATCATCGGCCGGCTTGCAGATAGCATAAAGTAACTTGAGGTTGGCAATTCCGTGGTCATGCAGACCCTACAGGGTTCAGGGTTCAGGGTCCCGAGCCATCACTTCGTCCCCCGCACTTCAATTCTCGTCGCAGGAAACATGTTCTATGGGCGGCCCAGTATGGATGCTGGTACTCCGTACATATAATCCGTAATCCGCAGAACGTCAAGCATCGTTACCGTTGCACTGCCCAGATCGCGCCGCCACTTAAGCCCTCTCGTCCCAGTCGCTGGAACCTGAGCATTCAGCCGGAGGCACCCCACTGGACAAGGTCGCAACCTGACAGTAGCCCTTTAGTCTACCTGTATACTTTTAGCTCTGTGGATTTGAATGGGATAACACCCAACCCAGTTGCGTAGGAGTGCGGCCGAGTCAGAAACAAGTCGTGGTAAGCATAGGAGAGATCACGCAGGCAGCAAGGTTGGAGGCAGACTCGAGCAAGGCTGGCGTTGGATGCAAAATGCAGAATAGAAGGTCTGCCGAATCTTAGCTTACGTAATTAGAAAATACTATAGTCACGTGCAGTCACGTGCAGTCCCCTGTACTGCGTTGAGCCTCTGGGTGGCTGGGGACAGCGGCGACGATCCGGCCGCCGGCATGATGAGAGACCAAGTCGACAATCGACAAACCGTGGTTCTGAAATAGTTCTCCTCAACCATTATCCACAACTTGAATGTCAACACCACCTGGAAGCTTCGTGGTATGGTATTTGATCCGTCATCCGTATTCCGTACCTACACTTTCGGGTCATGAATCATGCCAGCATGCGGATGAGGGGCGTGTCCAATGGCAACCATCCCTGCAGCCAGCGCAGGCGAGGGACATTCACCGACTCACTCCAATCCAAGAGAACAACTCTTTCCCGTACTCACTGTTCGATGCGCCCTCATCTGTATCCCTCCCAAGGCCAATTTCGCCTGACTGCTAGGCCCTGACTCTCTCCCAGCCACCTGAGACAATTGTCGACTGTTTGACGCCGATTTTCACTGTAGTCTCGGAAATTCGGGTGGCAGGAGGAGGTTGGTATTTCTCGTCGGCCAACGCCAAAAGCCCTTCCCTGCGGCCCAACCTAGCATTCGATTCTCCCTGCTTTCTGTTTTTCTTCCCGTACATCCTTACATTCTCATCGGCAGGAAGAAAGTATATTCTGCTGATCTTGTGTCGTGGTCGGCTGTTGCGATTGTGGGCGGAGAAGTAAACGCTACGATACAATTCACCCACATCAGGACTCGACGACCATCAATGCGCATATAACGAACGCACAGACGCTTCTTGCATTGACCAGCAGCTGAGGCCATCATTGTATCTGTGCTGCCAACATGCGACTCCACGAACTCCCATCCTCTCTCTCCTCACTCCTCGCTACCATCCTCCTCGCCCAACCCATCGCCGCATCCCTCATTCCCGAGCTACTCCAGAGCTTCGAGAACCTTCAGAATTTTCAAAAGCGATGCCAGAACCCGTGCGGCTACTACGGACAACTATGCTGCGAATCGGGGGAAGTGTGCTACACCGACTCCAACAATCAGGCCCAGTGCGGTGCCGGCACAGTCACGACCACCGCCGGTGACGGATCATGGCAATACTACACCACGACCTATGTCCAAACAGATCTCAAGACCGTCACGGAAACGTTCAGTTCATATATCCCCACCACCACCAAGAGTTGCTCATACTCTCTGGGTGAAAGTGCTTGCGGCAATGTCTGCTGTTTGTCTGGCCAATATTGCCAGTCCTCTGGAGTCTGTGTGGCGGTGGGAGGAGGAAGCTCGGGATATTACAGCAGCCTCTACACGGTCACCACCGTCGTCACCAATACTGCCGGCGTACCCCTTCGACCCACGAGCAATACACTGGTCACCGTGACTTCGGGCAGCGGCGCCACCACCACACAACCGTTTGTTACCCCAGTGGGGACGGGCGGAAGCATCATCACCGGGACGACTTCTGGTTCCAGCGGTGGACTGAGTGGAGGCGCCATTGCTGGCATCGTCATCGGCGTGATTGCAGGCATCATCCTTCTCCTCCTCCTCTGCGCCTGTCTGTGCTTCAAAGGCTTGATCGACGGACTATTGGCTATCTTCGGACTGGGCCCACGACGCAGGCGACGAACAACCACAGAAGAAGAAGTGTACGTGCGACACCATCGTGACGGGCGCGGAGGCAGAACGTGGTTTGGTCAGAGACCAGCCAGGAGTGAAGTGGTGGAGGAAAAGAAGAGGAAGAGCGGTCTCGGGACAGTTGGCTGGGTGGCTGCAGCTCTGGGTGGCCTGGCTTTGTTCCTGGGCCTGAAGAGACGTCGAAACCGGCGGGACGACAAGAGCAGCTCCGGTTATGGCAGTTCTGCCTATTATTCGGATTATACCGTCTCCAGTGAGTTCCCCTGATTCAATGCCTGAGGTGTCCCCAATACTAACTTTATTACAGGTAGCGAAAGTTCCTCAGACCGAAGGACGAGGCGGAGTAGCCGATCAAGATCAAGAGCGAGACGATGAGGCGGATGCGGATATGAATGTGGATGGTTAATGTTGATATTGGTTGCAGTTGTTGACGTTGTTAGCGAACATTTGGCCCATGCATATGCATATTGGACAAACAGACATGCGCAGCAGTCTGTCGGCGCTCGGGAAGCCAGGCGATATATACTGCGCCGGGACAAGGGACTCTTAAGTGTATATTTGGGCATCAGTAGATGGAGTGTACAAAACATGAACATGAACCATACCAGCTTCGCGACGTGCTGTAGTAGGTAGATACTATTTGGTTCAATGGCTTGTCTCTGATATAGCTGTACGGAGTAATAACTACTACCTGTACTCCGTACTCCGTACCTGTAATCCTGATGCTGGATGCCTGATGCCTGATGCCTGATTGACGTCATGGACCTTTGGCGGATCAAACCATCTCAGTGGTGCCTAGGAGGTGAGCATTGGTACTACCAGCAGTATGTACTGTCCTCCCTACTCTTCTGGCTGTTGCTTCGTCTCTGCCTGAACGGCAAAGGTGTCAAATTCGTTGCTTATCTTCTACGGAGAGCCCCCAAGAGACCTGAGACCTGCAAGTCGACGCCAACATCGACGCCGGGCATGATGCTACACAGCTATGTCCTTCTACTGTCCACCTCATTCATCTCCCTGGCGGCGGGTGCTTGTCACTACCAATCCCCAGCCTTTCCTCCTCCGGCCTACACCAAGCCATGCCCGGAGCTGTTGGAGGCTTTTGGCCGCATCGAGGCGTCCGTCTCGGCTCTGGTAACGGACCCCAGTTTCAATACCTCGTCTTATTCGATCGAAGTCACTTCTGCAAAGTCGACCTTGTGGGCCACCTTCCACACCGCGGCGGACAAGGATCCGGTACGACCGGGGGCAGAAGAAGTCAACGGAAACAGCACCTACCGTATTGCCAGCATTACCAAGGCGTTTACCGTCCTGGGCATTCTCCAACAACAGGCTGCAGGGAATCTGAGCCTCGACGACACGGTTGATAAGTACATACCACACCTGGGAGATCGTCAGAACGGAACCATCCCTTGGAAGGACATCACCCTGCGATCTCTAGCAAGCCAATTAAGTGGACTTCCAAGAGACTGGGCTCAAGGTGACTTGGTGACAGAGCTATCCGATCCATCAGCAATCGGCCTTCCCCCTGCAACCCTGTCGGGTCTGCCACACTGCGATTCCTTTGGCAGCTACAGACCATGTACGGAACAGGAGCTTCTACAGACCATCCAAAGCAAACCTCCTCTTTTCGCCCCCAATCAAAAGTCGACCTACTCCAATATTGCTTTCGAGCTTCTGGGGCTCGTTCTAACCCATGTCACTGGCGTGGCCTATGAGGACTATGTCCAAACCGCCATCCTAGGGCCTCTGGCGATGACTGGCACTTCGTTCACGAAGCCTTCAGATTCCGTCGCGGTTCTACCTAAGAATGTCAGCTGGTATTGGGATGTTGATGAAGGAGCTCAGAACCCTACCGGGGGGCTGTATGCCTCATCCTCGGACATGTCCAAGTTTCTCCGCTATGTTCTCTCCCATTTCAACGGCATCACTCACACCCTCAATTGGTTGCAGCCTGCGTCATTCACCGCCGGCCTCAACTCATTCTATGGCGTGCCCTGGGAGATATTCCGTACCAACAGGATCCTAGACCACCCTGATCGCGTCGTCACCATCGCCACCAAAGGGGGCGGTCTCCCCGGCTATGTTACGAATATCTTGCTAGTACCAGAGTACGAGCTGGGAATTACCATCCTGACCGCAGGTAATGAAACACTGTTGGCGCACCTGATTGAGTTAGTAACGGTACCTCTGATCCAGGCGGTCGATCAGGTTGCACAACGTCAAATCAACCGTACATACACGGGTACGTACAGAGCGTCTGGCCTTAATTCATCTGTGACTCTGTCGTATTCTGGGAATCATGGCCTCGAGATAAGCGATTGGATCTCCAACGGGACGGAGATGCTCACTGCATTACCAAAGTACTTTCATATCCAAGGGGGTGAATATCATGCGCAGCTTATGCCGACTCTACTCTTCCGCGACCAGGACAATCAGGCTGGCGAGCTCTGGAGAATACTCATTCTTCCGGGCCGCAGCCCTCCGCACAAAGCAAAAGTCTGGGATGATTTCTGTATCAGTGACGTTGACACTCTGATGTATGCCGGCCAGCCGTTGAACGAGCTTGTGTTTTGGGACCCGGGCCAGGACGGAAGATTTGACGCCGTCGAACTGACTGCCTTCAGAATTTCGATGACTCGAGACAGAAGGGAAGAGATAAAAGACAAAAAGCTGTCAGTGCAAGAGTTGTAGAGTAAGCCTCCAGCTATTGTATGCAGACGACAGCCACGATGCCACACTCAGAAGCCCTCTGCTGTTCAGCTTCGCACTTTGCTATCTTCAGGTCTCTTCAGGTCTCTTCAGGTCACGGGATACCATCAGCAATGCTCTGCCTGTCACGGTTGAAATCCTCCACAGTGCAGTCGTAGTCCTACATTCTCCTGCCCACCCCGCATTGTGGTGCGCGTTGACGGCGCTTCCCGCCCTCAGTGATGCCTTCCATGCCTCCCAGGCTGTACCCCTGACCAGATCGAAGTGCTTGGGCAATGAACTTGTCAGCCCCAATCTCAACCTCAGGCTCTGCGCCGATGCGCCCTTCCCCCTGACGGCTGAGGCGCAGGTTGGACGAGATGCTCCTGGAAAGACCTCAAGGCAGCTGCAAGATTATCATTCCCCGCAACAGGTCCGTCCTGCAAGGCCTTCGCAAAAGCCTCGTTCACCGCCGCAAGATTGGCCACCACTCCAGGGTCGGTTTGGAGGTCCTCCTTCAAGGATGCCAGGATGTGGCCGCAAATTCTTCCATCACGCACGGCTTCATAGATGATTGAGATCCATGATCCCACCGTCTTCTTGGGTCGATTCTCGTCGGAGGCACTTGGCTCGGCGATCGGGTCGTCCTGGAGGCCACGGTGAAAGGGCACCCCTAGTTCGCCTCGGACAAATTGATACAATGCGCGGGTGCCTAGACCCAGACGGGGTACGGTGACGTTCGCAGTCTGGTTCCAGAAGAGGGATCGCCATTCTCGAAAGGCCGGCGCCAGAGTTGTCAGGATGAGATTCCGCAACGCGTGGAGCCCATAGTGGAAGTCCGTCTGGCCTTTGGGATCGTCCTTGGTCACTCTCTCAAAGTAGCACTCGAGGACCGTCTCGGTCACCGACCTGGCCACCTTGTGGCAGCGGTCGTCCAAGTCGCAGCTTGCATTGGCGAACCAGGCGACCGAGAGTTGCGGCGCCACCAATTTGAGCATCACCTGCACGTTTTCAGGACTGACCTTACCCTCCCAATACTTGACGACGGACCTCTTGATGGCATTTGGGTACGAGTCCATGAATTCTTGGTGCATGACGCGCAGATCGACAGCCTGCAGCCCGACATAAATCGCCGCGGCGGTCATCATGGTGAGGACTTGCACGCTGTCCATGGTGTAGCGAGCCGAGATCAGGGCCAGCGAGTTGATGGCCTGGTTGTGCATCTCTGCCGACTGGACGTGGGAACTGATGGGGTTCGCCAGCATTGCCAGCTCGGACTGGTAGCCGGCCATGTTGATGTCGACGCCCTTCATGCAGAACGACAGGCTCGGGTCGTCGGCCGCCAGGTTGGGGGGCAGGCCCTTGCTCGTGACCGGGTTGATCAACTCGCTGGTCTGGGCGAAGAGCATCTTGCCGATGGTCTGCAAACAGAGCCGCATCTTCTCCGTGGTCTGGGTGACCACCGAGGCCTGGAAGTTGCCACCGCAGTAGACCTCGCCGACCTCCGGGTTCACCACCGGGTTGTCCGTGGTCGAGTTGAGTTCGACGGTCAGCTGGCCGGTCGAAACCCACAAGTCATCGAGGACCGGTCCGATCCACTGAGACGAAGTGCGAAGTGCGTATCGATCCTGCACCAGGCCTGTCCGGGCCCGGGCGTCGTGCGTCGACTTGGACAACCCGGTGACCAGCGCCGAGCCGCGGAAGAAGTATCGCAGGTTGCGCGCCACTTCCATTTGGCCCTGGTGTGGCCGGATCTCTGCAATGAATGGATGAGCCCATTCGATATTGGCTGCCAGGGCTTCCGACGACAGGCAAGTAATGACCTGTGCCAACACCGCAAGCTGGTTCGCCTCATACACGGCCAGAGTTGCTACGGTCGCGGATGGCGCCGTGCCGTTGACCAGAGCCAATCCTTCTTTGGGGCCCAGGACCAGGGGGGTGTATTTATGTTTGTGCCCGTCGCCGACACTGTCTTTGGTGTGGTTGCTGTCTTTCCCGGTCTGGGTGCCTTGGACCTTTGTGCTGTCGTCGCCAGCCTGATTCTCTTCGGTGGTCTTGCTCTCTTTCCCAGGTTTGGCGTCTTCGGTGCTCTTGCTCTCTTTCTCAGGTTTGGCCTCTTCGGAACTCTTGTTCTCTTTCCCAGGTTTGTCCTCTTCGGTGCTCTTGCTGTCTTTACCAGGCTTGTTCTCTTCGGGATCCTTGCTGCCATCACCAGCCTTTTTTCCTTTGCGATTTTTGTTCTTCTTGCCCTTTTTCTTGCCGTCCTTATTCTCATTTGGGTCTGGGCCGACTTCAGAGACCTTGCCGCCTTGTTCCTTACTTCGGTTGGAGTTCTGGCTCTTGCTTTCTTCCATGCGCATTTGTTGAATCTGTGCCATGGCATCCGATGCCTTCAGGATCTTGCGGCCGCCTCCACCACGAGTGCGCACGTAAATGTCCGGGTTTCCCTGCAGAGCGCCAGCAATGTATGCGAGAGGCATGAGGTCCCCTGAGGCGGAGATGGAGCCTCTCAAAGGCACTATAGGGATCATGTCTCGTCTGACCAGTTCCGCCAGCATGTCGACCACTCGAAAGCTTATGGCAGAATGGCCTCGAATGGTGGTATTGACTCGGACAAGCATGGCGCCGCGGACCCAGCTGGTCGGCATCGAGTGTGAGTTGTGTTCCCCGTCCTTGTCTCCGTGGACACTCAAATCATTCTTGGTAAGGATAGCCGACTGCTGGTGTTGGGTCAACGCTCGTTGCAGAGTGACAAAGTCAGTGGTACGAGTGTCGGCATTGGCTCCAAAGCCAGTATTAACCCCTATGGTGAGAAGTTGATATATCAGCCCATGATCAAAAGCTTCGGCATGAATTTCCAACACAAGCCCCAAGGCACGTCCAAGATAAACCAGACGTACAGGAAAGACGAGGCAAGGCATGCAAGGTTTGACATACCATAGATACTTCTTCCCCACAGCAAATGCTTCTCCAGTGTCTTCTTACTGTCAGCCATACGCGCGACAAGCGCCGGGTCTGTGTCGATGAACGGTTTACACCCATATCTGGCCCCGGTGTCAGCATCATGGTCCCCCAAAAGGATCAGGTGGGATGGAGGAGAAAGAAGGATGAATATAGGGCTGGGATTACTTTGCCACGGCCACAACGGTCCCAATTTCCAAACTCTCGCCGTTGACCTCCACCTTGCCAGCCTCGATCAGGTTTTGAACTTTCTTCCACTCCATATACGTCTCTGTGAGATGGATACGATCTACTCGCTGAGCACGAGCCCATGATTTTCGATAGGCAACCTGTTCCTCTGGGGGGCGAGGAGGGTCCGATGGTAGCGCTGGTCCTGGACCTCCAGCATGAGGGCGAGGGGAGGCCATTTGGTGTGATGTGAGGGCTGAACGTGAGAATGGGAGGGATGAGCGATGAGCGATGAGGGATGAAATCGAAAAGGATGAGAGATAGAAGATGAAGCTTTGATAAGGGAAGAACCAGAAGAAGAAAAGGTCCTCAACAGCCTCAAATAGAAACTGACGAGTTTGATGGGCGCGTTTGACGGTTTGATGGACTATGCGTAAGGTTCGGTGCTGCCAAAAGGAGGGGGCCAAACTTGAGTGAAAGGAGCTGGCGGCACATCCAAACAACACGCATGTCATGTCCTGTCTCCGTCCTTGGCAGACTGGGATCTCAGTTTCATTCACAAGCTGCTTAGTCGGCGACGAGGGGTACGAATGGGGTCTTTTTAGTATTTGGCGTGCCGACAAGCTACGGGGGGACAAGCTACGGGGGATGTGAGTGCGGCGGGCAGTCACAAGAGACGACAGACGATAGATGACAGAGGCATAAGGCATGATACAGACAAGAAGGCACCCGAAGACAGCCAACAGCCAAGCTCGTGGCAATATGGTTTCTAGCCAGCCACGAGCAAGGGGAGGGAGAGGGAGACAGTGATCGGCCACAGGTACGGATGTGGATTATGGGTGTAGTTGTGATTTTTGTGGTCTGTCGACCCCTTGATACAATACATGATTGTCTCCTATGTTATAGTTGAGAACTGTTCTTTCTCTAGTGTAAAGAAAAGAAAGAAGAAAAGAAGAAAGGGAACAAAAGGAGGGGATTAAAGGGAATCAGGATCAGGATCAGGATCAGCTTGGACGAGATGAGACTCTTGATGAAGAGAAAGTACGAGCTACATATTGTATATCTGACTTGGTGTCTGTCTATCCTCTACCTCGATCCTCGATCCTCTATCCTTCAACTATGGTGTTTCGTACCATTAGTGGAATTACTCATGCAGGATACTGGGTATGAAAAAGGGGTACTGCCCTAGTATGGTATTGGCATCGTCTTAAGTCTAGTTTGGAGGCTGGCTAGCTATAGTCAAGTCTGCTGGTCGTCGTCGTGGTGGTCGTGGTCGTGTAGTAGTACTAAGTACCTACTCTCTCTGTACAGAGTATATCCATATCAGCAATATATTCTGAATACGGAGTACAATAACATCCCATGGCTGGACTAGACTAGACAGGACAACCTGCACTCTACACTCTATACTATATTGTATCCTGCATCCTGTATTCTATATCCTGTACCGTGTATCCTGTATCCAGTATTAAGTATCGATATCCATATATAGGTACATGTCATGTTAGGATGGAATACCGTACGGTAGTACCGGTAGTATAGTACGGAGTACAGCACGGAGTACAGATTAGGTACCTAATATACCTTATGTATGTGCCGTACCTCGTGAACCAGCAAACTTGAACTCGGCGCCGGCCCGATGCCGGCTACAGTGCCTAATAGCTGATTACTATATATACGGATACTACGGAGTACACGGAGTATACAGCAACCAACCTTAATCGCACCCCACCACTACATACTCCTACTCAGATTCTGTCTCTGTCTCTGACTCCGTCTTACTTCTAACTCTTCCTACTCCTTAGCCTCCGTCGACCTATTTGATATTCAATGTCCATCGTCCATCATCTATCATCTACCTTCAGCACTTCTTGACTACCATCACCATCACCATCACCACCACCACCATCACAATGCCAATCTATCACGTCGGTGAGTATTTATCCGTCCACCCGAAGCTGCTGGTCGAACTTGCACTACAGTATATGATGACAGTACATGATTTGATTTGATTTGACCCCAATGCCTTTGATTACCGTCTCCCTTGTTCAACATTACCGTCTCCCAATCTTCAATTGTTACCGTCTCCCTTATATTCAGTATTACCGTCTTCCCCACGGTCAATGGTTACCGTCTCCCCCACGTTCAATATCACCATCTCCCTCATGTTCAATATCACCGTCTTCCTCATGTTCAATGGGTACCGTCTCCCTCGTTCAACGGTTACCGTCCTCCTCCTCCTCCTCCTCCTCTTCCCCTTCCTCTTCCCCTTCCTCTTCCCTTCCTCAGCGTTACCGTCTTCCTCTTCCTCTTCTTCTCCTCTTCCTCTCCTCTTCCTCAACATTACCGAACGATCTGTCTAACAACCCCCCAACAGTCCTCTTCAAATTAAAGCCTGGCGTCACGCCCGCCCAGCTGGCCGATTGGACGACATCCGCCAAAGCCATGGTCGGCCAGATCCCAGGCCTGATCAAGCTCGAAGCCAACCCGCCGCTAGCTTCGACCGCGCACCGCAGCCAGGGCTACAATATGGGGTTGGTGGCCGTGTTGGAAAAGGCGGCTGATGTGCAGGTCTATGCTGACCATCCTGCTCACGTGGCGTACGTTTTTATTTTACTTTTATTCTTATCCTTGTTCGGTTCTTGTTCTTATTTTTGGTTTCATCCTTATTGGGTTCTTGTTCTTATTTTTGCTTTTATTCTTATTGGGTTCTTGTTCTTATTTTTGTTTTTGTTCTTGTTGGGTTCTAATGTTGTTTTCTGCCTTACTTACTGCAAATATCTCACCCCCGTTTGTTTTACAAATATGTCCCTCCCTTTTTTTACTATAAACCTCTCCCTCCCGTTTTTTACTTACTGCAAATTTCTCCTCCGGCACCGCCCGCCCGTCCGGCAGCTCCATCGCCACCGCCATCTACAGCACCATCCTGTCCAGTCGCGTCAAGCACATCTATTCTGTCCAGTCGCTCAAGCACATCTATCCTGTCCAGTCGCTCAAGCACATCTTACCCGGCATGGTCGCCAAAGCCCCTCCCGCTGGGTCTGCCCACCGCAAGCCTCGGCCCTCCTCCCGTTTTCCTATCTTCAAATTGGTTGTTCTGTTGACTAGCCTCCCGTTCTTTCTATCTTCAAGTTGGTTGTTCTGTTGACTGCCTAAACTGACCTGACCTGACTGAGTAACTAACTGCGTGGAACAGCGTCTCCAAGTATCGAGAAGAGCTGTGTACGGACACGCTGGCTTATGATTTGGAATACTCGGAATAGAATACCAACACAATACCAACACCAACACCAATACCAACACCAATACCAATACCAACACCAATACCAACACCAATACCAACACCAATACCAACACCAATACCAACACTAATACCAACACAACACCAATACCAACACTAATACCAACACAACACCAATACCAACACTACAGAACAGAACAGAGCAGAACCAAGATCCAACCAAAGAGATCCGATCCAGATCCAGTTCCAGTTCTAGAACAAAAATAGGAATATGAATGAAAATAGGATTGGAATTGAATTGAGTAGAAGTAGGAGTAGAAATAGAAATACTAGAGTAGAGAAAGAAAAAAAGGTCTGGTTCGTGTGCATTTTCATTTTCATTTCATTCCATTTCAATGGCGACTCGTCGCCGTCATCACTATCGTTACAAGTAGTGGCCAATGGCAAAGCCATAGCCGCATGCTTATCTGGGTTTTTTGGTTTTTGGTTTTTGTTTTTTGTTTATTTTTCGAGATGAGCGACTGCCTTGGCCTCGTACAAGGGCGCGATTGAGACCGAGACTGAGACCGAGATTGGACTTGACTCGACCTCAAGGTTGGATCGAAGTGCGGCACTTGACTGGACTAGACCTCAAGATTAGATCGAAGTGCGACGGTCATCGGTTTGTTGCTCAACCTCAAGATTGGATCCAAGTACGGCACTCGACTGGACTCGACCTCAAGGTCAGATCGAAGTACGACGGTCGTCGGTTTTATTGCTCAACCTCAAGATTCGATCGAAGTGCGACGGTCGTCGGTTTTGTTGCGCTTCAAGCCAGCCAATTGCAGCATCTCGGTCCAAAAGCCAATGGGGGGCGAGACAAAAGTGGCCTCGTAGGCATCAACAATAGGAGCCTCCCACACCAAATCGGCGTCTTCGGGACGGACGAAGCGGGTCTTCTTGATGAGCTTCCAGCCGACGAAGAGGAGCGGGGCGACAATGACCATGGTGTAGAAGGAGAAGAAGGTGCCGACGTCCCAGGGGGTGAAGGCGGAGTAGCCGTAGAAAATGACGACGAGGGTCATGCCAGTCAGGCCGATCCAGCCGCAATACGGCTGAAACCAACCGGTGTAGGGGAGCGTGCGGCGGTCGAGGCCCTGGACCTTGCAGGCGCGGTAGAAGCACAGGTAGGTGACGCACATGACGATGAAGTCGATGATGCCGCCGGCGGTGATCAGGTTGACCAGCCAGGTCAGCACGGTGGAGGAGCCGCTGGAGACCTGCAGGAACGACAGCAGCGGGAACAGCATGACGACGCAGAAGGCCCAGATGGGCACGCCGCGCCGCGTGACCGTGGTCAGGAACTTGGGCGCCCGGCCCTCCAGCGCCAGTCCGTACAGGCTGCGCGTCGAACAGTACGTGTACGTGTTGCCCGCGGAGAAGATGCTGGTCAACATCAGCGCGTTGGTGATGTGCGGCATCACGCTGACTCCCAGGTTCTCCATCGCGATCACGTACGGCGACGCCGCCGCCGTGCCGCCGCCGGATTTGGTGCCGCTGACGATCCCCACCAGCGTCGGGTCGTTGTACGGCACGATGATGCCGACGCACAGCGCGCCCAGGATGAAGAACAGCCCAAACCGCCAGTAGACCGTCTTGAACGCGTTCTTGATGTAGATCCGCGGCCGTTTCGCCTCCGCCGCCACCATCGCGATGTATTCCGGCCCCACGACCGTGAACGAGGCCGACCACAGCGCCGCCAGGAACCCTTCGAACCGGCCGAGGGAGCCTGTCGTGTGGTGTTCGGCCATCGGGCCCGGGTTGCGCCAGTACCGGAACCCATACGCGTCGTGCTGCGGGTTGCCGCCCACCATGGTGATGAAGGTGAAGAAGAACAACATGATGATCAGGATCACCTTGCCGCCGGAGAGCCAAAACTCGGCTTCCCCGTACGCTCGCACAGCTAGGATGTTCAGAAGTCTAGGATCACACAAGAGTTTAGTTTGAGGTCGCCCGGGCCAAAAAAGAGAGAGAGATGGGAATGGAAAAAACACAGTGCACGGGAAGTCGCTTTGGATGGTTCTCACGCGTAGAGCACGATGCAAATAGCGCATATGGCACCCGTGGGGATGGCGTCCGTCCAGAATGACACCACCAGATTCAGCGCGGTGATCTCGAACGGGATCAGCAGCGCTTCGTAGAAGAAAAAGTTCCATCCGGCCATGAAGCCGAACGCGTCGTCCACCCATTTGCCCGCCAGCCGAATGAAGCCGCCGGAAACGGGCTGCAGCACAATCATCTCGGCGATGCAGTTGTTGACTGTTCCCAGCAGACAGCTGTAGATCGTGTACGCGAGGAACAGGCTGAGCGGGCCTCCTTTGGCCAGCCCACCGCCGATACTCACAAACAGCGCGGTGCCAATGGAGCCCCCGATGGCAATCAGCTGGATTTGGCGATTGTTGAGCCGCCGTTGCAGTTTGTCCGCGTTGTCAGACACCGTTCCAGGCTGGATTTCGGCCGAGCCGCGGGCCTCGCCGTCGACATATTTCAATTCTTTGTCGCTCATGGCTGTCGTGTCAGGGAAGGCGTCGATGGTTGCTTTGGGGTTGGGGACGGGTCTGGGTAGGAGCAGAGGCCGGGGCTGGCTACGCTACCTATATACGTAGCCAGGGTTTCCTTCCACTTCGCCTCTCGGGCTTGGAAGTCTTGATCCAGGATTTCATCGGGTCGGTGCAGTGGTAAGTGGTACCCATCCACTCGAGCACGCGACAATGACAATGGCCCGGCACCTTCGCCAATCAAGCCACGGACCAGAAGGCACGGGAGAGCTAGCCTGACGCAGATCTTCCAGATGGCGAATGAAAAGCTGGACGAAAAGACTCTTCACCCCCGCATTAAATGCTGGATCGCTTTTCATCTGGGTCCCTGGGTTGCAAAGGTACCGGGCCAAGCTAGCGAGGTTACCTTTGGGGGCCTTGTCCAAGTAGACCAGCGGGTCGGTCGCTTTTCACAGGAGGGCCGTTCCCATGGCAGGGTGGATCAAGATGTAACTAAGCAAGCCACCACCGTAACACTTGGTTTGTGTCAAAGAGGCACTAGACTCGATCGAGGTATGATGGAGCTCCTCCTTGTTTGCTTTTTTCGTAAGGCAGAGCGAGCGCTCGGAACAAGATCTGATGGCGTGATGTCCGGGCCGGGGATCATCATCATCCAGCCTTGGCCATTGGAATAGGATCCCGGTGCACAGGGTAAAGAAGGGCAAAATGATCCCTGGGATGCACGGCCGCGCCACCTGTCGAAGCCTCTGGTCGTGGTCTTGGTCTTGGTCTTGGTCTTGGTCTTGTCTTGAGGTCTGGAAGTCTTGAGGTCGACTTGCTGCTCGGGACCAAAGGAACAGAATTTTCCCCTGTGTCTCCAGACCCCGGGACCCTGCCTGATCCTGATCATGACGGTGCCGGGCGCTCCATCACTCCTCACTCCATCACTCCATATACGTCTGGTGGCGGCGAATGGCAGTCGAGCTTGGCGGCGTGTTTGCCCACGCTACTACTCCGTAGTATGGCAAACCTGTTTCCTCTACCTCCCCGTAGTTCTGTCTTACGTAAATGGCGTGCGCAAGGGATTTGAGATTTTCGTCGGCCGGCTGCGAGCGAACTGCCCGTGCGTAGAAAATAGAAAATGATAATTGCGGGTTGCGGCATCCGAGTGACCAGGAGGATGGCAGCTGATGGGCAACTCTGGGCAACTCTGGGTCACTCTTGGTCAGCAGGATTCGAATCTTCGTTCAGAGTTGACTGACCATTCTTCTGTGTCACGTGACTCGCCCGAACTCCTTCGCCTCTGGAACTAATGCTCCGCCGTAGAGCTACCTGATCGCGGCTTCACGGAGTAGGTTCCATGCGCCACTCCGAATCCGTCGTGCGAATGCCGTGGTGCTGGTTGCATGCCCGGCACAGCATGGAAGGAGTGAGAATGAGCATGAGCTTGAGAATCAGCATCAGCAGTAGGTGAGTCGGGCGAAAGGCCGGTTCAAATTGGCGGCGTATCAGCCGAGGGTTCGATTGTCCGAAAAGAGGCATGTCTTCCGCTACAAGCTAAATGGCCATCCTGGACCTTCCCGAAACCTGGGGCTTGAATCCAGGGGCAGGCCAGGCGAGGCAAGGCAATCTCCAGGGTTCTAGGGGATGCAACATTGCGGAGGTCAAGTACGGGGAAACTCACCGTTCCGCACTTCTTTGCGCGGCGAGACAGCATCTCGTCATGCCTACAGATGGTGAGTCGCTCCCCAGGCAGCACAACACACAAATTCTCAACCGGAGGGGGCGATGATAAGCAAATCACAGTCGGATATCTAGGGTCAACCGAATGGGAAACAATCAAGAGTGACCCGTGAACATGAACAGCCAACTCCTAGTCCATCCATGTTCCCTTACAACGTGGTAGCCTTGCCCACCAGGCCCAACTCTGTCTTGACTCTCTCCCTCAGCTCTCTTCTGCCTCTCGGCATCATGGTGACGCCGCCGGTGGTCTCGCTTAAGCCCCAAGTTTTGCCTATCTGCGTCTCTCCCTGGCCAGCCTGGCATCGCGGCAGTGTGTCAGTCTGAGTCCATTGGGGCGGCGCTGGTGGATGCCAAATCAACCGACTGGAAATGGCCTTTGGCATCCGGAGACTTGGAGATTGAAGGTAGATGAAGGGAACCGTGTAGAAAGCTGTGATATCGTCAGAAGATGGCAGACTTGACCTTGTCGCCTCAGCCTCGTCACGTGATAAGGCTCTCACAGCTCGGTCTGACGTCATTGTTGTCCCTGTCTGGTCGCGGATTGCCAACCTGCTTCAAGTTACACGATGCCTTTATTCATTGTTCCCATCTCAGTCGTCCCTGAGGAGTTCCATCCCGAGACTCCTCCTGCGCATACTTCATGTGCTACGATTCTATGTCAAGATCATGGGCCGCCGTGATGACAACATTTCTCGGTCCATCATCCTCGCCATTCTCCAAGACGACAAGGCTGAGGGCGGCTTCCGGATTTGGCGTCTATTTCGCAAGTTCTTTGCACTCTACCGGCTCGTACTCGCCCGGTTACGGCCGGAGCTGTTCCAGAATCTACGGAACAAAACATGGAAGATATCAGAGGAAGACTATAAGGGCAGCTTCGGGGGGGGCAGCGAGTCGTTGATCCCACAGGGCGACATGGGGTATTCGGGATCGGTGTGTTGTATTGGCCCAGCCGAATCGCCACACATCTTAGACACCAAACTGACTGACGCATCCTCCACTCCCAGACATTCTTCACCACCGCGGACAACAAGTACCTGATCAAGTCCGTCCCCCGCCGGTTCGAGCACACGTTCTTCCGTGATGACCTGCTGGAGCCCTACGTCTCGCACATGGAATCGCACCGGGAATCCCTCTTGGTACACATCACAGATTTCCTTGCCTGGCGGCACCGCAGCCTCGGCGGTCTGTTGGGGTTTGTCCCCAACTACCATCTCGTCATGGAGAACCTCCTGTACGGCCAGGAACATGATTCCAGCTGGCAGGCCTTCGACTTGAAACCCATGTCGTACTTCTTCCCCGAGAGAGATATTGCCGGCGGAAGACTTGCTTCGCAGGCGACCAAATCCAAGCTTGCTGACGAGTTCCACGACAAATTGCGGCTCAACCGAACTCAAGCAGATATGTTTTTCAAGACTCTTGAAGCCGACACCGAGCTTCTCGTGAAACATAACGCAGTCGACTACAGTCTGATGCTAGTGAGGATCCCTCGAGCGTCGTCGTATACTCGCGAGGGCGATGCTTCCGACCCATTCCAAGACCCGCAACCACTGGACTGGCGAGAAGGCGTGCCATCACAGGACAACAAATGGCTGTTTCGCGCCGTCATTCTCGACTTTTTCTGGGCCAAGCACAAGGTCCGAGCCAAAGCTATGACGCTGCTGGTCGACATGTGGAATCTCGTCGATCGCAAGGGCCCCATGAGCATCACCACCACGGCTCCCGAGTATCGCGGCAGGTTTCTCGACATGTGTAGGAGCATCGTTCAAGTCGAAGATGACCTGGCCCCGGAGGAGTCTGCATCGTGACTGATTGCTGCGCTCGAAGCGGATCTTCTGTACAATAGAGGGCGGCGTCCTTGGTGTTTGTTGCCCTACTCACCCTAATATGTGCGTTGACGGTTTGTGCTGTTATTGAAGACGCGCAGGGTGATATATGCCCTGCAGATGGCTAACGCATTATGTCCCTTGCATAGGTCCAAGTTGAGAAAGAGGATGTCAATATTATAAGAGTGGAAATTGCAAATGAGGGTATACTGCTACTAACGCAGAAGCATTGAGCCATTAGTTCAGCCTTGTCATGATTCCCTCCACTCTTGTACAGTTGCGAGATACTAATGTCGCTGAGCTTTCATATTCCGTGCAGTGTTGCGGTCATCCTTCACCTCACCCTTTATTAACAAGTCGAGTATATGTCCCTCAGGAACCTTTCGCCTTGGATTTTTTCTTTACCTGTCATGGTACTGTCGCCGATATCACTGGGACTGGAGCCTTTTCTAGCTTTGGCCACCACGGTTGCTTCAACTTTGCCGGCTTGTGTATCTGCATCCGTCTGATGTGCTTCGAGACCCGACATGGTTGGCTTGGCTTTCCAGCTGCGTTCAGGTTCGGGTTGTCTGATTATAGCTGCTAGGCCACTGCTAGTCCCTGTCCCTGTCCCTGTTGACGGTGATAGGCTAGGTTTGGTCGTTTCGGTCCTTCTGGCCTGGTTGCCGCCGCCACCATTTGCGGACTCACACATATCGGCAGGCCTCAAGCCTCCGTGGTAAGGTTTCTTGAATTTCCCCTCCTGCCAGTCTTTGAGTCTGAAGGTCCAGGCGCCCATTGTCTCTGCCGGTCGGAGCGTGCGGCCGATCTTGCGAGCCAACTCAGCAGCGACGGGATCGGGGTGAGACCCCACCTCATAAAACAGGCTGTGCCAGTCGTGTCCATCGCGATCCCGTTTCCGCATCTCTCGCTGGCCGCTCTCGAGTCTTGACTTGGCATCCGCAGCGCCTTGCATGTCTCCTCGTTCCAGGGCCTCTCGAACTCCGCGCCACGCAACCCGCGATTCCCATGGATCCTGGTCGGGAAGAGGGTCGACCGTGAGCGGGGTGGTGGTGGAAGATCGAACGTCAAATGTTTCGACATGGACTCCTTTTCGCGCATCGTGGATGCTGAACGACCTGTCCCAGTGGCCACTGACGGTGTACAAGGGCGTTTGATCCTGGTCGTCGTCGCGGTATACCTTGGCCTCGAAGCCGTGTTTCTTGTCGTCCCACCCGGTCAACCAGCCTTTCCCGCCAAACTCGATCGTCGACATATACCCGCTCGTGCTCGGGATGTGGTACGTCCCCTGCAGTTCTGGGTACAGGCTGCCGGTCAAGATGCCCTTGACCTTGACGTTGGGTAATGGGATCAGGTATGTCTCGTCGTGTCGGGCGAGGTGGAGCGTGGCGTGACCCAGTTGGCGAATGGTCATACTGCCCCCGCTAAAACCGATTTCCTGACGGGTGTAGCCCTCGGCCTGGGAATGAAATTTGGTAAGCTAAGTACGGGATTCGAGTTCTTGATAAGTTAAGCATGGGATTCTTGTTCTGGTCGAGATGGAGCTGGACCGGCTGTCTTGCATTGCAACAGCTGGGCGACCATGCCTGCCCGATTTGGACTCACCGACACTCCGTGGTCTTCGTTCCATACGCGACATGCCGTCACTGGTGGGTGATGACTGTCAAAGACTTCGACATTAGCACACGCCTCATGAAATAGGCGGGAGATAACACGACATCTAGCTAGAGAGCTGCAACCCACCAATTACCACCATCAACACCACCACCACCAACACCACCAGATGATGAACATCGCCCCTAGAATGCATATACACCACACCGAGAAACGTTGACCACGTCAAGATTTGACAGGGATGGACCCAACACTCACCTGACCTGCTCGCTCACCAGCCTCGTAGTGCCGGTGCCGGTTCCAGTGGCGCCATGATCGGACCAAGTGGCCAAAAACACTTCGCCCAGGAAGGCATTGAGGGGTTTCTTGACGCCGTCGTGGGCCGGGCGGCCCGTATACTGCTGGTTGCGGAGGGCGGAGAGGAACCATCTCGCCACCAGCACGGCGCGTTCGGCCGGATCGTCCGACGAAGCTGGAGCGATGAACACGGAGGGCCTTTCGGCCCAGTACGCGGGGAGCTCGACTGCCGATTTCGTGTCGAGCACGAACGGCGGTGCGGTGATGGTTGATAGATCGCCGCGGATGGTGGCAATGGACTGTTAGTGAATGTGTCAACAATTCTTTCATGTCAATTGGTTTTGGGTTTCAAGCCCTCATCGAAACCGAAGCCGAACCCAAATCGAATACTGATTCTGAGCTGAAATGGCCTTTGGACCAATTGGGACGAAACATGGGCCATCGTTGAAGCTGAGGCTAAAGGTGGAAACTGAGGTTGAAGCTAAAGGTGGAAACTGACTCTGGCAGAAACGAAACGAAACCATCTTATGTTCACACAAGAACAAACCGCGGCTTGATTTCAGGGGAGCGTCTAGGAAAGCATATGGGTGGCAGAGAGGATGTACATACTGCTACAAAGTCCTTCCATTTCGACCGCGAGCTGACGCTCGGGGTGGAGGTGGAGGTGTGGTCAGGCATGACTCGTGTTCTCGTATGATTACAGTAGTACAGTCCGTCCTGTGTTCTACCACCTGTAGATAGGGTAATGGTGGTCGTAGTGGTAGTAGTGGTAGTGGTGGTAGTGGTAGTGGTTGATCCGATCTTGAAATATCTACCTATGTATACTATACTATACCTTGGTACAGTGACTGTGATAGTGCCAGTGCCAGTGAGACGCAATACGCCATAGTTAGAATCAAGATATGGTGGTCTCAAGATAGCCAGGTACGGGTATGACCTGTGTCGCGGACAGGGGTTGTGATCCAGAACGGGCTCATGCATGATATCATGACCTTGTACTGTCGAGTCCTCTGTATAGCTAGCTAGCTACTGTGGAAATTCAGGGACTAACACTAGGAAGTGATGATTCATTCTATTCAATTGTACATGTCATACATATGCCTGGACTGCGCCTGGCCTGTCAAGCACACCATCATCATAATAGGTGGTTCAGTTCTCATGGCGTTCCAAGTAAGCAGGGTCACCGCGCCCGGGTCAATATCCGTAGACTACCTAATTAATGCGTCGGAGCCGTCACCCGTCCGAGAGCATAAAATGATGAGTTTGAGCGAGCGTCTGAAGGGCCACACTGGTTTCGTGAAGGAGGATTCTAGCTCGCAGTTCGCCCTGTTCAGCTCTTTCCAACATACGCAGGGCCAGTGGCATTTGAAATGGCCCGGGAAACTCGCGGTCGCAGAGTGTGACTCCGAATCCAAAAACAGTATGTCTAAGGCGTGCATGTCCATATCAGAACTCAGATGAGGCTCTCCGCATCAGTGACTGCGGCCCAGGGCGGAGATTTGCTGCCACAGCGCTGTGCCGAACCCATGATTCGTTTTGAAACGAAGAGACAGCAACGAAGCGGACTTCATATTCAACTTGTCCCTTGTTTTAAAACAGTGTATGGTGCCTTAGATCCTCGCGAAGCTTGCGTTGGTTGGTCTGGCCCTTTGCTGGAAAACGGGGCACACTTCAGGGAACATGTGGGAAACAGTCTTCACCGATCGGGAGGCGGAAAGGCTGTGCCAACCATTGCATGCAACTGGCAGACATATTCGGCGACCAGAACAACCATAGTAGCGTAGCTCATGGTAGCTACTGATCTTTGAAGTAGTTTCCAAGGGGAATGGCTGAAGTCCTTTCGGAAGAAAAGAAACACCAACCCTGGCGAAGAATTCTCCATACAATTCTGAGGACAGTTGTAAGGCCCGGGAATAATCGGTCACTGCGGCCTGGTTTGGTAGTCTGTTCCGTCCATAGCTGCAACTAAGAGGCCTGGGTCCGTCGAAATTCTGACCCAACCGCAGGGCTTCTCGACATTGAAGCTGATCATTCTATAGTCAGCGGCTGCATGGCCTCGTGAACAGAGACGATGAGCGGCCAATAATGGAGTGTGTGTCCGATTGTAATGTCCCCTCCTGCGCATAAGTCCTGTTCTTTCTATGCCGCCTCTTCATGATGTAAATGCCAGTCATCATGACCTAGTCTAGAACGCGAGACAAATATCCAGGCTCTCGTTCAGCATCGTCAACGTGGCGCGGTATTGAAGCCAGATGTGCTTTCGTGCCTCTATTGCGTAGTCGCTGTTCGATCTTCTAAGCCTGTGAGGTCACAGTTAGTTCGGCACCAGGCGGCGGAAGGGGCTTTTCCGTCTAGCTTTGCACACGTACAATTGTTTGTCGAATCTTCTATCCCGGAAGAACTTGAGGTGCAACAGGTTCTTGAGGATCTTGTGCTCGTAGCCGTTATATAAGCCCGCATTTTTAAGGAAAAGCAGCGTGTTCTCGACCCGTCGCGAATTGAAGCTCGTCGCCGGAGAGGAACGGAATGACTCGCGAAGGATGTCTCGAACCTCGTAGCGTGCTGGGCTCGCGTAGCAGACAGCTTTGAGCGCGGCCCGGTAAAGATGGCGGTAGGCGCGCAGTCGGTCTTGAGTGCTCATGGAGAGAGTGTGGCATACGCTGTCAAGATTATAAAAGTAGCATAGGCACAATGGTGCTATATTCAAGTTCGAATTGCGATGGAAAGATTATGGATTTGGGCTCGCACTAGCCTACCACAAGGCTGCAGCCTCGCCTCGAGTCTGTCCTCTGCACTGTACGGAGTATGTACAGATACTCCATACACACCTGTCAGAAAAATTTGACCAACTCAGCTGGCGTTTACTATTAGTGATCGTAAATGAGTGCCTTAATAGCCTACGCGCACTTTGTAGAGGTGCCTGTCACCAGTAGGACGCCAGGCTTGAACACCGCTCGAGATAATTGGCTCCAGCACCACACAGGACGAACGTAATGATATGCACAGTCCGGACGGATGTTACCCGATGCCTGGTAGACGGGAGGCTACCAGCGCTACCCAGGATGTCAGATGGACTATCAGAAATATTCGTGTCGTCACAGGCTGTGAATACCACAGTTCGGCTAACAATAGCAAAGGTCTAGGTGGTCACATATCCTCATCCGACCTAGAAGCTATAAGCGCGATGCGCCGCCAAGCTTTTGCCTCTCCGCGCTGGTCTCGAACCCCGACTTCACTTCCATTCTCTGCGCAGCCGCCAGCTTTTGTTGTCTTCTCCATCTCCCTTTCACTCTCTACCACTGATAACTGCGAGACTCACGCGTTCGCCGTCTCTAAAGACCACTGTCGCCTGGATGATTGTGTCCAACAGACTATCTTGACCCGGATTGAGATCCCACTTGAAGTCAAACACAGCTTTCCACAGCTGCAGTTTGTTTTGTCTGCCTTTCCTGCAGTAGCCGCTGCCAACAACCACCGGACGCCAAACGCCCGGTATACAGGCTGTTCTGTTCTGTTCTACTAATCTCCAGTGTCTAGAGACCTTGATCGTCCCATCCCCATGTTTTCATCTCCGTGTCCAGTTCTCCCTGTGTAGTGTTGATAGACACCCGCCATGGCAAGAGTCAAGCAAAAGGTGGCAAAGAATGGGGCTGGGGGCGCCTTGACCCGTGGAGGGCAAGCTGCAAAGCAAAGAAACAAACACAAAGTGGTTATGGAAGACACCTCTAAAGAGAAGAACAAGCTGCGGAGCGTGGTAAGAAGAAAAAGATATGGTGCCCGAGGAACGACTCACCCGGATTCCCAGATCACCTTCCGCGCGGATCCCCCTCCAGGCTATACATTCATACCTGCTGGAAATCCAGAACTCACAGCTGCGCTCAAGGAGTTTGCACGCAGAGGCGACAACAAAATTTTTGCTGTTACGGTAAGTCCTATATATGCCGCGTCCCGAACTCTACTAACCGTTAAGACTACGCCACATGCCGATCGCCATGAACTCTCAAGGGAAGTACATCGTGTTGGCTTTCATTTTCCCACCAGTGTTGTTGCCCAGGTCTGTGCGCATTATGGCATTCGTCTTACCAGCGGAGGCAAGGTCATCGATGAAACAAAGGATGACAAACTCTTCATGCAAGTCTATCAAAACCCTGGACATCGCCCTGTTGAAGGAGAAAAGGACCAGGTCACCATCAACACCGAGGCCAAGCAGACCATCAAAGATCTGTTTCCCAACATTCCAGACAAGGACCTGTTTCAGATTATCAAGACTGCCTTCCAAAAAGGCGACAACAAAGTTGGTACTGCGGATGAGATACCTCTTGTCCGTAGAGCACAACTTTCTGTCGTCGCTCATATTCGACATATGTATACTCAGTATGACAAGCTCCTGCGAAAAGTGCCGTACAACGACGCCCGCCACATGGTCGAGCAAGATACCCTCAAGAAGCTGATCGAATGGCGTGGCGACGAAGAAACTACGGATGAAGCCACCCAACGTGCAGCCGATGATCTTCTTAGAGAAGTCATCGTCATTTCTGACGAAGAAGACAGCGACACCCAGTCGGATGATGTCCAACAAGTTCGTCACGACAATGTGCAAGTCGAAGAGCTTCCAAGCGCCGCTTATGGTCTGGGTTCAAGCCGACCTCGATCTCCTTTGTCTCGGCTGTATCGTGAGGATGCCATCCAGGACCGCCATTTCCTACCACCCGTTGTGCACCGGTACAAACCCACTGATGACGAAATCGCCCAGAGGGATCGCAGTAGGTATGCTGTCTGGGACCAAGCCAAGCGCGATTATCGTTCTAGAATAGCCGAAAGACCGGTCGCCGTTCTCGACAGGATCTATGAGCCCGAACTGCCAACCTCTCGCATTCTCATCCCACTCGACGACCCTGCGTATCCTCCGAGACTGCAGGATCCTCCTGTGTCAATGGCCAGATTGGATTATGAGGTAAGATGAGCTCTTTTCGTCCACATTCAGAAGATTGTCGCTCCAGCGAACTTCCTGGACCTCTCTTTCATGACTAATTCTATATCTAGCCCCGTCCCATCCGCCAGCCGAATCCACCAACGTTCATCCGAAGCGAAGATGGAACTTTGTACGAACGAATTGCCACACGACCCAACGAAATTTTACCTGACAGAGCGACGCGATACGACGAGCGCACATCTGCAGCAATATTGCCACCCGGAACGAGGGTAAGAACTCGGCCTTCTTCGCCCCAAGGCTACCTCTATCGAGACCATCGCCATGGTGGAAATCCTGAAGCAGGAGATGCTACAGTTCTTCCTTCGATTGAGGGCCCTGATGGATCCTACTTATCTCCCCGCTCCCGCCAGAATCCTTTCAACAGCCACCCGGAATCTCGTGAGACTAACGTAGCACGAGAAGACGGTCGCGGTTTCCGGGATGTTGCGTTTGTTGACCTTACAGGTAGTGTGGAGCAGTCTTCCAAGAGACGTCGATTTGCAGAAATTCCCGCGCTGCCAGAATACCGGATTGCTAGACGAGACTCTCCCGAGAGGCATCGTGAGCACCTCTACATGCCGCAATCTCAAACAGGGCGTACCCGTACTGAAACTCGCGTCATTGATTACGGTGAGCTGCGCTCAAGCCCAGGACGTCAACCACTAGCCCCTTCCTTGGAACACCTCAGATACGTTGAACGCCAGTCTGTCTATGATAATCGTGATCCCAACCCCAGTGGCACATCCACCCATCAAGCTTTCCCAGCTGTTCAGGGCAGTCGCGAGATGCCAGCTGGGCAGTCTCGCTATCCTGCTCAACATCAGGGTTCTATGCGCTCAGATGGATTTGAGGCCAACACGCCGAGGCGGTTGGAACAATCCTTTCCGAATCCTACACACCGCGTGTATGAACCCGTTCTCGATTCTCGCGGCTATGAGAATCGGAACGCCATGGATCGCAATGGAGCCATTCGTGAGCACTATGCAGAATCCGTTCCCCAAGACTCTCGCACACGGTATGTGTATCATAGTGGGTCCATTCTTCATGAACCTGTCGAAGATTTGTCACGTCAGCGTGTCCTCGAGCACGAGTATCGGCCAGCAGCCATTACAGGACATTTCGCCCACTTTGATCGATGAGGCATAGTCACCTTGTGGGATTGAACTTTCTCAATCTTGATCATTGTCTTTGAGTGGCCTTAGTGACAGTTTTCGTGGAATCTGGTAAGATTTGAGAGGCGTGTTCCTGCGCAATGCCATCCATGCTTCTATGAGTTCGGATCGTCGAGCTGACATTTAGCGCAGCGGCGACATGAAAGTACGAGGATGTCCTGTTTTCAGCATCAACTTCGCCTCTGTCTGGCTCCAGCATCTTGTTGATCAGCTCCACTACGACTTGCGTCTTGAGCGACTACAGCTCGCGCGAATGCACTTCTGTTTCTTTCAGCACGGTGGCGGTCAAAGGAAATGGAAAGCGTCTTGCATTTGGGCGGTGTTGATGTTTTAAAAGTCACTATTATCATGTTGAGATACCCATTTGGCGACCGGGACATGGATAGGCAGGCTTACGAATCATGTCTACGAATGTGAAACGAATGGTGGTTTTGTGGAGACGCCCTCCACACTTTGTGAGAATCTAGTTTACCTGAGGCGGTTTCCATTGCGAGGACTACCGAGCTCTCAATTGTGCAGATAACTTCGGATGGCAGGAGGAAAGTCAGTGGAAAGATGTGAGAAGTAGATGAGAAACAATGAGCATCATCAATGGTCGAATGCGCATCCAGCTTAATGGATATTCGTAGATACCAACGCCACACGCCCCCAAGGGCGGCAGTGTAATATCAATTGTGGATGATTGTAGCCCTACTGCTCCATATGCACCATAGCTATGTTGATCTAGCCACTGCCACTGACACTGCCGCCGACATCGTCGTTGTCATCGTTAGTGCCCAGACGCCTATATAGGTTGGGGAACCCCGTCGGCCTCCCCGGAGTTCACGGTCTTGCCAGTCTTTTTGATCTTCTCGAGGACGGTCTCGTAAGAAAGGGAGTCTTCGGTGGTGACATCGGCGGTCTGAGTGTCAAGCGAGACGTTGTACTGCTTGACCCCTGCGAAACGGATCCGTCAGAGAGATGAAACCGAGACGAATCCCCCTCAGGGGGACATTGCGAAAGAAAGATGGAACCAAACGTAGCGTTTTACGTACCGTCAAGCTTCTTGAGCACGCGCTCGACGGCGCCCGAGCAACCTCCGCAGGACATGGCGACGTTGAACTTGTAGTGGTGCTCGGCCATTGTGAAAGTGGTGGATGTGGACGTGGAAGTGGGGGATGGGATGAAGAAGAGGAGTTCACTGAATTGAGTGACTGAGTGATCTGTGATGGTTCGAACCGTGGATTGGGTTGACTCGGTCGATATGCGAGGTGTGCGGTATGCGGTATGGGACGGTGCGTAGGTTGAGCGATGCAGTGGACAATGTAGAAGGCGAAGAAGGAAAAAGCGATGCGAGGGACTTCTTATGGTATGTATGTGTATCAGGGGAGTGGGAGTCGATGTCGGTTGCGGGTTGCGGGCTGAGGCTCTTGTGCGTAATCTAGCCTTGTGAGGCAGGAGAAGCCAGACACTTGCAGATAGATATAGGGAGTGTGAGACACCTGTGAGGAAGACTAGCAAGGGTAAACAAGCCTAAGCCTAAGCCGGGGGCTCCTGAGGCCGCGGCAGTGCTGGGTCGGGTCAGTGGCAGTAGATAATTATTAATGAGGTACCAAAGACGTTGGAGATGGGCTGGTTCGGGCTGAAACGTGCTCAACGTGCTCAATTTAGGGCCTGTTTGGCATTTGACAGGGGCGCCTGGGGCCTAAGCCCTGCTCGTAATCCCGCTGACTGATGGCGTTATTTCTCCAGCGTGTTGAGCGGTATAGTCCTCCGTACTCCGTATCGTACACTGTACAGTATTAATAATCGATGCGAAAGGGCCGTGGTGCTACAGCCTAGGTAGGCCAAAGTGTACGGCAAGACTCAGACTCGGGTACTTGAAGAGCTCCTCCTAACCCTGACCCTAACCCTAACCCTAGCATCGTCATTGTACCAGATCTTCACTTTCATTTCTTGTTCCTAGCTGGTCCGGTAAAGAAAATCCATAGGACTTCTCTAAGGTAGTACTACAGTACTACTGGTGTAGCTTAAGCTGTAAGTCAGGACGATCCCCACAGCCTTGCCGTCAGGATACGCGGTGGTGACAAATCGCTATACGACGTACGGATATGGACTGTATATATTCCATACTGGATGTCCCAGGGCGCAACGGAGGCTCCAAAGTCCACGACGACCTTTGAGACCTAATTGGGGCAAGGACACCTGACCCCTCACACTCACACTCGCTACAAAGTAGAAGCATTCTAGGAATTGGACCCCAAACAACAATCTTCTTCTGTTTCTGTTGCAAGAACCTACCTACTCTACTCTACTGCCAATCTTCTTCTGTTGCCAAACCCTACCAGCTCTACTCAACTCTATGAGCCCGGCCGAACTGGTTCTCGTTCGTTCTTCGAGCGCAAAAGCATGGCCAACCCCAAGAGCAAAATCAGAGCAGTCTTCTTTGACTTTATGGGCACGTGTCTGGACTGGCACAGCGGCGTGATCCAAGTGTTACCGCAAAGCATCGCCGAGAGCGAGAGGTCGCAGCTCGCTCTGGAATGGCGGCACGACTACTTCGGTGCCAACGCGGCCCGGCTGGCGGCCAAGCAGCCTCCTGAAGACATCGACATCACGCTCGGCAAGACTCTCGACGCGCTGCTGGACAAGCATCCCGACCGCAAGAATCTCTTCGACGAGCAGACCAAGCATCGATGTGTGGCTTCGTGGCACTCGATGCCCGCGTGGCCCGACGTGGGCCAGGCCATCGACCAGCTCAAGGCCGCCGGCTTGGAGGTGTTTGTCTTCGCCAATGGCACGCCGCGGTTGCAGCTCGACCTCTGCAAATCGTCCGGGCTGGTCTTCGACATGTTGTTTTCCAGCGAGTTGCTCGGAGTCTATAAGCCGGCGCCCGAGAGTTACCGGAAGACTTTGCACTTGGTGAAAGTGAAGCCGGAGGAGTCTGTCATGGTTGCTGCCCACGCTTATGATACGCGTGGTGGCAAGGAGGCCGGCATGAAGACTGTGTATATTCACAGGTGGACCGATGATATCTACGAAGACATGGATGTTGTTAGAGGAGAAAACGACTTCTTCCTAGAGGACATGACGGAGCTGGCGGCGGTCATTGGGCGGCTTTGAAAAGGGGGAAATATGTGTGTCAGCGATACTACACAAGCACCTCGTCAAGAGTGCCAGTAGAGCCACTGACACCTAGGTGAAGGATTCCGGGTTGGCTTTGCCGAGTCTACAACTTACCAAACTTAGTGCTGGGAGTTCACGGATAATGTCCATATGCCATATGGCATATGTCCTCTAGGCTTCGACTCCATGTATCACGGGAGTCGGTGTTTGGCCGAAGACTGTTGAAACAGAGCAAATTGAACAAATTGAGCAAATTGAGCACATTTCCTGCGCCATGCAAACTGACGGCATATTCTTACCACTGTAGCACGGATACTCTCTGTGCTCTATACTCAATTTCCCTGACCTCCCGTCTCGTCTTCTTTGACCACAGTCGCCTTCTGTGCATCCCACACGGCATTCCACACCTGTAGACCACGCTCCCACAACTCATCGACAACGTCCTCGTGGATCTCGCCATCTTGGTCCAGCAACCGCAGTCGGTCCTCGCCGGAGCACGGCCAATCCACCTGCTTGCCATCCAGAAACTGGCCAAAGGGCTCCAGGAACTTCTTGACGACGCCCTTGTCGCCGTCGGTGTAGTCATAGCGCCAGCCAGAGGCCCACCAGATAGGGATGTCGGCCGAGTGAAACACCTTGGCTTCGGCCTTGTACCAGTTGTCCAGGACCTTTGCGCGCCAGGCGATGCGGTACCTATGGACTCGGGATGGGGGCAGTGGCGTCACGCCCGGCCGAGAGGGCGGGTTCAACAACACATGTGTAAGGCCGCGCACGGACGCGTGGACTTGGCCGTCGCCGACGATCTGGCAAAACACCTCGGCCCAAGCGGCGGCATCGGTCGAAGTCTTGTCGGGCACGTTGTATAATGGCAACAGGGCCTGCACAACTGGCGGCGGATAGTAGTTTACTAGCTGGGTCACCAGGTCGTCGTAGTTGGCTGGCGGGTTGACCAACTTGTACAGTTCTTTTTCGTCGCTCACCTCGCCGAGCAGCACCGATGTACCGTTGCGGAAGAGCCGCGTTGTGAACGTCCCGCTGTGCAGCGATGCTAGTAGCGTGGCATTGACGAAGTCCTCGTCGGTGCTGGCGCGGAATGTGTGCATTTTCAGCTTCGACAACGCAGACACCAACTCTGGTGCCGGAATCTTTCTCAGTGCCGCCAATTTTTCGGCTGGCGTAGCGGTGCCGGGGATGCCAAACACAGAACACAGCTCGTTGAACTGCGACGTCAGCACGGGGCTGGTCGACGAGTTCGGCTGGATCGCCACCGCGTTGGACCATAGAAAGACCCGCCGGATCAGACGCTGCTCTACCGGCAGCTGGCTGTCGTAGTTCAATTGGAAGAACGTCGAGTTGGCGCCCGCAGACAGACCGCCGACCGTGATGTTCTTGGGGTTGCCGCCGAACTGTTCAATGTGCTGTGCCGTCCATTCCAACGCGCACCTCTGGTCCCAAAACCCGTAGTTCGAGGGTGCCGGGTCTTCATGTAGAGATGCCAGGTCCTCGCCTGCGAGAAAGCCGAACAGGTTCAGTCGGTGTGTTGGCGACACGACGATCCGGGGCGTAGTGTTGGCCAGCAAGTCGAACGGGTCGTGCGCGTGGCCCTGCATCGCATCGCCGACTTGGAGCCAGCCGCCATGAATGAAGAATTGGACCGGCCAGCCTCCGCTAGGTTTTGGGCCTGCTGGGACCCAAATGTTTAGGTATAGACAGTCCTCATCCTGGACGTTCTCTATCGGTGGCGCAGAGTCGGGGTTCTCAATCAGGGCCAAGCCATGCGCATACTTCGGTTGAGGGCAGATGGGGCCGAACTTGGTGTAGTCGCCGGGCTCACCTGACGCGGCATCGTTGAAGCTGAAGTCGGACGGAAGAGGCTGTGGACGCCGCCAACGTCGAGACCCCACGGGAGGCAGGGCATATGGCACTTTGGTGAAGCGGTACAGTACTGGGTTGCCGGCGATGTCTTGGTACTCCAGACCCCGCAAACTGCCTCGAGGTGTACGATAGACGTACGGATGCGATGTTGACTGTGTTGGCCGCATGCTGAGTATGTCAAGACTTGTCTGCGAGAGGTGGCTTGCTGTTGAGTCTAGATATGATTAGGAAGATGTCGGTACCTATCAAATGCGCTCTCACGGGCCGACTGCTGATAAACCTGTGGCCGGCCTAATCAACCGGTAATGCTCGAAGGAGTCTTCTGTGAAATCTCACTTATTACAGAGTAATCGAGGGGCGGAAGATTGAAAGGACGTCCGTTGTCTTGTTATCGGAAGTGGGGAGAGGTACAGTCGTCGATGTCCATCGGAAGTATATTTATCTCCGTCAAGCGTGGAGGCCTCCGTGCGGACCAGATCAAGTCAACCGAGGCAGTGAGGCAGTGAGGCGGAGGTGATCTAGACTGCATTGCTGATGACATGAGGTGAGTTCAGTGAGTGAGTGACTCTGCCTGGGTGGCTACTTGCGTTGACACTCCTCATGGCCGGCTTGTACCCCTTCTCCGTGTTATCGTCCCGCGCTGTTTGCCCTCTGATCACACGTCTTCCGCGCCAGACTGCTCATCCACCGAGTCGATTGACCCATTCTCTGTGGCCATCCCATACAGTCTCTCTTCCTCGGCCCCAAGGAGTGGTGCTCTTTCCTTGGGAGGTCTTGAGAAATGGCCGGCAATGCTCATGACAAAGGGTGAAAAGCCGTGCACCATAATGGAAGATAGTACCACAAAGCAAACCACAGGCCAGACGGTCTCCAGGGCTTCTTGATGAGATGGGTGTTTAGGTGGGTGCGGTAGAGGCCCCGATGTGCCAGTCTCAAGCCGGGCCCTGGATTCAATCGCAAGGAACAATGCCCCAACTCCGACAGGCCCAAAGTGCCCGATGAACATGGCCTCGTGATACGTGCGAACATCTGGGAGCAATCTCTTCAATGCCAGAATCGTGGGTAGTCGCCTCAGCAGAAGTATAATCACCACACAAAGAAACATTCTTCCAGGTGCAAGGTTGTCCTTGTAGTGACGCCAGGGTATGATGGACCCAAAGTAGACAAACATCGTGGAGTTCAGTAACAGATCGAGGATGCTGGGTAGTTTCATATTGGCAGTTCGTACTGAAAACCAACCGTCCCAACAGAATGCCGCTCCTGCACTGAAGCATACCAGAAAGTCATCCAGTCCCAGAGTGCTTCCCACGCCAACACAGAATACCGCAAGGAGGAAGTAAAAAACGAATAGCGTCGACTCCTGCACATAGCCTTTGGACTCGCTGAATCTAAGCATTTTGTTGGCGACCAGGCCCACCACGATCCCGATGACTATGCCTGCGAGGCATTGCCATACCAGGAGGTCCGTTAACCACAAGCGGATACCGTGTGCGGCGGAACTCGACATGACAGCATACAGCGCTGCATAGAGCAAGGGAAAAGAGGTCCCATCGTTACAGCCTGACTCGGCAGCAAGCAGATGGCGGACCCGCCTCGGAATTCTTTGAGAAAATCTTGCTTCACCAATGACGCTGGCTGAAAGGACGGGATCTGTTGGAGTAAGACAGGCTCCCACAATCAAAGCGGTAAGCCAGGTGGTATTGAGGACAAAGCAGACGGTTGCTGATGAGATGACCCATCCCGCTATCATGTTCGGCCCAAGGAGGAGGCCGAGACTTCTCCAGTGTCGCTTCACATAAGCTGCCGGTAGGTCAATGCCCACCGCGAAACACTGGACCCCGGTAACGACTCTGGCGAGTTCCTGGGTAATGTTGTCTTCCCAACCCCATCTATCGATGGGGTCGAGCACCGTGGCGCCATAAGGACCAAAGACAACGCCGGTGAGAGTTGCCAGGGGTGGCTCAGAAAGATGAAGTCGATTGCGGATCAGTTCCGAGAATAAGGCATAGAGGATCAGGAAAAATGACAGCAGGAGGAACGTCAGATGTGGTGTACTTGGTTCTATTTGAGGCCAGGCCATGCTGCATAGTGTCTGTTTCTCGAAGGGATTTTGTAGGCTTCTATGTTATGCACCGACCTCACCTTGTCATCTCTCGAACGAAGGGGAATATTTTGTTGCTATCTTGCTTCGTAGGCAGGGGTACCATGTTTTTACGATTGCGACGATGATGCGATCATGATGAGGTGGTGGCTGAATCCAAATATGAAGTCACAGGAGAGTTGGAGGTCATCCAGAAAATGGCAGCCAATCGTGATGGTTCCTCCTGAAGCCGCAAGATCCATCCTTGATACGCTCGTTTCGGGCCTCACGAAGCCCTGGAAAGTGTCAAGGGGAGTGTTTCGGCTAAGTCTGGAGACATTGGGTCGTTGCGTCGTACTGTATTTAGGGATGATTGGTATGTCGGTCCCTCTGCCAAAGGCTTCTATTGCTATCTCCATGGAATGTTTCCACCTGTTTACGAAAGGGAGAAAGCCTGAAGGAGTCTCGAAAGATAAGGTTCACTCAAAGTTGCAATCTCGTGTCTGCTTGTGCGGATCGAGGTATGTGCGGATCGGGGGGAGGGGGTGTCAGATTCTGGACCGAGTGTCCCTTGCTTGAATGTGACGACGATCATATGGACTCGACCTGGAAAGACTCATCAATTTATCGACAGCCGTGGGGTTTCATTGGACAGTATTTTTGACAGGTAGACCATGTTCCACGGAAAGCCGCCGATCGTCAATTAATTGAGGTTTTCTGTGCTGGCTTTATCGGCCAGATCTCTTGACCGGTGACTTTCAGTAGTCTGAAGGTCAAGAGACCCTCTGGTGGTCACATTCCGAGCGACCGCCAGAGACATGACCATTTGACATGTCAGATAGACATGGTTGGCCAATGAGGGTTAGTCTGGTGGGATGTTGTGAGACAGGAATGCTGCCCAACCGATGAAGCAAATAGGCACGGAGCCAGATGGCTCATCATGAGAGGGTGAAGTAAATGACAAGATGAAAGCATCATTACGGCGCAGCTGGATGTGGAAGCGGACGATGAAATCAGCATACCGCCTGAAGAGGCCACGCGTGGGGTCTAAGGAGTCCTCATCGCAGGCTAGCATAGGGGCAGGTGGCCCATGTTGATGCCCGGCGTTTGGGCCCTGTTAAGCGGTCGGGGCCTTTATTGGGGCCTGGGAGAGCCCAGATGCAAACACTGTTAGATAGTGGTTCGCAGGGCCCTTAGGCCGCATGGCACTGCCTAAGGCACCTACATGTAGCTAGTAAAAAGGCAGCAGACTGGAGTGTGGCCGCACTTCACTGGACAGTGACGGTCAGGATCAGCCAAGCCCGGACGAGCCTCAATTGCGGCACTGGCAGTGAAAGGTGAAAGGGCGCGCGGAAGCGAAAGTGGCACTAAATCACGCCTCTCTCACACTTGGCTCTTCTCCCACTCTCCTTCCCGCACCTTGCATCCTGATCTCCTCCTTCGCTACCTACCCTTTCATCCCTCACCTCCTCTTCCTTTCTACCATCTCAACCACTGTATCACGGTCCTGTCGACAAGCTTGACGACTTGTGAGCGTCGACTCACTTGTCATCCGGCTATCGATCTTCATCTTTGGATTTGGTCCTGCACCAGGTTAGTCATCGTCACGCCTTCTTGCCGCCCTGCCCATTCCATACCCTATCTGCAAAGCCCACATCCCTTGACCGGTTCGGACTCCGGCATCTACACGTCCCCTCCTTCCCTTCTGCACCTTCCTTCCTTCATCATCATCATCTCACAGAGGTTGGATCTGATCCTGGCAGCCTTCAACTGCACGCAGCTTTGATCGTAGGCGATGCACATTGCCTCCATTCGTGTTTCATATCATGCTAATCTCATCTGCAAACAGGCTCAAGTCGAGATAAATTCCTCCCTGCACCCACAACAACTCGAGACAGAATTCTTCCATTCTCGAATCAGACTCCTTTGCAAACCATCCTAGCCATCCACGAGATTGTCACAGCCTCGGTGCTGTCAAGCAACCATCAAAATGACGACCATGGTATGTCAGCCCGTTGAAGGTTGTGTGTTGTGAACCCGAGCCTTTAGTGTAAAGAGTTGGAATGCAACAACATCTTCAAACATCCATGGGATATGATTCACCTACTGACGTTCGACTTAGGATTTGCGTGTTGGTAACAAGTACCGTATCGGACGAAAGATTGGAAGTGGTAGCTTCGGTGATATCTACCTGGGCACAAACATCATCTCTGGGGAAGAGATCGCCATCAAGCTCGAGTCAGTCAAGGCTAAACACCCTCAACTCGAGTACGAAGCTCGTGTCTACAAGTCTCTTGCCGGTGGTGTTGGAATTCCCTTTGTCCGCTGGTTCGGCACAGAATGTGACTACAACGCCATGGTCCTTGACCTCCTCGGGCCCAGCTTGGAAGACCTGTTCAACTTCTGCAACCGAAAGTTCTCTCTCAAGACAGTTCTCCTCCTGGCCGATCAACTCATATCCCGGATCGAGTACATCCATGCCAAGTCCTTCATCCATCGCGATATCAAACCCGACAACTTCCTCATGGGAATCGGCAAGCGAGGCAACCAGGTCAATGTCATCGACTTCGGTCTGGCTAAGAAATACCGTGACCCTAAGACCCATTTCCATATCCCATACCGCGAGAACAAGAACTTGACCGGCACCGCTCGATATGCCTCGATTAATACTCACCTGGGTGTCGAACAATCTCGTCGTGACGATATGGAGTCTTTGGGCTATGTGATGCTCTACTTCTGTCGTGGCTCTCTCCCATGGCAAGGACTTAAGGCTGCTACCAAGAAACAGAAATACGACCGCATCATGGAGAAGAAGATGACAACGCCCACTGAGGTTCTCTGCCGTGGGTTCCCCAATGAGTTCGCCATCTACCTCAACTACACTCGATCCCTCCGCTTTGATGACAAGCCCGACTACTCCTACCTGAGAAAGATCTTCCGCGACCTGTTCGTTCGAGAATCCTTCCAGTACGACTACGTCTTCGACTGGACTGTGTACAAGTACCAGAAGAACGCCCAGGCCATTGCTCAAGCAGCAGGCAACCAGCAGACTCAGGAGGACGAGGAAAAGCCACGACGAGGCCATACTGGAACCGCCGCTGCTACCGGTGCTCCCACCCCTCAGCACAACTCGACTGCCAGTAAACCTGCCGCCATCTCCAGCTCCCGACGCAAGGTCATCGAACGCGGCGCGAGCGGCAACGACCAAGGAGGAAGTGACAGGATGTGAGTACTGAAACCTTCGGTTCCGTGTAAGGGATCTCCTCTGCGTTTTGCTTCGGTCTGCGTGGAGGTTTGCAATGGCATCTGACTAATGCTCTAGCGTTCGACGTTAGGCTTCGTTCCGGAACGAGGATAACCACTGGCAACGGCGATTATCGTTGAAACGGAACGACGGCTTGGTGTTATCGGCACTGAACTTGTTCCTCCCAACCACGAAGATTGAAGAGTCTTCAAACTACAACCAATGGGCATGTCGGATCCGGCGCGGGGTTTGCTCTAGCACATGGCAAATCCGGACGGAAGATACGTGAGATGCAGACTTTATTTGAATGGCAACTCGGCTCAACTCGAACATGCAATACTCCACCATTACCCACGACTGTTGGGGATCGGGCAACGCCTCCAGCGCACGTTTTGCATGCGACATCAGACATCAACGAAGTTTATCCACGTACGACGATACAGCATCATCATTGCTGCCCACTCGAGCAGATTTGACCTGCGACTCGATCCCAGTGTCATTCTGCTCCACAACATGGTCCACCATCAGTTTGGCACCTATTTTCAAATCACTTTCGACCTTCCCCTCCCATCTCAGCACGTTTTCCTTGTCTTAGAATGGCTTCATGCATACGCACGCAAAATTCAGAGTACTGGTTCATTAGAGGAGAAGCACGAGGCTGAAGATGATTAGCTCGGGCCAAGTCAACACAACACGCCCACAAGCGGAGATGCTGTGATGTCTCGGGCGGGCCGAACGAACTTGACAGGATCCAAGGCGAGGGACATTTGGCGAAGGATTTGTTAGGGGCGGCTTCTGGGGAGGTGCATGACCAGTAACTCTATTGCTTTGAAGAAGGCAACATAATCACTCAGTGACGAGGCAGGAGGGGTTTCATCGAGACTCGACTAGCTAGTCCAAAATATCATATCAATGTGCCCAATAAAGGAGCCCGTGGAGTTAATTGCGTACATGTAGATGGGCGACGCCGACTCGAACATGTTTCTGGTATATCGGGGATACTGGATGTTGTCTGGCGTGGGCGAGGGAGTTTTGTGCTGGCCCTTCGGCCCGTGCTACATTTGATGCTGTGGACGGTCTTGCTGGTCTTTCGCTTACCAATTCCTGCTACAGGCCGCCGGGCGACTGTGTACGGATAGTGTGTCCTCCGTACCTATGCAGCTAGCTAAAGTTGATTAGCTTGGTTGCCAGTCGCGTCACCGACTAACGACTACGGAGGAGTCAGGACAAGCAGCTCCTCACCCCCCTACTCCGTACTTCAACATAAGATTGCGTGCTGAGCGATACGCCAGCTCTCCCTATTGAACACACTCGACTCTACCATCGACGGAGTGTTGTGCTACCCCTGACCAATAAGTATGTACGTTCCGCTTGAAGACCGGTGTCGAGGTGGTAGACTTGATGAGCTGAAGCTAATATAGTCTCCATAGATTATTGCTGCAGGAGTACTCAGTGCCTGGAAGGACATACAAGGAGACACGCGTCACCCCTTCAGCCCTAGATATCTGTTGTGTAGGGCGCCGAAAGGGCAGAGCAGCTGAGGCATAGCTGGTGAGATCGTTCCGTTCAGGTGAGTCGATCGATGCTTTCCATCTCCATCCCCTGGTCGTTGTTGTTTCAACAGCCCTCCCAGCTCCCTATGATGGCCCGGTGTACAGAGCGAGGGGGGTTGGCCAGCCCCCCCCTAACCCTCCCGTTCTGGCTGGTACGGATGAACACATCTTTCACTGGCCCTGAGAGGAAGAGGGAGAGGATGCGCAAGAACAAGATTCAAAGCAGAACTTGGCAGTCACAACAGATCGGCAAAGCCCAGCTGGCTCGCTGCCACACCAACACCAACCTACAGTACCTTTCTTGACTGCCAGTGGCTTCTTTTGTAAAGTCGGACACTTTGCCACGTTTTGCACTGCTGCACTACAACACGTCGCAAGCTCCCCTTGTATTTGCGCATTGTTCTCAAGTCCAGCATAGCTTGGAACCCGCCTTCGTCGTTCCGCCTGACTGACTGGCTGACTGAAGATTGAAGACGGGAACCAAGCAGGACAGCCGTGTTCCGACGAAAAGTGTAAGCTCACTTTTGGGCTGTCTATCACTATCACTACCACTACCGCTATCACTACCGCTACAGCACTGCAAGAATGGTCGAGCTCCGTAAACGCCCTCCTCCAAAGGAAACGGCGACGCCGGCACCAGCGGCCAAACGAGGTGGCGCCATCAAGAAACTGGCGGAGAAGGCAAAGAATGCCATCTCTTCCAAGGGTGCTGGCGGGCAGAAGAAGGCTGCCGCTGCCCCTGTCCCTGCGGCGCCCGCCCCAGAAGCGAACGGCAGCGCAGGCAAAGACGCGAAAATTGCTGTCGGGGACACCATCGCTCTCGACGGGTTTGGAGGCACAGTTCAGACCCATGACGGCACTAGCGTGACGTTCAAGGAGTTGCTGGACAAGAGTGGCAACGGTGTCGCTCTGTTCACCTACCCCAGGGCGAGTACGCCGGGTTGTAAGTTAAATTCTAACCCCTACTCCCGTGCCCTGAAGGTCTATTTCTTGCAATGCCTCTACCAGAGCACCCCCTTCTGTTCCTTGCTCCTGCCGAGAGCTCAGGTGTAGCTGCATACGCGTGCGATCGAACGCTAAGACAGGAAACCAAGACTAACATACGTGCGCTTTGTGATAATACATAGGCACCAATCAAGCTTGTCTCTTCCGCGACAACTACGATGCCATTACTGGCGCCTCGTTGTCAGTGTTCGGCCTCAGCACCGACAGTCCCAAGGCCAACACCACCTTTGCTGTTAAACAAAAGCTGCCTTATCAACTCTTGGTGAGCATCTCGTCACACTCCCGCTGATCCAAACAGTCTCAATTACTCTTCCAATAGAACTGTGTAAAGGCTGATGCACAAACTCTGGCATAGTGCGATCCTAACGCCACATTGACATCCGCTATCGGCATGAAGAAACCTGGTCCGGGTAAGTCAACTACACGAGGCGTCGTGGTCATCGACAAACAAGGTATTGTCCGTGTCTGGGAACAGGCCGGTCCCGCAAAAACTTTGGATGCTGTGCTCGAATATATCAAGACGTCAGGGCCAACCCAGACCGGCGAGACAGCAGTTGCGGATGCACCTCCGGCTGAGGTCCCCGTTGTATCCGTAGACGAGGTCAAGTCGGACGATCCTGTCGCACCAGAGAACAAGCTTGAATTGGCGGATCCCGACACCAAAATGGACGAGGTTCCCTTGATCACGACTCCGTCCAGGGAGGAACAGGAGGCTGCCACTACTGCAGCTGAGGTCGGTGAGACTGCAGCCAAAATTGATGCTGCTGTCGGTGAGCTCAAGTCTTAAGTGCGTCGTTTAGGTAGCATGCGGCAAAAGTGAGGTTCGCGAAGCATTTGCAGCTAGGCCTTTGTTGCTCCTTCATGATGTACACAGTCGGGTGGCTCGAGCAGTTTCAAATGCTTGTGATCCCCGGTGTCCATATCTTGCCAATCCGTTGCAGCTCGTTAATGAATCTCTTGCTTGTGATTTCCGGGCTCTTGTCCCCATAGTTGGCGATCTGGAGCGGCGTCCGGTGATCGGGCGAATAGAATGGGTTCAGCATGAGCTGGATGTACGCAGTCTGCACAGCCCGAAAGGCAGGTTTCAATTCGGCATCCCGCAAGCCTACAACAGGCGGGAACCTCCTCTTGTTTTCGTCCGGCGGCGGTGGACGCCCCATCATGTCAACCACAATGATAAACTTGATACCAGTGTTGGTAAGCCAGCCATAAGCGGCCAGGCGCTCGTCGATCGCTTGCAGAAGTCCGAGATCTTGATCAAGGGTCTTCGATCGTGCACGGAGGTCGAATATGTCGAGACATGAGTTGAGCAGGAATGTCATGTCTAGGTCTTCATCTTGGTGAGGTGGGAAGAGGGAGATGTGCAGAGGGTTGTCCTAGAGGGAGTCAGCGTTGACTGTCGCAAGGCAACAGGATGGCAGAGAGCTTGCATGTTTGCCAATGATGCCAATGCAAGCAATGGCCGGCGTTGAATTGAGCGCCATCAAGGAGCTGCTCGAATGGAATATGTAACCTACAACTCGTGAGGGAGATGCCGAGATGGCGGGCGGTTGGAGAAATCCCGCTGTTTGGACAAGGAGGAGCGTGGGAGAGGGCAGCCAGCGAATGAGGGAGCTTCGAAATTGGATTTCGCCGAGGAGACCGAAACATCATCGACCTCAAGTTCAGTTATTGAATTCCGTGCGCATGGCAGCTTCACATTCGCCTCCCTCGACGTTCACTCTACTCTTCTTTCTAGCGTGCATATCTCCTTAAGAGGCATCTAATCTTCAGGCAAGATGATGTCCTTGTCGAGAACGATGGCTCCTCGAGCCCTTCGAGGTACGAAATCCTTCACTCAGAGCTCTTCGCCACAAGATTGAGCATGGCTCGTGTTGACAATGATATAGCCTCCACGACCGTCCCGTTCTCATTGATACGTGCAGCACCGGCGGCGTCAATCTCGTCTTCCTCGTCGAAATCAGCTACCTCAGCCACTCCTGCCACTATCTCCAGCGATGCCACGCGGTTACCTGTGACGGGTGGCATCCGTCGCGAAGTGCCGCTCGCATCACAAGAGAAGAAACAAGGGGCCATGCAATATGCCCTCACTACACTCGATCAAATTGCCAATTGGGCGCGGCAGGGCTCGTTTTGGCCACTCACCTTCGGTCTTGCTTGCTGTGCCGTAGAAATGATGCACCTCTCTACACCGCGGTATGATCAGGATCGATTGGGAATTATCTTTCGGGCGTCTCCGCGACAAAGTGACGTGATGATTGTAGCTGGCACTCTGACAAACAAGATGGCTCCGGCTTTGAGACAAGTATACGATCAAATGCCCGAGCCGAGATGGGTCATCAGTATGGGCAGCTGTGCCAATGGCGGTGGCTACTATCACTACAGCTACAGTGTCGTCCGAGGATGTGACCGCATCGTCCCCGTGGACATATACGTGCCTGGATGCCCTCCGACCAGTGAGGCGCTGATGTATGGTGTTTTTCAGTTACAGAAGAAGAGTAAGAAGCTCTCCCTTCCTGCCTCTGGCTGGTGTATTTGTGCGGCAGCTAATTCGCATTATAGTGCGGAATACTCGAATCACAAGGCTGTGGTACAGAAAATAGATGATGGAGCGGCGGAGCAGGAGGATGTCCTCATTCTCTGGTGGTGGCGTATCGTCGCCGGATGCTTTGTCGTCCTGCCTGTGCTTCATACTATTATGACATGTACAGAATGACGTGGACAATTCGAGCCCCCAGGTCTTCTGCCGGAGATTCTGGAAAATTTCGCTCTCGTTGTACATGGCAAGTGGTGTCCCAAGACACCATGAGACCCAGAAAAGGGCCATTCGGGCTTCATCTTTTGGTTTGTCATCGCAATAACCTGGAGAGCCTGGTCAGGTCTTTGCGCTTCTCAATGATTCACTGGTCGAAAGGATTTCATTTAACTCTATTGTACGGTCGCTGAGGTTCATACACTCCTCGTATCATGACCGAGGGGAGAGTTTGCAGGCAAGTTATCGTGGACTGGGCTGGTTGGACTGGCCGAAATGCGTGCTAGAAGTTCCGGCTGCAAGACCTCCTTCCACATGCGCGAAAGCAATGAATATTGTAAATACACAAGACAGGATTTCCATGTACTTCGTACAAAGTACTCTATGGAATTCCAATAGACCTTGTCGGAAAATTGTAACGCCGCTCCGACGCAGTTCCTGCGCTGATTGGACGGTTCTAGTGAGGGCCGCCATCGCAACCTCCGAAGAGAAGGCGAGTGGTTTCCGTCTGCGTCTGCGTGTCTTCAGTTGCCTGCCTCTCTTACATTTTGTGCTCTCCACGCAATCCTCCTTCGAAATTCCACCTCACTCCGCCGGCGGCCGTGATGGAGGCTTCCAAGACAGCAATTCGACAGATCCCTCGTCGGGCGCACCGCTTGACCACTGTTGCCCGTCATGGAGATCTTTCACCCTCCGCTCTAGCCTGTTCGCCCATGGCAGTATGGAGCCGGAGACAATTCTCAACAAACACAAACTTGTCGTTTCCTGGGTCTCCAACCTTTGGCACAAGCAGTTCTTCAGCAGGGCCACAGAGCTACTTCCAACGACAGTCGAGCTTGCCTGCAAACACCATCATCCGATTCGTGCCACAGCAGACGGCTTGGATCGTGGAGCGCATGGGTAAATTTCACCGGATACTACAACCTGGGCTTGCCATATTACTGCCAATACTTGATGTATGGGCCAGACATGACGAATTTGCGAAACCCTAAGGCTGACATAAATGCTAGCGTATCGCATATGTCCAGTCGCTGAAAGAATCAGCCATCGAGATTCCCAGCCAAAGTGCCATTACCGCAGACAACGTGACGTTGGAGCTGGACGGTGTTCTGTACACTAGAGTATTCGATGCATATAAAGCAAGGTGAGATCCTCCTCTACCCAGTCCTAGCGACTCGAGCTAATACCATGCCCAGTTACGGTGTGGAAGATGCAGAGTATGCTATTTCACAACTCGCTCAGACGACAATGCGGTCCGAAATTGGCCAACTTTCCTTGGATCACGTCCTCAAAGAACGAGCAAACCTCAACGCAAATATAACACAAGCCATCAATGAAGCCGCGCAGGAATGGGGTGTAGTGTGTCTTCGCTACGAGATTCGGGATATTCATGCCCCAGAAGGTGTCGTGGCTGCTATGCATAGACAAGTCACGGCGGAACGGTCGAAGCGGGCGGAAATTCTGGATTCAGAAGGTCAAAGACAGAGTGCGATCAATATCGCAGAGGGTCGGAAACAGTCTGTCATCCTGGCGTCTGAGGCTTTGAAAGCCGAGCAAATCAACGTGGCAGCCGGTGAAGCGGAGGCTATTCTTGTCAAGGCGCAGGCGACAGCCCGCGGCATCGAAGCCGTCGCAAGTGCTATTAAGCAAGGCGAGGCTAGCGCCCAAGGCGCCGTCAGCCTGAGTGTCGCGGAGAAATATGTCGAGGCATTCGGGAAGCTGGCCAAGGAAGGTACGGCAGTGGTGGTGCCAGGGAATGTGGGCGACATTGGCAGCATGATTGCTAGTGCAATGGCTGTATACGGCAAGGTGAATGAGGGCCAGATCAAGAGCCTTACACCCACGCGGCCGTCACAATCTCCGCAAGAGCCCTCGAAAGATGTAGACCAAGAAGTCATCGAGGTTGCGCAACACGGAGATTCGAAAGACATTACACAAACTGTCCTGGAAGGGTTTGAGAAGACGAGAGAGGCGCGGAAATGAAAGTTGGACCCTGGAAACGACGATGAACCCGCGGGCCAAAAAGATGGACTAATCTGCCTTTTGTCATGCAGCGACGGCATGTGTATTACTACCACAAGCGACGGCCAAAAGTACCTACACTCTTGTGTATACCATAGTCAGCGAGCAGCCTGAATCATACGAATCTCCAAACAAGTTGAATATGGTGCTTCATATTCCAGTTCGCAGCTACCAGTAGAATATATTTATCCTCGACTATAACGACCTCAGGCTAGTCCACGATGATCGTCACTTACATATAGGAGTCTAAACGGAACCAGGCAGCTAGTAATTTACTGTGGAAGAATACCACGTACTACCTTCCTCTACAGACTACAGCTACGAGTTACTCTAGGGAGGCCGTAGAGTATGTCTAGTATCTTAGAAAGATAATCATCCGGTAGAGCTGGAGGTTTCCCTAATCTTATAGAAGTAGTAGTTGGACAAACCGCCTTTAATTCTGGCACCCACCCTAAGCCTACTGATTAGTACCTATAGGTACCTTAGATACGGAGTACATCTTGTAGCACTGTAGGAGTCACCTCCTTCCAACTTCTGTTGAAGTTGGCGTGCAGACCAACCCTCTATTTGGTGACATCTTCAGCGTCTATTCACGCCAGAGTCAATCAACAAGTCACGCTCTTCAAGACTATGGCTGCTCCTCCTCTCCTTAGTCCATCTCATGTACAAGGCCTCTCTGCATCTTCTTGGACATTTCAGCCTCTGACCAGGCAGACGGTTGGCAGCTATCCATAGCGTTGCATGTCCTTTCTGTGTCCATGGCGCTTCCCTTCTCTCGTCGCTGGACTCTCTTCCTCACCCTCACTGTTATTTTTCTCCTCTTCCTTTATCAAGTCCACATATACCGCCCTTCTCGGCAACCACCGACACCAATAAAGCCCTACAAACCGGCGCCCCAGTCCACCGACGGCAGTTTCCATTGGGAGAATCGTGTCACGCATTATCCCCTCGAGAGTCTGACTCCTCTGCCAACCGAGAGGCCAAAGACGCTCCCCCGTGTTCAGCATGAGTTCAGTACCGAATTGGGGCCAGATCGCGAACTTCGCCTACAGAGACGTCAAGACGTTAAAGATGCGTTTACACGGTGTTGGCAATCATACCGAGTAAAAGCATGGATGCTTGATGAGCTCTCACCCATATCTGGGGCTGGACGGAACAGTTTTGGTGGTTGGGCTGCCACCCTGGTGGATTCGCTCGACACTTTATGGATCATGGATCTCAGGGATGAGTTCCATGAAGCCACACATTCCTCTATGGTCCTCAACTTTTCTACATCGACGGACAACACCGTCAACATATTTGAAACAACTATTCGATACCTTGGTGGTTTCCTAGCAGCACATGATCTGAGTGGAGATGCTGGCCTACTACACAAGGCTGTCGAAGTCGGCGAGATGCTGTTAGTGGCATTTGACACCCCCAACCACATGCCAATAACAAGGTGGGAATGGCAAAAGGCAGCAAATGGCGAGAGACAGACAGCTCCAGACTGGATGCTGGTCTCTGAACTAGGATCTTTGTCGGTTGAGTTTACCCGACTCAGCCAACTGACCGGAGATCACAGGTGGTACGATGCAATCCAAAGAATAACCAGCCTCTTTGATGAGCAACAGCAAAAGACCAAAATACCGGGTCTCTGGCCCGTGGTTGTGAATCCACGGGACCAAGACTTGACTGCAGACACCACGTTCACGCTGGGGGGTATGTCTGACTCTCTATACGAGTACTTTCCGAAAGAATACGCCTTGCTTGGAGGCGTGGAGCCCACCTATCAAAAGCTGTACGAGCAGTCTGTGTCGGCCGCGATTAAGCACCTCTTCTTCCGGCCAATGGTACCACTTGATGAAGACATTCTCATGTCAGGCGATGCTCGAGCTAACAACGAGGGCTCGTCCGTCGTCGTGGAGCCTCGTGCTCAACATCTGACTTGTTTTGCTGGAGGGATGCTGGCCTTGGGAGGACGTCTATTCTCGAATGAGGAGCATGTTTCTCTAGGGCAGAAGATTACCAAAGGGTGCATCTGGGCTTACGAAAACATGCCTGCGGGGGTGATGCCGGAAATCGCCCATCTCGTGCCCTGTCAGTCCAAGCAAAACTGCACATGGAGCACTGATCTATGGACAGCGGCAGTTATGGAAAGGACTGGCGATGTCCCATCCAACAAGAATGCAGATGAGATCATTGTTCAGAAAAGGGTTCCTCCAGGGTATACCGATATCGATGATCGACGCTACATTCTGCGTCCCGAGGCGATTGAGAGTGTCTTCATCTTGTATCGAGTCACGGGAGACAATGCCTATCGTGAGGCAGCATGGAAGATGTTCACGGCCATCCAAAACATCACACAAACGGAATATGGCAACGCGGCCATTTCCGACATTACCGCGATCGGGGCTGACGGCCTCCCTCCCAAAGATGATCGCATGGAGAGTTTCTGGTTGGCTGAAACACTGAAGTATTTCTACTTGATTTTCAGCGATCCCGAGCTCGTCAGTCTTGATGAGTACGTTCTGAACACAGAGGCACACCCGTTGAGAAGACCGTTCTGAACACAGAGGCACATCAATTGAGAAGACCGTTCCTAAACACAGAGACACACCTATTAAGAAGACCGTTCTGAACACAGAGGCACACCAATTGAAAAGACCGCTCTGAACATAGAGGCACACCCGTTGAGAAGACCGTTCTGAAGCGTTGCAACTCTGTTCAGCTCTGGTGACATCAAAAGGCATGACCAGACGGTGCCACTACATCAAATACAGACACTGGCGACTGGGAAAGGCGGCGAGCACAATCCTCACGAGATGAGACAAGTGGCACTAGGAACTGGCCCGAGATAGTTCATCGAGAATTAGAGTGCTGATGACTTTGTATTCCCACCTGCTGTGAGGATAACATTCGTGTTGGCATGATTCGGACCGACCGACCGACATGCTGTCTTCACTTGTCGTCTTAAGAAACGTGACAAAGTAGAGCCGGCAAGGCAAAACAAGTAAAAGGGGCGAATCCCCGGTATAGGGATATTAAAAGCGGCACTGTCTGCGTCTATACCTGGACTCTACGGTGGTGTGCATGAGCTTTCACGTAACATGACTTGACCCGCCAAAAAAGCAGCGCAAGGGAGTGACGGTTCGACTTCATTAAGACGACGGTTTGCACAACACACCCGCCCTTCGGCATCGGATCAAGGCCGTGCAAGACTCTCGCTGGGTCTGCCGTCTCGCTATCCTCCTGCGCCTGCTCTCGCTCGCCTCGCTCGCTCGCAATGACCCTCCTACGGCCGTCGAGATAGTCCGCGATGCATATCATCAAGCCCATCTGGCTCACACATGGGGGTACGTCGATCAGCACAAAAAGTCTCACGACGCGTTAAAGCGCGTCAACTACGTCGCATACGAATTACAATGTGTCCAAGGGCTAACAGCGGTATAATCAGGGGAAAAGAAGGACTTTGAAGTCTACAGCTGCCATGTGTCTCCGGACGGACAACGCTTGGTTACAGCGGCCGGTGGTACGTCTACCACTCATGCGCTTCGAATCCTACTGTCCTCTGGAAGTGATGCAGCCTGCTGACTAGCCGCGCAGATGGCTACGTGCGAATATGGTCTACGGAAGCCATCTATAACGCCGCAAATGCAAAGTACGACAAGCCCAGACAGTTGGCCTCTATGAGCTATCACTCTGGCACCATCCACACCGTTCGCTTCTCCCCCGGAGGGAAGTTCCTTGCCTCAGGGGCCGATGACAAGATTGTTTGCATATACACACATGACCCCAGTCCACCGAGCCACGCCACATTCGGTGAGTTGGTTTTCTGCTGTTGCAGGACCTCTTGTGCTTAGGGACGATCTAGGTTCAAACGAGGCTCCCCCGGTTGAAAACTGGCGCATTTTTCGCAGGCTGATCGGGCACGACAACGACGTACAGGATCTGGGCTGGTCATACGACGGAACGATCTTGGTCTCGGTCGGTCTGGATTCCAAGGTCGTGGTCTGGTCGGGCTATACCTTTGAGAAGCTCAAAACGTTGTCCAACCACTCGAGCCATGTCAAAGGCATCACTTTTGATCCGGCCAACAAGTACTTTGCAACTGCGAGCGACGACCGAACAATTCGAATCTTCCGCTTCACCTCCCCTACTCAAAACTATACCAGCCACGACGCAGTTAACAACTTCATTCTCGAGCAGACAATTACTCAACCCTTTGTGAATTCTCCGCTTACAACATATTTTCGCAGGTGCTCTTGGGCGCCAGACGGACAGCATATTGCCGCCTCCAATGCGGTCAACGGGCCAGTCAGTGCGATCGCCATCATTAATCGCGGAACCTGGGATGGCGATACCACATTGATTGGGCACGAGGGGCCTGTTGAAGTTTGCGCTTTCTCGCCGAGATTATATGGCTCGGAGCCGGTCAATCGACTCGCCCCTGAAGGGCATGTCCCCGCTCATACAACAGTTATCGCTTGTGGAGGTGCGGACAAATGCCTAAGCATCTGGACGACGAACAATCCACGGCCTCTAGTTGTGCAGCAGGACGTTGCCGGGAAACCCATCTCTGATCTAGCATGGAGCCCAGACGGACAGGCATTATTTGCAACAGCTTTGGACGGCACGATCTTGACCGTCATGTTCGAGTCGGGTGAGTTAGGCTATCCAAGACCCATTGAAGAGAACGACCGGTCACTTAGTAAGTTCGGAACTTCGAGGAAGGGTCTCGGATTCCCTGAGACGACTGAGGCCCTGCGCTTGGAAGAATTGAGTAAGGCGGGCGAGTTGAAGGGCGTTGAAGGCAGGATGGGCGCTCTCATGGGTGACTCGCAGTCTGCCCACGCCGCCCCAGTGAATGCAGCTGCATCAACGAATGGGGCAACAACGACAGAAACTTTGCAGAACGGGACCGAGAACCGATTGAATGGGCACGCAGCTGCAAAGGCACAAGACGATCTGAACCAGGCGAAACTTGAACGCCTCAAGAATAGGGTCGAAATCACCAAAGATGGCAAGAAGCGTATCCGACCCTTGTTGGTGTCCGGCGCAGGCGGCGCCGAATCTTCTCTGCCCCAAACAAAGCTCGTCAGTGCCAGTGCCAATGTTCAAGCCGTCGATGCTCCGCAGACAGTCCTCGATCTCTCCAAGCCGTTCGACGGTCTTCCTAAGGGCGGTATAGCATCTTTACTGCTGGGGAACAAGAGGAAATATGCACAGCTAGAAGGCGAGGAGGATGGAACTACAGAGAAACGAGTGCTCGCCGCGAGTCAAAAGGGAGCTGTTCCCATTCTCGCCAATACACCCGAGGGGCTACTCCCAGCACAGCACCAGCTACCTTCCAGCGGACAGGAAGTCACCCCTGAGTGGATCCGGCCTGCCGTTATCAACCCGGCAATCAGTATGAGCCAGCTGCGACTTGCAGTACCGAAAATCCGCGCACATATCGTGCAAGGCATCGATTCCGCAGGGAAGCCAGCCGAGGTTTTGAAGGATGCTGCCAGCAAATCGAGGGCCGAATTTGTATTCGAAGCTCGCAATCCTTCGGGTCCATCTTTGACACCGCGAGCGCAAGATCGTGAACCGTGTCGGATCACATTAACGAGGAAGGACCAGCCTCTATGGCAGGATTTCCTGCCTCGTCCTGTCCTCCTGGTGACAGGGAATCATAAATTCTGGGCGGCGGCGGACGAGGCTGGATCAATATACCTCTGGACGCCGCACGGCCGACGGCTCAACAGCGCCATCGTCATGGAAGCCCAGCCAGTGATTCTCGCGGCTAACGAGTCCTGGCTGCTGTGTATCACCAGCGTGGGCATGTGTTATGTTTGGAACGTTAAGACTATGTCGTCGCCCCATCCGCCCGTGTCACTGGCCCCTGTTCTCGACACAGCGCTGCATTCTCTTGCGGCGCATCCGACCGGTGCCCCAGCCATCACGCACGCTCGCCTGAATTCTGAGGGCCGTATCGTTGTCACCCTGTCGAACGGCGAAGGCTTCGCCTACTCGCCCCAGATGTACTGCTGGCAACGCTTATCCGAGGTCTGGTGGGCAGTGGGCAGTCAATACTGGAACACGACCGATTCTTCGGTGGGTAACATCCAGTCGTCGAAGGGTCAGACTGGAAACAACGCCGAAAAGTCTGTCGACGTGTCGTCCGGCATCATTCCGTGGTTGGAGAGGAACACTACGTCTGAGACCCTCTTGCGTGGTCGTGCCTATTTCTTACAACGGCTCGTCAAGGTCCTGCTGTCGCGCGAGGGATTTGAGAGTTTTGAATCCGGCGTGTCCATTGCCCACCTGGAGAACCGTATTGCGGCGTCCCTCATGCTTGGTGCCAAAGACGAGTTCAGGATCTATTTGCTCATGTACGTGAAGAGACTCGGCGCTGAAGGGCTACGGTTGAAAGTGGAGGAGCTGTTGCGCACTCTGGTGGGTGGAATCGTCGAGGAACCGCAACCAGACCGACCAGGTGAAAGCGGCAAAATCCTGGCCCCGAATGCGGTCGAAGGCCGCAATTGGCAGGAAGAGTCAACGACGATCTGCGGGTGGCCTAGAGAAGAACTTCTCAAAGACGTCGTCTTGCTACTCGGTATGTCTATTTGTATCCCTATGTTGATGCTCATATGCCCCCCTCTCCGCTTTGCTCTTGCCTCTCCAAAGTGACGGAGAACGAGCCAGGTGACTGATTTACTTGTGAACAGGGAAACATCGCGATCTGCAGCGAATCACGGTGCCGTATGCGAGAATGCTCCATCTGGTCGATGTCGACGAGACGGGCAACGATCCGGATCCGGATCGGGACGACATGGCGCTCGAAAAGTGAATTTTTATTTCGGATGCCTTCTTCTTGACGGAAAGCCTGGCATAGTCTCTGCAGGCCTCTGCGCTTTGTACGTTAGAACCGGGTGGCTTGGGCGGGCCTTTGATTGATACATGGACAACACGACGGGGGGACGGACATCACTGCGGGACCGTTGAATCGGATAGGACCGGACGGGATGGGATAGGATAGCATGGCCGAGATGGCATCGATCTGGCATGAGCACTGTGACACTACTTTTGAAAACTGATCGACGAATGGAGCTTCGGATGGGCAGCACCTGGGGTCAAGACCCGTCATTACTTATGAGATGGGACAGGGACGGGAGAAACTAAGGCAAGGCATAAGTCATTTGCGAACAGGGAGGGATTAAGCAAGCTCCGTTAAAGCTGATTTGTTTGATTGGCAGCCCCATCATCGCTCTGGTCGATTGATGGTGATGAAGCAGCTTGCCATGCCATCTACATCGAAATGTCGTAGTGATCTGTAATTTGGGATCACGGCAGGAGCAGCCACGGCCAAAAAAAGTGTTTGCGTGCCATTGATGCTTCAATAAAGCCCGATTCGGAACCTGTCCTGAGCAGTGAGGTCGAACAAGTCCAGAATGCGGACGGGTAGAGGAGCGCCTGGGCCATTCATCCGCAGGAAGAATGATGACTGGGTCTCGCTTCTCCTGGGAAAGGGGGTATAAGACTCAGACTTTCAAGCCTTGGCCGCACCGGCTTTGATCAGGAGGATATCACCGTCTTCGACGACTGCAGCGAGGGCACAGTCAGTACGCGGGGGTTGGGGTTGATCATGTTCGGGTGGCAGCTTGCTTACCATAATCCTTGCCCTTGGTCATGACCTTTCCTGCAGCTTTCACTGCGTTCTCGTCGCCATACTCTTTTAAAGTCGCGTAGTTGTAAACGATGACCTGGATGAAGGTCTTTTCGAAATCTGTGTGGATCACTCCTGCAGCTTGCGGAGCCTTCGTTGACTTCCGAATGGTCCACTGTCGGACTTCATCTGTGCCGGTGGTGAAGAAACTGATAAGGTTGAGGACCTGGCGCATGGTCACGACGACCTTGGGCAAGGCCGATTTGGTGTTGAGTGTTTTGCATTCCTCGGCTGCCTCTTCGTCCGAGAGGCTGGCAAGACGCTCTTCAAACGACACGGAGATCGGGATGACTGGGTCGCCGGTCGCATTGGTCTTGATCCATTCCATGACCTTGGGGAGATACTTGTTCTTCTGTCTGATGTAGTCCTTTTCGGACAAGTTGACCAGGTAGACGACTGGCTTGGCAGTAAGTAGGAAGAGAGGATTGATCACCTCGACCTACGACAAACTCTGTGTCAGTGATTGCTAGACAGCCATTGCCAGGTACAGTCAAAGTGTGTTCTGTTGGGTTTCAGGGTTGGACTTCCTCTCATTGCAGCCTCAAACGTGAGATATATAGCGAGGCTGCTGTCGACGAGCTGGGATTATAGAGCTAATAGCTCTTGTTCATCATGATAAATGGGACAGAAAGATGTGACGACAAGTAAAAGGGGGAGCCAGCTTACCTCTTTGGGACTCCAGTCGCCCTTTCGGACTTCCTTGCCGTCTTTCAAGAAGGCAAGGATCTTGTCCACTGTGGCCTCTTCCTCTTTCAATTTCTTCATTTCAAGACTTTGGCCGCCTCTTCTCGTCTGCTTTGCCAAGTTCTCCTTGGCCTTTTCGACAAACTCGATGTCCTTTAGTCTCAGCTCTTCGGAGATGATGTCCAAATCTCGCGTCGGGTTGACATCTCCCTCGACATGGATAATCTCGGCGTCATCAAAACACCGCACAACCTGGAAAATGGCGTCGACCGCCCGGATATGTGACAGGAAGGCGTTACCGAGACCAGCGCCCGTAGAAGAGCCTCGGGTCAGACCAGCGATGTCATATACTGTCAAGTTGGCTGGGACCTGGGATTTGGGCTTATAGTGTTCGCAAAGCCAGTCATATCGAGCGTCGGGGACGATCACTCGTGCCTCTTCAGGATCGATGGTGGCATAGGGAAAGTTTGCAGGGTTGCCCAGCGAGCATTTTGTAATGGCTTGGAAAAGTGTGGATTTGCCGACATTAGCCAGACCAACCTAGCGAGCATGTCAGTCCATCGTGGCCGGCGACGTAGAGTCTTTTCTGTGGACACTGCCTACATACGATACCGCTCTTCAAATTGTTCCCCGGCCTGCCTAGCAGGATCTTCTCTTCTTTGACGGCTTTCTTGGGAGGCATCTTCTTCTTAGCGTATCCGCGGGTCTGGGGGTGGTTGAGAAGAACGGCAGCGCTTTTACGCAAGGTTGGCTTGAAGCAAGGCTCAGTTGCAATTGCAGATCCGGCTGCGAAGATTGAAAGGCGAAGGGAAGAATTGAAAAGCGTTCTCAGCGGGGTGAGAGACAGCGTTGTGTACGAGATCAGGGTCGCAGTCTCGAGCTGTGTAGCTCGAGATCTCTGCGGATGTGGGATTGTCGATGTCTGAGGTCTATTGCGCTTTGGTAAAGAAATTGAATTCATCAAGCTACAATTAACCAAGTCTTTTTCGAGCAGCGGCAGTGCCGTCAAATTGCCAAGCCACTGGCAGCCTGCGCAAATCTCTTGCCAGACACCAACCCACTCGGATTTAGGTAGAATATACAGCCTTGTCTTCCTATACTCGATAACGGTAATAGGTAATTTTATATAGTTATAGCTAGTAGTACCACTTAACCTATAAATTTTATCTTTAAGATAAAATACCATTGTTATAGTATAAACTTATCGAGAAAGGTAGGAAAGAAGAGAAGATAGTAGCGTCTTTTTACTTAAATGACGCTTATTCATGAGGGAGTCACCGTCATTTGAAGTGAAAAGACACTACTACAACACCGACAGGTAGGAGGTGCTAGGCACTCTATGAACTACGCAACACTGCAGACCTCATGCACAGGGCGACTATACGATGGCGCCTGACCCCGACCGCAATAAAATGCGCACCATGGAAGCGTCTGTGGTACTCTTCTCAATTCAGAAGCTACTCTCCAACTGGAGGGAAGGATCTCAGACAAGAGAATAGCATAAGGAAAATCGAAGAAGAGACTCTTCCTTTCTACAGCCCTTCGAACTTCTACCCGACCTACATTGGTGAAGTTCTCGCGTCCAAGTACAGAATTGTTGGGAAGCTTGGATTTGGTGCCAGCTCAACGGTTTGGCTCGCCTGGGATCTGGAGTGTGCATCATGACCCTACTTGAAAGACTCTTAACTAACAACCAACCTACAGGAAGCAGAACTACGTCGTTCTCAAAATCTTTGCACGATGCCTGAGTTCAGCCTTGGACCACGAGGTGACGATCTACAAATATCTAAACACGATTGAATCCGACCATCCTGGACGGAAATATGTTCGCACCTGCCTTGATAGCTTCGAGGCCGAAGGTCCCGATGGCAAGCATCAATGTCTCGTCCACCGTCCTCTTTGGCAAAGCCTCAGGGCACTCCAATACCAAGACAGCCGGCACAGACTCACAGAAGAGCTCCTTAGACCGCTGCTTTCCTGCCTTCTTCGAGCAGTAGACTATCTGCACAGCGAATGTCACTTGGTGCATACAGGTGTGGAATAGTCTACGGTATTGAACACCAAATGGACTCCTAAGCTGATACATACCTAGATATCAAAGCAAGCAACATTATGCTTGGTCTCGGCGATGACTCAGTTCTGGAAGCCTTTGAAAAAGACGAGATAGCTAACCCTAGCCCACGAAATATCTACGCAGACCGCACGATCTACCAGTCTCGCCCCATTGACAGGCCAAAGGTGATTGGACTTCCCGTCTTGAGCGACTTTGGCCTAGCTCGATTCGAAGGAGGAAATAGCGACGATGATATTCAGCCAGAAATTTACAGAGCACCCGAGGTCTTACTGGACATGAGCTGGAGCTACAGTGTTGACATCTGGAACATTGGCGCCATGGTATGGTACATCCTGTGCAACGTCAAATCAGAATTCAAGTTGCTTACTAAGTCCCTTTAGATCTGGGATGTTTTTTACGATAAACATCTGTTTGATGCTTACGACCCGGTCACCAACAAGCTTTCAAATAAATATCACATCTCAGAAATGGCAGCATACCTTGGCCCGCCCCCCCTAGAGTTTTTGCAAAAGAGTGAGACTAGTTGGAAGTATTTTGACCGATCAGGTATGTTCCTTCGTTTCGGGAGTCTGTTGGGTGTAAACTGAAGGCTGATCCAGGCCGCATTATAACTGGCATTGACCTAACCGACAAGTTGTCACTTGAGGCAAGAGAATAGCGGTTTGAAGGCGAAAAGAAGGAGCAGTTTCTCAACTTTATCAGGTCAATATTGCGATGGGATCCGAATGACCGGCTAACTGCCCGTGAGCTCCTCGATGATCCGTGGTTAAACGACTATAAAGTTTGAGAGAGATTCAAGAGAACCGTCAATCCCTTTGATGAACAAAATGCCTGATAGGTGTCGAAATGGAGGCGTGCATGATTTTGGTCGGAATCATATCTCATCGCCGGCGGTTATCAATACGAGGAACTGACTGCCAACCCACCACCAAGACTACTGCCGGAACGCAGACCAGATCTGCCTTGGCCCAGGAAGCTGGGTCTGGGTGACTTAATTATAACGGTGATGGTTGTAGAAGAAGCTAGCCTAAGGGACGAGGAGAGCTTAAAGAGGGCTCAGGGACTCAGGGGCCTAAGCCCCAATTGATCCCTACCTAAAGGTCTAGCACGTGCAAGGCTGACAATTACCGAGAAATTGCCTCAGCCTTGGGACCTTCTCTTCCTAGGCATAGAGTTTCAGCGGGGTACAGACTTAATTAGTATGTATTTCCTATACGCAATTAACTCGTCTCAAATCATCGTTGCCCAATGCCCACACGTGCCCTTCATTTGCTCTTCTTCCGTTCCCTTTTATTCTACTCTCCCCCCTCTTTTGCGCCTAGGTGTAGTGATGAATTTGACAGTGGGTAATTAACGGCAGGCTAGAACAGGACAATTCTGATTCCGGGTACTTCTGTCCGGTATGGACCATGAAAAGCCCATTATTGTTCCATTTTGGCTGTTGGACGGGCCAGATGGCCGGTCTCGCAGTTGTATCAATATAAATATACAAGAGTACGGAGAAGGAAGGATTGCCAACAGTCAGTCGATCGGTACCAATTTTTGATATCTTCTCCATCATGCCGTCCCTGAGATCACTTTCGGCGGCATTGTTGCTTGTCGGTGTCGGTGCGGTAGCCGCCCAGAATCTGAGCCCGACACAGGATATCAACCTGCCAGATGTCGTGGGCGCAGCAGACCCTCTCGCGTGGCTCGGTGCGAGCAGTCCTTGGATCGCTGGTAAGCAATTGACCCCATTCCAATATCCAGTATCTTGCGCAGCATGCATTGCTAATGCTAATGCTCGGAACCACATCCTAGGTCCCAGTATCAAGGGTATCTCTAGCGATGTCCCTGATGGCTGCTCAGTACAGCAAGCAGCCTACCTGGTGAGACATGGAAGCAGGTTCGGGCCCGGCCCACATTCACCTTCACCTGGCTCAGAAGAATCAGCCGCATTAACAGGTGATTGTCATATATAGATTTCCCGATCCAGGTTCCTACCAGGGCTGGGTCACTTTGTACAACAAGGTTGGTTTGCTTGCCATTCTTCCCCCTGACCTCGAGCTCAAGGCTCAACTTGAGCACGCTACTGAGTACTGACGAGAAGCATTTTGCGCGCATATACATAGATTCAAGCAGCAAACTTCACCGCTACTGGTTCCTTGGCTTTCTTGAAGTCTTGGGAGCCGGTGCTGAAAAACACCACTGTTCAGATGTCCCAGGAATCCATCACGGGTGCTAAGGAGGTAGTCACGTCTTTGGCCAATCCCAATGCCATGCAAGGGGCATGACATGATGAGGAGATGCTGACAGCTGATATCCCAGGCTTATGATCTGGGTTATTCCATGAGAACACGATGTGAATATAGCCGTCTCCGTCTTTCCTGGCTATAGCAATAGCTATGCTGCCGAGCACATGACACTGGCGCCGACGCTGACGCTGAATCAGACCCCGACCTCAACTATGTCGATGGCCAGCCCTTCCTGGTCTGGGCCAACCAGTATTCCTGGCCCATTTCCGGGTCCCGTGTGGTGAATACTGCGCGCAACTTCATGCGCGGATTCATGGGAACGCTGGCCGAACAGTTCGGTAGCGTGGTCAGCATCAACTCGACCTCGTCGCCGCTGGCAACGGGCAACTCGCTCGGCCCCTCAGACAGCTGCCCGCTGTTCAAGGCGACCAAAACCAACAAGACCACCGAGTGTAAGCGCTGCGAACTTTTAGTACTGTTGTGTGAAATTAGCTGGCCCGAATCTCAAGACTAACGTTAACGTGCCTCCTACTCCTAGGGAACAACGTCTATCTGCCGCCCATCCAAGCTCGGTTGTCCAAGCTGATCGATGGCGACCTCAATTTGACCAGCTCCGACATCTCGGGCTTCCCCTCTCTGTGCGGCTACGAGTCGCAGATTGTCGGCCGCCTCTCTCCATGGTGCAGCGTCTTCACCGACGACGAACTCAAGGGCTTTGAGTACGCGCAGGGCCTGAGCTACTATTACACCCAAGGACCGGGCTCGGCCATCCCGAAATCCATGTGGCTGCCCTACCTCAAGGCTCTGCTCTCCCTCTTGGACCAAGGGCCGGGCCAGGTCGGGGTCGACTTCGACGGCTCCTCTTTCGTTCTGCCTGACCTGCTCATGAACTTCTTCAACGACAACCAGATTGCGCAGATGACGGCCGCCATGGGCATTTTCGATGACCAACCACCCTTGCCCTCCACCGGAATCCCCGACTACTGGACCTACATCACATCGCGCTTCATCTCCATGAGGGGCACCGTCGCTTTCGAGGTGCTGAACTGCGAGCCCGATGCTCCTCGTCCCACCGGTCCTGCATCTGCAACTGCAACGACCAGAACCAAGTCCGCCACCGCGACGACTACGACTCCGGTCGGGGGTGCTTCGACGACTCTTATCGGGGCTGTTTCTACCACTCCTACTCTGATCGAGGTTGTTTCTCCCACTCCTACTCTGGTCGGGACTGCTCCTCCCACTTTATCTGACTGCGGAGAGCCCGTGACCGTGACTCGGACAATGGGCCAGCACTGGGATGGGGATGGGGATGGCTCGCATTCCCATTCCAAGCGTGCCACGTCTGGCAATTCGACCTATATCCGGATCCTCCTCAACGATGCTGTCTATCCAGTGTCGTGTCAGGACGGTCCAGGAAACAGTTGTTTGCTAAGCAGCTACTTGGACTTCATCGCCGACAAGTACAATGCCTGGGGAAACTTCAACGAGAACTGCAACGTCACGGCAGCCGGAACTCCGGCGGTGGTGGAGGGCGCCAGTTTCTACACGAATCTGACCTTGCCCTTCTTGACCAGTGTGACACCTTAGTCGGTTGATTGTTGATGGGAGATGGTTAGTTACTGTTTACTGTGTACTGTGCCCTTTTTGTTCTCTTCTATCTTTGTCTTGACAACCCTTGTACAACTGTATTCGAATATTCAAGCTGAACATTCGAACAACGTTAGTTAATATTGGCAATGGCTGTCATAAATTGGGCCTTGCTCGTTGTATGGAGAACAAGGGACCTGATCTTTCAACCTCTGTTTGTTACGAACATCTTAGCAATTGTATATTGTATGCATGCGGCTGACTTTGTTTCTCATTATCTGTATCTTTATGTGTACATCAGTGATCCTAATTGGCGGGTTAAACTCCTTTCAATGCTGGCTGTGCTTATGGATGGCATCCCCATTCCCATACTACGACTGAGCACCAACTATGCTTATACCGAAGCAGTTTGTAGTGTCTCGTGTCTTGTATAGGTAAGTATACAGAGTCTTTCCGATCACTCCGTCCCCGTTCGCCTGGCAAGGAATTGGGCTGCACAGCCTGAGACATCATCAAACACAACCACCTTCTTGAACGGGATCGGCTGCGTGAAGGCCAGCTCGTCCAATATCAGCTTTCGATAGCCAGGAAGGTTGAGCAGGGCGCCGGACAAAACAAGGGAGCTTTCCCCGGGGTCACAAATGGGGGGTTTGGTCAAGGGGAGGATGAGTTGCACCAGAGATCGGGCTGCAGACGTGAGAATGGCCAGCGCATCGGGGTCGGGGTCCTTTTCTCGAAGGCCCAAGTCGGTAACCACCCTTGCCACATCACCAATCTGGAGCTTGGCTGGTTTACTCGAATGAAGAATGCTCGAGAGCAGTTCCCCTTTGCCACCACAGTCAAGCCTGGCCAAGATCCGGGCTTCGAGCTCCGTCAGTTCATGACCATGGCCATCGCCGCCCTGGCTTTGCTCTAGGCGGACCAACACCGTCTGCAACGCCCTCTTCCCGATGTCGAAGGCACTGCCTTGGTCACCGATGAGGTGGCCCCAGCCACCCGTGCGGCCTACCTGAGCCACCTCGCCGTTGGACCTTTTTCGGAAGGCGGTCGCCACGGATCCGGTGCCAGCAATCACCGAAACTCCCCCTTCCACCGAGTCATCCAGGCCAATACACGCGCTGGGAAGCACGCTGTCACTGGTGATCCAGAGACTGCCGTCCTCCAAGGAAACGCCGAACAAGTCTTCGAGCCGTCGCGTCAACGTCTCGAGTTGGTAGGCGTGGTACAGGCCAGCAATGGCTGCCCACACCTTGGTGAATTTGAACCTGCATCTGGCCATGCTGCCGGCCTTAGCCAACGAGCCGCTGTGGTATTCGGCAGGCATTTGAGCCAGCGCCCTGGCTTGAGCCAACTTGACTTGTTCCAGAAGTTGTTCCAGACTGACGCAGTTGAAGTTGCACGCGCCGGCTGTGGCGCGGGCGACAATCTGGGACCGCGTTGCGATGCACACTGTGCAATTGGTTCCACCGCCGTCGATGGACAGAAAGTATTCTTGGCTGACACTGCCATTAGGGAGAACCGGCGCCTTAGTCTCTGCCCGGGCAGCTTGTCCTTGTACTGGCAGGCTCAGGCTCTCGACAAACCGGTGAAAGTGGCCGTCCATCAGATCTAGCTGACGTTGGGCAGCATCAGGGTCAAGGCCAGAGATGGCCACAGCTGAAGCCAGCTTGACACTGTTCCCACATGTCGCAATCAGGCGGTCGAGCATGGCATCGCCTTCCAGGCTGTCAGGAAGCTGGATGGTGTTGGGCGACAGGGATCCGTTCTCGTCGACCATGTACAGAGGAGCTCCCTTGGCGACATGGCGAACGATCCTTCGTCCCCGGGCTCGAAGTTTGTCGTTCTTGATTGCCACGTCGATCATGAGGCCCTGGTAGGTCTTTCCCAGGCGGATCATGGAGCAGGTACTGATCATGTTGAGGATCTGTTTGGCAGCACTGCCGGCTTTGAGTCGAGTGCTTCCAGCCACCAACTCAGGCCCGACCAGAGCAGAGATGCAATGTGTGACTCCAAGTCTGCTGATCCGGGACGGATGTGTATTCGTGATACCCACCGTCAGAGCATCACTCTTCAGGGCCTGGAGGAGTGCGCCGACCACGAAAGGGGTTCTTCCCGAGGCCGAGATGCCTATGACCGTGTCCTTGGACGTCAACTGCAGAGCCTCCAGACGGGTGACGCCGTCCATCTCCCCGTCCTCGGCCCCTTCCTGGGCCTGGATGATGGCATCAGGCCCTCCCGCGACGACGGCCAAGAACTGCTTTGGATCGGCGGCAAAAGTGGCGGGTAGCTCGCTACAGTCCATAAAGCCGACTCTGCCACTATTGCCGGCTCCCACATAGATCAGTCTGCCGTGACTCCGAAGCCGCGGGACCAGGTCGTCAATCAACGAGGCAATCGCAGGCAGAGTGCAAGCCACGGCAGGGGCCACCTGAGCCTCCTCCCAATTAAAGGCTTCGCACAGCTCCAGCGTACTAAGTGAGTCGGTCGATTGGGCCCGTTGCCCGACAGCCTCGGTCAGGAGGTGGTCCAATGTCCCATGTTGCTGGGATGGCATCATTTGCTGGCCAGATGAGACGACTGGTATCTGCGTGGTGTCATTGGAACGTGGACGGTCAGCTTGGCTTGGTCAAGACTTGTCCCATCGTTCGAAAACATGTGTCCGATATATCTATCTATACAGAGTACGGAGTCGTCTACAAGCCTCAGGATGTCGGCGAGTGGATTCTGTCCACTGTACGGATCTCGTTGGCAGCGAGATCCGCCGGCGTCAACGAGAGCCGGACAGATGGCGTGCGTGGTGACCTCTAGTGATCTTTAGCTTCATGGGCCACCACGATAAATATCTCAGGATATTGTCTGCATTTCGAGCAATGATGTGTGCTGTCCTCACTCCTCCGGCTGCCAGGTACAGGTACGCTCTTCTGTTCTCTGTTCCGATATCTGATATCTCGCAATGTCTCTTTCCAAGACCGAAGCCGAAGCCGGGGTGACCTTCTCAAATGACCATGACGGGGGTGGCAATAGCACCACGCCCTTACCCTCCCAGCCAGGTTCAGGCCAAAACGTCTTCAGCAGACTATACCACGAGCCGTGGTGTCAGGTCGGCCTGATTTCGCTGATTTCCTTCTGCAATCCTGGCATGTACAATGCCTTGACCGGCATGGGAGGCTCGGGCCAGGTCGACAGCACGGTTGCGGCCAATTCCAACGTGGCCACGCACGCAGCCACCGCCGGGGCGGCGCTGGTGCTTGTTGGTGCGTTCTACAAGTATCTCGGGCCTCGCCTGTCGCTTCTCCTGGGCGGCTGGACGTATGCCCTGTACGCGGGGGCTTTGCTGCACTACAACCGAACGGCCAACGGGTCGTTTGTGATCGCGGCTGGAGCCCTGCTCGGGATCGGGGCGGCCTTCTTCTGGGTTGCGCAGGGCACCATCATGGTGACCTACACCGACGACAACAGTCGCGGCCGGGCCATAGGACTGTTCTGGGTCATCTTCAACCTCGGCGGCGCGATCGGCTCGCTGGCCAGTTTCGGGCTCAACTTCCACTCCAAGTCCGGCACGGTGACAGACTCGACGTACATTGCCTACATGGTGGTCATGCTGTTCGGCTGGGCTCTTTCGCTCTTGGTGTCGTCGACGGAGACGCTGTCGACGAAATACCACGGCAGCCGCATCCCCACCGCGTCCAAGACGCTCAACTGGGCCAACGTGCGCAGCAGTGTCGGGCAAGCCATCAAGATCATCTTCGACTGGAAGATCATGTGCCTGTATCCGATGTTCTACAACGCCAACGTCTTCTACTCGTACCAGCAGAACAACGTGAACGGCATGACCTTCAACCTGCGCACGCGATCGCTCAACGGCGCCCTGTACTGGATCGCCCAAATGGTCGGCGGCCTGCTGATGGGCGTCGTGCTCGATCTGCATCTGCGCCAGCGCCAGCTCAACCGCCGCACCCGCGCCCAAATCGGCTGGGCCATTCTCTTCGTCACCGGCATGGCCATCTGGGGCGGCGGCTACCGCTTCCAGGTGTGGGACGACCGACGCCTCAAGCAGGGGCTGAAGCAGGACATCGACTACCGCGCCGGCAGCCAGTACCTGGGCCCCATGTTCCTGTACTTTTTCTACGGCGTCTACGACTCCTTCTGGCAGGCCTACTGCTACTGGATCATCGGCGCCCAGTCCCACAACCCCGTCGTCAACGCCGTCATCGTCGGCGCCTACTCGGCCCTCAAGCCCGCCGGCGGTGCCATGGCCTGGAGAATCAACGCCGAAAAAGTCAGCCCTATGACCCAGTTCGCCATGAACTGGGGCCTGTCTATGGGCAGTCTGCTGCTGGCCGTTCCCACCGTCTGGACCCTCCACAAGGTATCCTACGCGTCGGACCACGACTCGGACTCGCCACCGTTCGGCCAGGGAGAGAGTCCAGAGTCTCTCGATTGTAGTAAAGTGTGAGGTTGTTTGGTTTCTGTTTCAGATTTAGATTTAGATTTAGTTTGTAGCCTCTGTGGAGGCCCATAGCAATCTACAGATCCAGGTTCAATTTGTAGCCTGTGGAGGCCCATGACAATCTACTGGGTGGAATTGAATTCTATCAAAATTAGGCACTAACTTGACCATTCCCAGCCTTTTCCTTTAACCAGAAGGCTGATACAGGCACGATAGGCACACCTAAATAGTCTGGGCCCCCCCTGTACCACTTTGAGAGCGAACATGGAACATTTCAACCTTTGACAGAAATGAGATTGGGATGTGAGAGACCATATTATCACAAGTTAGGTACAGTACCCTTATCCTTTTCCTTCTTGGCCCCGGCTGCCGCACTGCACCGCCTTAGAATTATGAAAACACTTGGGCTCCAGACCTCTCTGCTTGGCCAGTGTACAAGCCGTAGAGAGTGGCCAGATAGGTCCTGGTGGCATTGAGCCACGGCTGTTGCCCGGCGGTGGCCTGGCAGGTATCGTTGCACACGGCATGGTTCTTGCCGCCCCAGATGACGAAGCCGTCAATGTCACGCCTCGCCTGCAGGAGCTGCAACTCACTCTTCCACAGGTCCACGGGCAAGAAGGTGTAGTTGTTGTGGTACTGAGGCCAGGTGTACGGCCAGATGGGCAAGCTGTCGTCGATGGTCTTGATGGTCTGCACGACCGAGTTCAGCGAACTGTTCCAACTGGACAGGTTGCTGGTGAAGGTGTAGGCGGACGGGAAAAAGGCGTGCGCGCTGTGGTTGGCAATCAGACTGCGATAGTGGTCGTAGAGAGTGGGAAGCGTGTTCCCCGACAACCCGTACCAGCCGATGATCTGGCCCGGCGACACCACCTCGTCGGCCCAGGTCTGGAGGGCAGAGAGGATGTGCAGGTTCAGGTCGGCCGTCGACGCGTTCTTGAAGTACAGGTCTTCGCAGTCCAGCACGAGAGGATAGCCCGGGTAGATGTTCCACTCGCGCACTGCGCTCTTCCACGCCTCGGCCGCCGGCAGCACGCCGCCCTGCACCAGTGGATGGCACACGTAGTTGGGTATCCAGTTGATGTTGGTCGTCCCGTACCCGATCGTCGTGTTGACGTACGCCGTGTTGTCGAACACTCGGAACTGCGCCCCGGAGGAAGCCCAGGCAGAGCTGCACACCGTCGCAGCCGCAGTGAGAAGGATGGGGAGCACCTGCATGGCTGTAAGGAGAGAAGACTGTGGGTAGATCCAGACCTGTCCAGCTCAACAAAACCCAAGTCGACAAAGATGGCGGTGCTGCAGGTAGAGTATCCAGATTGCGATTTCGAGATAACACTGAACAGAGGACCGAGAACAGAAAACACAGGTCATGACGACTATATACTTACTCCGTTTTCGACATGCTTTTCGTCAACAACCGTACCAACCCTATGAACCGACCGTCTCAACTTGGCTGCCAATTTCCGCCCCTCATCCACTCCCTATACGGATACCCTGTGCTCCGACCTACAATGCGGGTGATGCTCGCGAGGCTGTGGCCGACATCCGGGGCCCGCTGATTGGAGGGCGATAGCACCATTTCTCCAGAGCCTCGCGCGATCGCCGCCAGAGAGGCGCTACGCTGTACTCCGCAGGGTGTGTAGGGACGATATGTGCCTTCGATGTGTGGGAAGGAAAAAGATAAGAAAAACGTGCTGTCGGTTCTAACCACCCCCGTTATACGAAATCCTTCTTGTGTTTCTGTTTCCCTTGTTGTTCTTCGTGCATTGTCCAATGCGTGTAGAATCGGGCAAAGGTTGGATTGGGACTGGAATGGGACTGGGACTGGGGCCGTGACGGGCCACGGTTGGACAAGATGGAGTCGGCCAGCTGCCTGATCTGTCGCAAGCGAAAGGTGCGCTGGAACTCCCCATCCCAAATCCAGAGCACAGAGTACAGAGTACAGAGGGCGTGTGTGGAGCTGATGTGGTGTGTTGCCGTCTCTGCAGATCAGGTGTGACCGAACGCCAGGGGCGTGTCACCGATGCCGCAGGCTGGGTGAGCGGTGCGTGTACGGATTTCCAACGGATGTCGGCTTAGGCCTGATCTCAAGCTTGAGCGTGCATCCTCATCCTCATCATGGCCGAACCCAGGCTGGGCTCCCTCGGCGGCGAATCCTTCGTTCGTGTGTCGAGTGCAGGCGCTGCAAGGCCAAATGCACCGGTGGCGCCGAGTGCGAGCGATGCCGCAGCAAAAGCCTGAACTGCATCTACGACGACACTCTTACCAGCAGCACCAGTACCACCACCACCAACACTACCAACACTACCAATACCACCAACACCACCAGAAGTCCCTCCGCCAGCTCTCCCGTGCTAGACCGCCACTCCTCTGTCGGCCCTTCGTCTCATCCTCCTTCGTATCCTCTCTCGCCTTCTCATTCTCATTCCTCCTACGCTCTGCCAAAATGGCTGACATCCCGAGATCTGCCTTCGACCGACCTTGTCGTCGAGCTGATCGACCTCTACTTTGCCCACATCCACAATGTTCGCTGCTTGGGCTTCTTGCATATCCCCAGCTTCATGGAACGCTTCACACGCACAAACCAGGATTCTCCTGCCGCCGAGCCATCGCCTTCCCACTCGGGACTTGTCCACATCATGTGCGCGTTGGCCGCTCCGTTCTATTATGCGAAGTTGGTCACGGGTGCCGCGAGTGCCAACGACCAGGGGGACCTCGACCTCGTCCGCGTCGAGTCCGGCATCCGCTTCTTCGATGCCGGGAGAGGTTGGGCCGACGTTGCTGCGCAGGCTGTGTCATCGAACTGTAGCGGCCTAGGAAGCGAGGCTCTCATGATACAGATATTGCTCCACGAATACTATTTGCGCACTGGCGACTATGTAAAAGGCTTCCTCATCTCAGGCACCATCGCCCGGCACTTGCAATTGTTGCAAATCAACATCGAGCATAACCACGATGTTCACCCCATACCCCAACAGAACAAGACCTTTGGGGCCGTCCAAGAAAGTCGACGACGGCTTATGTGGGCCTGTTATCTCCTCGATGCCTTCATCGAGTGTGGTGTCGACCAGCTTCGCTTCGTCTCGACAGATGATATCCAAGTCCAATTGCCCTGCTCGGAAGATCTATTTGTCAGAAATATCCCCTGCATTACCGAAATGCTGACTCCGGGCAAGCTGCTCCCCTTGGTTGATCATTCACAGGGCACTGCTGCTGCCCACAACCTCGACCTACGCGCCTATTATATCCGGGTCGTGGCCGTGCGCTCCAAGATCCTGCGCTACGTCAAACATCTACAAGGCGAAATACCCTGGGAACAGGGTGAAGCCTCGCGCTTCTATATTCTGGACAGAGAACTTCGCGAACTGGAGGATTCTATCCCGGACAGCCTAAAAATGTCCCCGGAAAACACCTACGTGTTCAAAGCCTACGGTCGATTGAACCTGTATTTCGGGCTGCACATCCTCCTTGCCCAGACCTACAACGATTTGTATCGCATTGGTGTTTCACAGTTGGTGTTTCCCAACAGCGCCACCAAATGGATCCGAGAAAATGCTCCCAGGGACTTTATCAGGCGATCTCACCGCATGTGCGCCACCAAGGCCATGCATGCCGGCTCTCTCCTGAAGGACTTGTGGCACTGCCACAAGCCGAGTCTCGTCGATCTCCCATATCTGCAACACGCGCAGATCTCCAGCAGTGTGCTGGTCACCAGTCTTGCCTCGTGGGCCGAGCCCGAGCCTCTGTCTCCTGAAATCTCTCCTCGTGACTATCGTGAGATCCTAGAAAGCAACGTCCAAATCCTCCAGTACCTCCAGCGGTACCTCAAGGCCAACATGTACTACGAGTCAGCCAACCAGGCGCTGAAACGCTTCGACCGACTGCTCTCACGCGAGACAACTTGGCACGGTTGGAGCAATAGCAATACATCGTCACTAGACCCCAGTACCGTCACCAACGACAGAAGCGACAACCCCCCGCAGTTCTCTCTCGAGTACATTCTCAACCCGCTCGGCACGTACCCGATGGCGCGGAAGGAAGTCGACGATGGCCAACGGATCGACCGACCCGCGCCTGAGAATACTACCGCGCCCGAATCCGCCACTGTCTTCAATCTTGAGTCGGCTGTTGCAGATACTCTGTACCCTGATGGCGCGAGGGATCCTGACGACATGTTATTGACTCACCACTCGTTGGACTGGGGTTCCGAGTTCACCATCATGGATGGCATCGGATATCCGACATTTCTGGACCAGTTTCTGCGAGAAAATGCTAGTCTCAATCTTAATCCCGACTATCACCATTGGCCATTCGAGTGAATGGGGACACTCGTCAGGTACTACGAGAGAAATATTGTAAGCGTGATACGAGAAAGTGACCATGCATCTCAGTTGCGTGGTATGCTACCTGTCTTCACAAGATAGCGATCAAGTGGCCATGCATCTCAGTTGCGTGGTATGCTACCTGTCTCCACAAGATAGCGATCCTCGGTCAGAAAGGAGAGTAGGAGAAAATATCGAGAGCTATATCGAAGCGGCCAGCCAGCCGGCCAGACTAGACTAGGCTGGAATCTACCAGAGGTGGGCTGTCGTCGATATACCAGTGTTTGAACACACGTCCAAGGGGCTCAGCCTCGCCCCCCTCCCCCTGCACAATCTTGGCACCAATTTGTGTACGGAGTACTCCGAGTCCGGACACATTTTAATATAATTCCTAGGTAGGCCGTTGTTCGGTGTGCGTAAGGCTGGGGACCTGACCGCGACCCGGCTTCCTAGGCCTGAACTAGACTTTCTGACAGACCCAACTCGTTCCTCCAAAATGGCTGGACGGCTCTTGTGTATTTTCCTGAAAAGGCGTATGGTGTATGGGCCTTGGCCTGATGCTGGCGCGTGTCAAGGGTGGAAGGCGGAATTCTAGCGTAGCGTAGAGATTGAACAGCTAGGCACGCTCTCTGTCGGAAAGAAGCAAGAGCTAAGCTAAGCTAAGTTAAGCTAAGCACAGCAGCTCTGCAAAGGAAGTTCGGAGGCCGGATGTGGATGTGGACATGTCGACCACGGGTACCGTCCAAGCTGCTTGCCACAGCGACGACAGGAATAGACTCGCACTCGCAATGTACCGAGAGATTCGGACAGTGTCTGTCGGACAGATCAGGTCAAGTCCATTTCGTCGTCAAGATAGTCTCGATCACTGTCAGCGTCGATGGCCTTTTTTTGCTGCTGCCATTTCTTCACGGCCTCGTCGCCATCTTTGCTCTTTTTGACCGCTGCAAAATAAGCATCGCGCATTTTGGTGTCGATGTTTTCTCTTTCCATCATCCTCTTCAGCCGTTTGTCCTTTCTTTTCTCCTCGACACGGCGAAATGCGGCAATTTGCTGTTTCAGCTTGGAAACTTCTTCTTCCAGCTTCTCCACCTGGACCTTTTCCGCGTCGTCGGTTGTCGTTGATTGGATCAGACCTCTGCCAGAGCCCGAGCCAGAGCCGAGGGCACGTAAAGCCGCATCGAGCAGGGTGCTAGAGATGCCCGGGCCGGTGATGGCATTGTCGATGTCGTCGTGCTCGTTCTGCCGTGCAGAATTCGGCCGAGTGATCATGGTATTGAGGTTGTACTTGGCGGACACACCACAAGTTCCATTTTCAGACAATGATGCAAACTCGAGGTTTGGTTTGACGATATTGACGACACTATATCCGGGCCGCTTCTGGTTGGCGAAGCCGGTAGGATCGAGCATCTCGATGTTCGTGACAGGCTGGCCAAGGTTGGCCACTTCATTCAGGATTCGATGCTTGGCCACGTCCCAGCGAATCACGGCGCCACTGGAATGTCCTGAGAGGAGGGAGGTGCCATCGTAAGACAACGTCAAGCAGTTCGCAGCACCGATGTCCTTCGTCGGCGCGGCCCAGCCATCTTTTGCCGATAGTTGTATGGGTGCGATTGCAGCCGGGTCGAGGTTCGAAACCGGGCTTATCTCAGAATGCCGGAAAACGTCCCAGGCATGAATCTGCCCATCTTTCCCACCGAAATACATCACCCTATCCGCAGGATCAACCGCCACGCACATGGCCGCAATTGGCAGTAATATCGTCCGGAGAATCTGACCAGTCTCGACATGCCAGATGTAGCAGGTCCCATCTTCGGAGGAGGTGATGGCAAAGTTCGTCGTGATCTCCGAGTGGCCGCAAGCAGCTGCAGTCACAGCCGTCCTATGTGCGGCAAAAGTGCGAACAGGTGATTTGGAGGTGTCTTCGGCCCCGTAAGTGCCTCCCAGCTGCAAGAAAGAGATGAGTTGTGCTAACGACCAAACGTGGACACTTGTGTCGGCGGATGCAGAGATGATGTATTTGTTGTCGGGGGTAATGCAGAGAGAGGAGACAGGTTGAAGGTGCGCCGCCACAGAGGTGGTCAGTCGGCCGGTGGCCACCTCCCACAGCAACAATTTGCCTGCCTCCGTCCCGAGAATCAAGATTGCCGCTCCTCGAGCGAACACTAGACTATGCAGTCTCTCGGGAAAGGGCACAGTGGCCTCCTGATTCCCTCGCTCGCGACTGTAGACATGGACGACCGCCTTATCGGCTTGTGCGGCGAAGATGTGAGAGTCACTGATGGCAACGCAACCGGGTTGACTGGAACTCTTCTTGTACCCGTGTCGAAAGGTGCTTTGAGGCTGCGCCTCGTGGAGGAAGATGCCTACATCCTTCAAGGCGGCGCTGGTGTGTGCCGGCGCTTTATTTGCAGTTAGGGTAGCTGCCAGAAAGCTCTCGGTAAGCATGGTCAACGTGTCGAGGATATGCCGACTTCATGCTTGGTCAGAACCCCTCTTCTGAGAACGACTTGACAACTGGGGCTTCAACTACTACAGTATCTGTACATGTAATAGTAGTTCAAGACCATCCATCGACCAAGAAGAAACTTTTCAAGTTCGATGTTCCAGTTGGAGAAGCACACCCCGGTAAGGAGATAAATCGAGTTGTCTGACTAGGAGACAGCAGGCCTTTGATGGGGTAAGACTGACATTTATTTCTTAACTCGACTTGTCTGACAACGCACTTAATTTCAACGGGCCTGGATCGGGGTTTCCGACCAAGTTGGAGAACCAAGAGCCACTGGCCACTGAACCGCACCGCACCGCACGTGATGCGGTCTGCCAAGCACCCTAGTGGTATCGGCCTTGGCGTTGCGTTTCGCACACTCAGGCTGCACCACACGAAATCCGGACGAAGAGTCAGTCTCAGATTTCTATAACTCCGACAAACAAGTCACGCCCTCGCCCAACTTGCGATTCCTCTTCCCATCATCGACTTTTGGCAGGAGATTCCGGGGCAAGATGTCGACCTTCGAGCCTGTGGTAGGTCCCCTCCCGTCCTGCGGCAGCTGTGAAAATCCCGGCTGTTCCCTTGGGCAATTGGAGATGAGAGAGAAGCACGACAACTGACACGGTTATGAATTGTAGGTTGTCATTGATGGCAAGGGACACTTGCTCGGTCGTCTCGCCAGCACAGTCGCGAAGCAGCTGTTGAACGGCCAGAAGATTGTTGTCGTCCGAACCGAGGCGCTCAACATCTCTGGCGAGTTCTTCCGTGCCAAACGTACGTTTTTCTTCCTCGCCCCGATCCAGACCCAGACCTTCACAGGAGAAGCGCAGCGAACTTGGATGGCTAACATAGTCGGCTGTTTACAGTCAAGTACCACGCCTACCTCCGAAAGATCACTCGATTCAACCCAACGCGAGGCGGACCGTTCCATTTCCGCGCGCCCGCTCGCATCTTCTACAAGACCGTCCGCGGCATGATCCCACACAAGACCGCTCGAGGCGCCGCCGCTCTGGAGAGACTGAAGGTCTTTGAGGGTGTGCCTGCCCCGTACGACAAGAAACAGCGCGTCGTCGTCCCCCAGGCCCTGCGAGTCCTCAGATTAAAGCCCGGACGGAAGTACTGCACAGTGGGCCGATTGGCTCATGAGGTCGGCTGGAAATACCAGGACGTGGTCGCCAGGTATGATGAATCCCACCTGAATACATTATCTGCGTGTGTTTGGCACGTGCTGACTAGTCGACTAGACTCGAGGAGCGGAGAAAGGTCAAGGGCGCCGCCTACTACGAGAGGAAGAAGGTTGCCAGACGACAACTCGCCGAGGCCCAGAAGTCTTCGGGCGATGCGAAGACCAAGGAGAAGTTGGCCGCGCTCGGCTACTAGACTTGGACCGTATCATCAACCTGTCTGTACCCGTGCACCATCGATCGTTCTTCGCCGCCGCATCCGCCTTGGCTTTTCAATGTCGAGTTGGGCTTGGGGGATCTGGTGTGCGGAGAGCTCATCGTGAGCCTGGCATGGGAGATGGGAGATGGGAGCTTCTGAAGACAGTCGAGTGGGTCTGGGAAGTGGTAGTGGACGGGGCGAGTTGGCCTGGTGTAGTCGGAACTTGAACTGACGACTTAAGACGAAATATCATCTACCCAGGGAGGACAGGGTTATGATGAACCATTTTCGATGTTGACGTTTGCTGGCAGTCCGTCATCGGCCTGCATGGATGAATGGTCGCCTGGCATGGGTCATGCATGCGGAGTGATCGTTTGCCAAAAAAAATCAAAGACTTGCCAATAGGACGGCTATCCTACCTTTTTCAGCTTAAGACTACGTGGCTTTGAAAGTGCTTCTTCGGCTACGGATACCATGAGCAGGAAAAAGAGCTAAAATGATGAAATCTGCCAAACTGGACGGACGCCCTGTTCTCTTTTTCTCTTGCCGACCTTGTTGTGTGTCCATATTGATCTATCTTGACTACCCAGCACAGACGAAGCTCGAACTTGAACCAGGAAGGGCTGATATGTTGGTTGCATTGAGATTATGTGCCAATTTCAGTGTCTAGCAGTAGTCTTTAGAGTCCATGAATGTTGGTGCCCGAGGTCAATTTCATGTGCAGTGCCCAGAAAATGCTCATCCCTTTCCACCGGCAGATACTCCAAACGGTGACGTTCGTGTCAGTCAATCCCAACCATCGACGTCGGGAGAAAACGACAAATCCTCAGGCAGTCGGCTTTCTCTCGCATCTGTGCTCCATTGAGAGCATGTTGTCAAGGGCCGCGCAGCGAGCGCATACCGTGATGCCGTGCATGGGAAATAGTTGAGCTGGCAAATGGCAAGACATGCATTTGGGTTCCTCGGGAGGTGGAGTTGCGGACTCAGATGCATTTGATTGCGGTGCTACCGTACTGCTGGCAGGGAGCGGCGGAGGAGGCGGTGGAGGCACATGAACAGGGGGTGGCGGCGGCGGTGCACCCGCCGTAAGAAGTGCATTTCGACTGTCTTTGTCAAGGGCCAAGAACTTTTCGTAATTCATCGTCGTTTCCACGCCGCGGATGGTGGTGGTGATTTGACCTTCGAAAATCCTCATCCGGCCATCATCCACGTTCCGATCAGCCGGGAGATTATATGTCCATTGACCATGACTCAGACTAGTCTGAGGCATCCATGGAGTGGTGACCTGCTGCGTAGACCTGGACGACGCATTGTATGGAGGTGGTGGCTGATTCATCCCAGCGTGATATTGCTGGATGTCGCCAAAGTGCAGAACATGATGAGGCTGGGATTGCAATGGGGCGACCGCTGTTGGGTCTAGCCGCGGCGAGCATGTCAGCGGTGCACGTCGAAAGCAGTTTCTGGACCATGGTTTTTTCGAGGGACATAACCGGCGGAGAAACGTACCGGCACTCCCCTTCCCGTTGTCTGCCGCACCCCCTGGAGGAGCTTGTGGTTTCTCTGCCGACATGGTTCAGAAATATTCCCCCGAAAACGGCCGGTCCGATAGTTGGGTGATATAGGTAGAAAAGAAAGAGGTTCGGGCATTTGGAATGCTCAACCACATTTTATACAATCCATCACTCCATTCGAAACAAACGTAGCCAGTGACTCAGGCTCTTGTAGTGAGCCAAGGAAATATGAAACCCATGTGAAGTTTGGGAGTTGCCCGTCACAAGGCACGAGCAGAAGTGACAGGTCTCCCCATCAATCACGCCTGAATCCAACTCATTTCGATTTCTTCACCTCTCCGTTCTGTTTGTCTTCCACGTACGGATGCTTGATGGTCAAGCACCAGATGTCCAAGTAGTCACAGATTGTGGTGATCACATCATGGACAAAGCTGCCATATACCCCCAAGGCAAGTCCCAGGGCAAGGAACACGAAGGCCACTTGGTAGATGTCGCCACCAAGGGCACTCGGCCACAGCCCCAGTTGTGGGCCTAGACTGTCAACCACAGCCCAAGCCAATGGCACGATCAAGATGTTCTTGTAAGGGAATTTGTCTTTGACCAGATGGGCCACAATCATTTGCCCGACAGAATAAGCGTTGACGAGACCGGCAAACCAGACAAAGGGGACAAGGTGATGGTGCAGGATCACGGGGTTCAACCACAGATAGATGGGAATGAGGATCCAGGTGACGGTGATGGGTAGCAGCCCGAAAAGTGGCTTGATCGGGTCCTTGCCCCTTTCACGGCGGACATTCATGACACTCAAGACACTGCTGACAGTGTTGAAGACGAGGACCAATCCCCCGTACACCATATACCATTCATTCCAGGCCAGTTGATAGAGGGAGTCAGGTATCAAAGCACTCTTGGGAAACCCCAGGCTTGGCAGCATAGGCTGCTGCCAGTAACTGGCGCCTCCTTTCAGCCAAGTGAGGAAGTAAACCGTGACCAGAGTCAAAACTCCTTCGACCGGACCATTGACGATACCCAATGTTAAGGTATGAGTGTAGTATTCTTCCCAGGTCTGAACATAGAAGGTGAGGACGGTACCGAAGAGTGTGAGAACGGTTTTCCAGGACTGGCCGAGGTTCATTGCGGCTGCAAAAATAAGGACCCCGAGACTGGTGTTGCAAGCGTCCACTCCTGCGCACATGTATTAGTATAGTCCGTGCCGGTCGGGTAAGCGCTTGCTGACCGTGATCAAAGAGTTCGCCCAATGGACCACTCTGATGTGTTCTCCGAGCCTGTGATCCGTCCACTGCGTCGAAAGTCTGGTACAAGAAAAGACCGATGGCCCAGGACAGATATACCCAGGGAGGGCAATCCGTGTCCAGACTGGGATTATACCACAGCATCGTCAAAATGTTGATCACCACGAAGCCGAAACCGGTCAAGGTGATCTATTCGAGGATCGTCAGTAGGGCAGGCATGGAAAGCCAGACAAGTCACGTACAAGGTTCGGTCTACCACGATGTTAGAGCTGGAGCTGGACCTGACACTGTACAAAGGGGAGACTTACGCCATGGACATTGGGAAAAGTTTTATGACCACATGGGTATAGAATGGCTTGAGGATATATTTCGAGGTGAGAGACTTGTCCACCGCCGAGTATTTGTACTCGTGGAGTTTGGCGAGGTTGCGCTGGCGTATGTAGACCATCTTGAAGATGTATAGCCGTAGAACGACGCGTTGAAAAGCTCACAGTAGGGAGAGAAGGCCAAAGAGCGGTAGGACGAGGTGTTTGTCAGGTAAAGAGAGCGTGGGTCTGGCAGCGCTGGACTTCAGGGAACTCGCGGATCGAAGAAGAAATAATAATATTATGTGTTTCTTGTTCCTTGTTCCAGCCAGCTTTCTGTCTTCTGGCGCAGTTCACGTCATAGTGCATAGCGCGTATTAAAATATTTAGTGCCCACTAACATGGTCGGCAGCAACGCGCTATCCGAGACTAGGACTTGGGTGGACCACTGCTACAACACGACACCAACACGTGCCGCACATGACCCAGCAATCTGATACTTGATCCGTGTTGACAGGCAGCCAGAGATACGGAGTATTCTGTAATACAGAGGAGATAGGAGGTAATGGCCTCTGAGCAAACAGTGCCGAGCCATGCAAGTCTTTCCTTCGACAAGTGTCAATGCAACCCCCCAAAGAACTCGACGCATGTCCTCGCCCAAGCAAAGAACTTCCCAGCAGATCAGGACCATCTAGGCGCGTAGTCAGGCCAGCGACTCAGTTCGCTCTCATACCGCCCGAGGACTTTACTCGCCGAGTTGAAATCGACGTTCGAGCTGCTAATCTTCTTGTGGTCGACTTCTCCATCGACATAGTCAGCGGCGAAACCTAGTTCGTCAGACCAGCCATCCACCATATCCTTGACATTCCGAGGAAGGGTAACTTTGCTCCGGCCCTGCCACCAGGCGGGCGAGGCGACGAAGGCCAGCATGACGCGTGGCTCATCTGTCAGGTTGGGCATACCGGCATGCCAGAGTCGGAGGTCGCGGATGACCAAGCTCCCACGCTTGGTGCAGGCCTGGATGGGCGGCGAATGCTTGCGGCGCTGTTCCAACAGTTCGGGCTTGATGGCGAGCAGATCCTCGCCCGCCCCGTGGTCGTGTGCCTCCTGAACACTGATGTGGTGCGAGCCGAGCCAGATCTCCGTGCCGCCATTCCACGCCGTCACGTCCACCAGGCTGATGTTGATCACGTACGCGAACGGGAAGTATGCAGGGTGCGCGAACTCGCAATCTGAATGCACGGGTTGTCGGCCCTCCGGCGAAGCCTTGAGTGCAGTGTTCCCGTTCGCGTAGTGGACTACGGGGCGCGGGCCCAGCACCGCGGCCAGTACAGCGGCGGCGAACGGGTTACTCCACACGTCTTTGAACATGAGCGCCTTGGTCGGTGGCGGCGCCTGGTCCATGTTGCGCGTGTGCTTGCCAAAGTTGAAGTGGTGGTCTGGGTCGTTGGCGATCTCGAGCGCCTCGGGCGCCAGTTGGGCATTCAGCGCATCGATATGTGCTGTGTCAATGGCATTATCGAGCACGATGATGCCGTCCTTGTGCAGAAACGCCGCGGCCTCCGCAATCAGCTCAAGCGACGGCTGGCCTGATTTGCGTACATCCTCGGGGATATGGATCGTGTGGATTTCTTGGTCATAGACCGGTGTATATGAACCCATATTGACCGTCAGAAGAGTTCACCTGGTTTGTTCCTATTGTAGTTCTCCCTGAGATGAGCCGGGTCTGACAGATAGTAGAGAGAATGCACTCTACATGTTCGAAGATTGTGGCTGTTAGATGCTCATCGCCCGCCAATCATTCTTGTTGATAGCGGGTTTCGGATTCGTCGGCGCCATAAGCGAGGCCATGCTCGAGGGCAGAGTTCTTGATCTTTCGGTCCTTGCCTATCATCGCGCTATCCCGACGTTGCTATTATTTGCCAATCGGAGTGAAGGGGGTTGACTTGATCAAGTACTCGTATCGATGGGAGAGAACGGACATGACCACTCATTCCTGCCGGGCCGGCGCATGCATCCGGTCAACTGTTTCTATCAGAAACGAGGAAATAGGGTGGAGCAATATTTCCCGCGCGCAGTTCCGAAAACAGCTGAATATTTCCTCTTTGGGACAATTGAGTGTTTCCACACTTCCTTAGTCCGAGGGACACTGCTCGATGGCGAACACACCGCGCAATGGTGTCAGCCCAAATTTCAAAGCCTTCCTCTTCTGTCCTGAATTTGCCTAATTCGTGCAGTCAAGATGGATCGAAGTTCACGCATAATCACATAAATATTTGTAAGTCGCCGAAGCTCACAGGGGTCAAAGGACCTACACTGTCACAGGCAACGGGTATAAAGATGGGCCTTTCTCTTTGTAAATGGGTGATACAGAAGGCATCCTTTTCTCTTTTAACCTTCAAGCCCTCTAAGATCACACATAGTCTTTTAACCCCCACTCGAATACGAACAACTCGCTAAAATGTCGGCTCAAACGGCCATCACACAATATGTGACGGCCAACAATGGCGTCCGGTTTGCATATCGACGTATTGGGGAGACAGATGCCATTCCACTGGTCATGCACATCCATTACCGTGCCAATATGGACCTTTGGGATCCTCTCTTCGTCAACGCCTTAGCCAAAAGCAGACCAATCATCCTTTTTGACAATGCCGGTGTCGGCCGGAGCAGTGGTGAAGTTCCGGAAACGATGCAAGGCTGGGCAGACAACTTGATCGCTTTCGTCAATGCTCTCGGGCTGAAGAAAATCGATCTCCTTGGCTTTTCAATGGGTGGCTATGCGGTCCAGATGGTCGCCCTGACAGCACCACAGATGATCCGCAAGCTGGTCCTGAGCGGTACCGGCGGTTCAACTCCTTCAGCCGAGCATATTGCCGGCGTGGTTTGGCCGCGTGAGCAACCCCCCGCTCAACCGATCAGGGCCCTCTCGGAAGCGGTGACGCGGGAGGAAGGCGAAAAGGCACTGGCATTTTCGTTCTTCTATGACGACGACCACGGCCGTGCCGCTTTTCAGAAATACTGGGCGCGCGTCCAAGAGAGAACAGCAGAACCGCTTATTTTGCAACTTCTGGACCGTGAGGGCGGGGGAAAGCGCCAGTTCCGTGCGGCGGTTCATTCCTTCAAGGCCGGTCCTCCTAGCTCGTTCGACAGACTGGGCGAACTCCAAATGCCGGTCCTTGTTGCCAACGGCGATAATGATGTTTTGATTCCTTCCAGTCGCAGCTGGGAGTTGGTGACGCAGATTACAAATGCCCAACTGATCATTTATCCTCGCGCGGGACATGGTTTCATCTGGCAATATGCCGAGTTGTTTGCGGCGCACGTCAACATGTTTCTCCAGGGTACGGAATTCGACAACTTGTTGCCCAAATTGTAATTTCAGTCATGCGATAGGCTAGCGGAAGGGTGGATTTGACACCAGAGCTTCGTTCCATACTGCTCTTGGATTCTTTCAATCCACATGATCTTCTTGAGATCACGTTGTGCATCTTTCCAAGTAGCTGGTTCGCCATGTGATGTCTGATGCTGGCCGAGTTTCGACAAGTACCAAGCTTTATCTTCTGTTGCTTCAGATACAAGCCCGCCCATAAAGAGAATCCAAAACAGCAATGTGTCCGGTATCGTATTAGGATCCGTCTTGGTTAGACACGATCTCAACCGTTTTGAAACAAGGGTTGAAGATGCTTTCGAGAATGGGCTCTCTCTGGTCAAGGTCTGCACAAATATCAGCGCGGCAAGTGTGCAGGATTCATTTACACCGTCTTCTGTGGAGCTTCTAGACATGAGCAGGTCGTATTGAATGCAGACGATGTCTTCATCGTACGTTTTCGGGTCCAACGGGATTTGTTTCTCAGCTGCTTGTTCCAATGCTTGACACAAGCAGGACAGGGTCATGATGGCGCTCAGTAGAGTGGGCATCATTCCAATCTCAACAAGCATGGAATAAAGGGCCTCGTTTAGCTGCACGTCAAGTTCCATAACTTTATAAAGAGGGAACGATGTCCGAGCTGGTCGATGCAGGGAGGGCTGTGACAAGGTGTCGACAGCACCGATGATATCAGCGCGATAGATCTTCATCCGCATTGCATCTGGAATGGACGATATCCCTCCTCCGACACGGATCATTTCAGACATCCCTGAGGTGTGCATAGCCCACTTGCCATGGCTTCCTAGTTGATTTTCGCAAAGCGCTAAGCAGGAGACTGCCCCGATGGTCACAGCTGAAAGTGTCCCAGCGCTCAATCTGCGGTTGAGTCTGTTAAGAATCACTTTCATCAGGACCTCAGAGTCCCTGAAATTGACATATTGGCTAGTAGCGGCGTGATGCAAAGCAGAAGAATATAAGATTGTGTGAAGCAATACCTCGTCGGTGAGCGCTGCAGGAAGCCAAACGGTCTGGACTGGATTGTATTGAAAAGGGATATACTTGCTGATAGGGAAGATGGCAATGGCAAGGCGTGTAGAATCTGTGCAGTATCCAGTAGTCAGTAGATGGATGCGCACAGTTCTAGGAATGACCACTCACAATATCCGACAAAGTCCTGGAAAGCACTGGCTATAGGGTCGATGACAGTGTACAATGGAGAGGCCGTGCCGTGGACAGGCTGTTGTAGAGTGGGCAAAGGGGGGAGCGTCCCAGTTTGTTCCTGGTCATTAGACACAGGAGCTGCTCGACCATTTTCTCTTTTCTTTCTTCTGCATTTGGTGTTACTGCCAACATCCTGGGACCACTTCTCGTGCCTGTTCTGCTGTGGCCGGGTCTCTGCTCTTGGAGGTTCGTAAATCACGAATTGAACTTCTGTAGACACATCCTGGCTGCGAGCTCTATCCAAGACCGACGGCACCCTGGCTCCCGCTGGACCATCAGCCAAGGTGATTGTGACGTCTGGAACCCTGCATAGCGGCTGCCTGCCATCTGAACCAAACCGAGAGTCCGGGCCTTTTTTCTCCCTCTTCTTGCGTCGTTGCCAGCTTCGATCAACCATGAATAGAGGCTGCACCGGATAGATGACCGCTTCGGCCATCACTACCTTATGAGAGAAGCCACCAGCATTCAATGATGGTGTACTGGCTGCGAGGGATGGTGCCCACTGTGGAGACTCAGCCTCAGCCTCAGCCTCGATCTGAGAATGTAGGTCCTGGCGCACAAGGGGAGAATATGCCACCTGTTGTCGAGTAAAAAGGGCCTCGCAGTTCCACCAAATTACAGTGGTCCGCCAGGCATGAGTGGCTCATGAGTCAGGGCCAGGGAGGCCGCCTGTTCCAAAGAAGGACATAAAAGGGCCAAAATTGCAGGGTGTCGGCAGAACAGCCGACGATTTCGGAATCCTGCGACACCAATATGGACAATTGATAACAAGGTGGCCGCTGGTGAATGGCAAGTTTGCCTCTTTGACATGTTGTTGCCAACCGCGGGCACCAAGTGAAGAGAGAAGTGAAATGCTGACATGATCCATCATTTTGGGATCACGGGATGTCTGTCGTGGTCCTCTGTTCCACCGTATCTGCTGATATAATATCTTATTAATATCTGCACTTAAGATCCACCTACTCTGCCGAAGACCGGCCCGGAAATCCACCTCCAGCCTCCAGGAGGGCCGAAGTTTATCTCCAGAGTCCAGCTTCTGCTCCTAATGTAACGACGACTAGTCACCACGGTTGATATCAAGTCATCGCACATCCCCGCTTGGGGAATGGTGCTTCCATCGGAGTAGTTTGTTGTTTTCGTCAAAAGTGTCCCTCGCTTCAGGGTAGCATTGCCATCGCGTGGCTACTAACGCGCATGATCCAGTCAGATTCGCTGCACATTAGGCCCGTTCTGACCACTGGCCGTTCTGACCACTGGCCGGCCCCCTCATGATGAGTCCAGTACAATCTCGCGGGGATCGGCAACCTCTTTTGGATGCTCGACCAGATAACGAGCGACCACGAAGATATGGTGGTAAGCTGCTCCAATAGCACTCGTCTCATGCCTGAGCATGATCCATGGTCCATGATCCATGATATGGCCACCTTGCCATGGTTGCATGTCCCTACCACCCTGAGGGGTCAAGTCGATGATATGGCCTGATAGAGGCAATCTGACTCGGCTTATCTCCCGATAGCACGGAGATGTATATCAGTTGATCGGTTCCGGGTAAATCCTTGTTGCGTCGACGTGCTCCTTGCCTCCTTCCACAAGATAGTCGCGCGAACTCTATCTCTCTCTCTATCTATCTATCTCTGACAATGGGGAACCCAGACACGGACAAAGATGTCGAAAACAACAAGGATCCGGCTGCCATGATAGCCACTGCCTCGATCGATGATATCGATGCTGAAGCACGGATTGCCACGGATGAAGAACATGGTCATTCTTTTTGGGAAGCCGTCAGGCTGTACCCCACGGCTGTTGGATGGTCCATGTTCTTCTCGCTTGGGGTGATTATGTAGGTGGCAGGGCGGTCGCATCTACCTGCTACCCGTGAACAACTTGAGACCAAGACCAGAACTGACCTGACATCTCGGCACGCAGGTGTGCTTTCGATCCCCAGTTGCTAGGCCAGCTCTATGCGACCCCGGCGTTCCAGCGAGACTTTGGCTATCTCTACGACGGCAACTGGATCATCTCGGCTCCTTGGCAGACAGGCCTAAGTATGGGCAGTCCGATTGGGCAGGTCGTAGGGGCATTTTTTGCGGCTTTCCCAATGGAGTGGTACGGGCGGAAGAAGACGTTTGGCGCATGTGTCATCCTCACCACCGGCTGTGTCTTCATCCAGTTCTTCGCCCGCTCACTTCCAGTCCTCCTGGTGGGAGAGCTGCTGGGTGGCCTTGTCCTAGGGACCTACGCGGTCATCGCTCCGGCATACGCGTCGGAGGTGTGCCCTCTGGCGCTCCGCGGTGTCCTCACATCTTGCACCAACATCTGTTTCGTCACTGGCCAGTTGATAGCCAACGGCGTGATTGCGGGAACCCATGTACTTGACAGCCACTGGGCTTATAGTGCGGCTTTCTGTGCGCAATGGATCTGGCCCTTGGTCATCCTCATCGGCCTACCGTTTGCTCCAGAGAGGTAAGGAAGGATGGAGCGACGCTGATATCTTGCTTCCTTTTCATTTTCATTTTATTGCCATTTCGTTGTCGTTTTCATTGTCGTTGCCATTTCGTTGTCGTTCACTGACACTTCCTTCAGTCCGTGGTGGCTCCAGCGACGAGGCCGGTTCGAGGATGCCGAAAAGGCTCTGAAGCGACTCGCTTCATCGAATGTCGACGTCAAGCCCACACTCGCCATGATCATCGAGACCGACCGGCTCGAGAGAGAAATGGAGTCCGGCACGACGTACTGGGACTGCTTCAACAAGATCAACCGACGGCGCACCGAGATTGCTATAGGGGTGTACACGATCCAAGTGCTCTCGGGAATCTATCTAGTTGGCTATGCCACTTATTTCTTCACACGCAAGTCCCAGTCCCCAGTCCCGGTCCTGAGTCCGATCTCGCAAATCGCGTTCTTCAGATCTAGTAGTACTGACACCCCATCGCCATCTAGTTGCCGGGCTACCGACCGACCAAGCATTCAACATGGGCGTCGGCTTCCTCGCCGTCGGGTTCGTGGGGACCTGCCTGTCGTGGGTGCTGCTGATTTACTTTGGTCGACGAACAATCTACAATTGGGGGCTTGGCTTGTTGGCGGTGCTCCAGATCCTCATCGGCATCCTCGATTGCGCGCCCAACTATGACAACCGGCCGGCCATCTCGTGGGCCCAGAGCGTCTTGATGCTCGTTTGGAATTTCTTCTACGATCTTTCCATCGGCCCCGTCTGTTTCGTGCTCCTCTGCGAAGTCTCGGCCACCCGGCTCCGCGGCAAGACCATTGCCCTAGCCACGGCCGTCCAAGCCCTCGCCGGCATTGTCATGACCGTGGCCATTCCCTACATGATCAATGCCGACCAAGCCAACATGCGCGGAAAGCTGGGCTTCTTCTTTGGGGGTCTGGCCATCTTGTGTCTTGTCTGGTCTTACTTCCGAGTTCCAGAATTGTAAGTTTGTTCTTTCCTTTGACTAAGTCGTGTCGTGTCACATATGCGCGCATGATGCCCTTACCCTTGTCTTTGTGCTGTCTTGCGTGGTACTAGTACCAGGGGGTTGGACCCTGCCCTTGAGCTGGTACTAGGAATTTGGACCCTACCCTTGCCATTGTCCTTGTGTTATCTTGTCTAGTACTAGGGATTCAGATCCTGCCCTTGTCCTTGTCTGGTCTTAGGGATTCAGACCCTGCCCCTGGCCCTTGGCTGGTCTTAGGGATTCAGACCCTGCCCCTGGCCCTTGGCTGGTACTGGGGATTCGGACCCTACCCTTATCCTTGTGCTGTCTTGTCTAGTACTGGTCCCGGAGAATCGAAATAATACTAACAATGCCATCCACGCAACAGGAAAGGAAGAACCTACCAAGAAGTCGACATCATGTTCGAGCGTGGGCTCAAGACGAAAGAATTCAAGGACTATGTGGTGACGAGGTGAATGTGAATGTGAATATGAATGAATGAATGGCTGGCTGGCTGCCCGAGTCTATGGAAAGTGCTATTGAATCTCGGCGGAGATGTGTGGTTTTGTTGCTGTCTCATCTCTGATCTCTTGGTCTGGTCATACATTCCGTCTCTTGTCTCTTGGTTTGGCTTAGAGTGTCAATCTATGCCATCCATGCCATGCCATATCGGTCAAGAATCCCAATCCCAATCCCAATCAACCCGATAGAATAGTCTCTACTAGGGGATCTCTGTAGCTTCTCTTCTCGGCATGGCATACCTATATCCCAACTCTTCTCTCACCTTGTTACCCCTATAACCAGCTCTTCTCAGCTTGTTACCCCCATATCCCAACCCACTATGTTTCCCCTACTCCCCAACTCCTCTCTCACCTTGTTATACCTATATCCCAGCCCACCCTTGCAGTCTACCCAGCAAAGCAAACCATCACTTTTCTTTTCCTTTCTTTTCTAAAGATTTTCGAAAGCCTGATGATCAGATCACTACAGGGCGGTTCCTCTACTCTGTACTCTGTGAATGGATTTGTGCTATACCGGTTCCGACTCTCTAACCAACCTACCAACCTGACCAATCTGCAACTGACCAACCTGCAACTGACCAACCTGACCAACCTGCAACTGACCATGGACGGACATTTCGAACAGAATCGCAGTGAGTGAGCGAGTGAGCGAACTAGAGAGACAAACAGACTATCGAATATCATATAGTATGGTGTTCTGTGCTGTGCTGTGCTGTGCTGTGCTATGCTGTGCTGTGCTGTTACAGTCGGTGAACTCATGTGGCTTGTGATAGAGATACAGATACAGACACATACACATATACATACATAGCACAGTCTCGGATTAGCGCAGTGCCAGTCAGTGGTCGTCAGGTAGAGACAATCGTCACTCCTAGCCTCGGAGGGAATGATGGGATGGGATGGGACGAAAAGTAGACCCAATTTATTGACGAGACGAAAAGTACAGTAGACCCAGATTGATTCTTAGATCATGGATTGGATCGGATCATGGACGGGCGAGGCAGTAGAGTTTCAACGTGTCGACTAATCTGTGACATTATACGGGGCAGGACAAAGATAGGTAGGCTTGGGATGGGCTGAATGCATGTACTCGTACCATCTCATCTGTCCAGTCGATTCGGGGACCTATGAAATGAGATGGAATATTCTGTACATGTCATGAGATGCTTGGGAGTAGGGAGTAGGGCGTTGTTCTAGTTGGAAAAAAAAAGAAAAGAAAGATCGGCAGCCAGAGAGGGCCCAGCAAGGCAACATTGGATATCTTCAATTCTGGTCCGCTGACATCCAGTAAAATGTCGTGGCGTTTCCCACTGGATTCTGCTGCTTCTGGTAGAACGAATGGGATTGCCGATATCAAAACATGATGAAAACATGGTCGAAATAACAAAATAGAAGACTGGCAAAACATAATGCAAACATGGTCAAACCGACGAAATAGAAGCCTGCCAAAACATGATGGAAACATGGTCGAACCAACGGAATAGATCAGATCAGATCACATCAATTAGACCAGGTAAGCAAACCCGATCAAAGACATTTATATTCCCATTTTATGACACTGAAACTCCCAAAACACCGGGTATCGTGACAACATCATAACGGCTCATGAGAATCCGAATCCAGTTCAGCCAACCAGCAATCAATCCAGATCCATGTCCTCTTCGGTGCCGCCACCGACGAGCATCTTCCTCTTGCTCTTCTGTCTGGGTCTCTCCTCGCCCATGACTCTAGACCTCTCCATCTCCTTCTTGACCAACTCGACCACCGGCTCCATCTCGGCCCGGGCGGCCTCGAGATCGCCGAGTTCCTTGCGGATGAGATGCTCTCCTTGCGCGATGACCTTGAGGTCCTGCCGTCTCTTGGCCTCGCGCTGGGCCTTGCCGCTGAGCCTTCTCCTCGTGTACACGCGCTCGCGCCTGGATCGGATTTCCTCGATCCTCTCGATCGCCTTCATCGTGGCAGCCACCAGGTTGCGGTCGTACTTGACGGGTACGTTGCGTCGCTTGGCGAATTGTGACAGCAGCAGGTTTTGGTCGACAATCATCTCCTTGCCACGCAGCGCGCGCGACGTCTTGGTCCACTTGAGTTTGCGCGGCTGTCGCTTCATCTTGAAGTTTTTGTGGCATTTCGACCGGCAGAATCGGAACACTTTGGCATCGTTCCGCACGAACGTGATGCCTTTGGACGGGTAGACCGGGCGAGAACAGAGATGGCAGGTTTCGATCCTAGCCTCGTGTTAGACCGTCTTGAACCCACACAGTAAGTCATGGGGGGCGGTGCTGGGAATGTTAGACGAACCTCATGGTGGATGTGAATGTTGCGTGAAGTCGTAAAGGCCGAGGGCGTGCACTGTATACAGCTCAGAGATACTGGCTGAAGACGACGACGTAGTCAAGGTATGTGCCGATTGTGGTACATACAAGCCCGTGGCAGTCCAGTTCAGTTGGCTGAGAGAGTCTTGCCGGGCCTTTGAAAAGTTGTACCAGAGTCTGCAGTCTGTATAGCGACTGAAGGCGCTTCGAGTTCTCGAAAATTCTTGCCAAGACTTAAATTTAAGGCGGGTCTGCATCTTCCGTTTAGGGACGAGAGCGACGCCGCCCTTGCGAACCCCCAACTCGCGCGAGCTAACCCTAACCCTAAGGGGTTTTCCGATTATCGCTTCTTTCCTCTCTCTAATTACTCCGTAGATCTCTATATTAACGCTTGACGATTGCAATTATCCTTCTACAACCCCGACAATTACTGGTGGAGAGCTAGACCGTTAAAGCTGAATTTTAGCGAAACTCTACGAAAAACACAAGCCACTTGACGGGACGATTATCCTGTGATGACCGCGAAGGCTGCTGGAAAGCAATATCAATGCCTCCATGACTTCCAGGTTGCCTACAGCTTCCCCTTGGTTTCCAACGACGACTTCTCTCTTTTCTCATCTTTCTCATCTTTCTCATCATCCCTCGCCTCCTTGATCGCCCTAACGCCATCTATCCTAGCCTGTAGCTCCCAAAGAAGGCCTTGGCTCCACTGTCGTGATTGAAGCTCGTCCGCCAACGTCAGGTCAGGCTTCAGCTGATCCCAGGACCTCTCAGAGAAGCGTCTTAGAGGGCCGAGGGCATTGATTTCGTCGTGATTCCAGCCTTCTCTCAGCATACCCTCGAACAAGATCCCGTCGAAATCATCATCAAGAGCTGAGAGGCAGTGGGGACAGGCCCATTGTTGAATATCTGGATCGTTCTCATGTTTGCGGAGACACGGTCCGGAGTGGGAGTCGGGTGGAGAGGAAGAGGTGGCTTTGGCCGTGAGATCCGTTGGTGCCAAAGATGGTGCCGCCGAGTCGGACAGACCTTCCCTAGCACCTCTCTCCCTCTCCTCCATGCTGTCCTCTTTCTCTGCAGCCCTGGCGTGATGAAGCCCTCGGGTGGCATCGATCCGAGCCTGTAGCTCATATATACAATTGAATTGGAAAGCGCGACGCTGGGGGTTCGTCGACATGGTTGGATCGGGTGCCAACTCGGCCATGGTTCGCTTTGCGAAACGCCGCACTGGCTCGACGGCCTGGATTTCGCATGCAGTCCAGCCTTCGCGACGCATTACTCTACGAAGAGTGGTGTCGAAGTTGAGGTTGATGTTTTCCGAGCAGCTTGAACAGAGCCATTGGGCGTGCTTTGCGTCGGCGAGGAACTTGCAACTGTGAAGTGGCATCTCGGGATCCATGGTAGGTGGAGTGGTCGGGGAAGCGCTTGATCGGATGGCTGGTCCGTGGGTTACCTCAATGCTGACTCCTGAGGGTGCGAGTTGCGGCCGACAACTACAGAGAGTGTCGATTCAGAATGATTCTGACGAGCAACAAGTGCGAGAATCTGACAAGCACTGAGTGCGAGATTCAGTTGAAGATTAACTTGATGTCGATAGGAAAAGCTTGACGGGCTATTGTGGGAGAATCGCATACTCTTATACCTGGTTCGCCTGTGCAGAGTCCAGTCAAGCTGTGTGCAGGTGGCAACCTAATGCATCTCTTTGACAAGTCCTACCTGGTAAATTTGGACTGGTATTGTACCGTCATGTATCGACGCCGCCCTACACTCAACCTCTGGGACAATAGACAATAGACAATAGACAATAGACAATAGACATCGGTACGAGTGCGAGTGCGTCAGACCTTTGATTGCCTGATGCTAATGTTAATGGTAATGGCCGCGGTTTCAATGCTAATGACCTCAGACCTCAGATGACACCCCCTTCTTTGTTGTTCGATAATGGCTAATGGCTAATGGCCCGCCCCAGAAGGGAACACACTTCATGGCCTGTTGACCCGACCAAGGGGTAGTTGGGGTAGAAATTGGGCTTGGGCTCAGGCCTCTTTGGGGTGAAAATGCCCTGACAAATCTACCCAGGCATCCTCCACCTAGGATCCAAGTGTCAAGACAACGATGACTCTAGGCAGACAAGGGACCGGTGGCAATATTGACAAGATGCAGCCGCAATATTAATAATGAACCCGACTCGACCTCAGGTGCATACTCCGTACACAGAGGAACACTGCCAGACGAGTAGGGGGGCCCGCAATTTCTACCCCAATTGACGACCATTTCCAATCCGTCCTCGTCCTCTGAAATGGTCGAGAAGACCAGCTAAGCATACGTGTATATATATGGGTGGCGGGCGAGTTCACTGAAGATATTCACTTGTAAAGAGATTGCTCAATCTTAGAGTCTTCCTTTTCTTTCAATAGTGCAACTTTCACGTCCACATTCGATCGAAAAAGTACATCTCCTGGCATTCATCCTCTGCGGACAAGGCCTCTGAAACTGTCAACAAAGAACAAGAAAATGTCCACGCACACGGTGTTCCGCCTGGCCTCGCGCGACGGCTTCGACGGGCTCAAGGCGTTTCAGGAGCCCATGTCCAGGCCTGGTCGGGGTGAAGTACTCGTCAAGGTGCGCAGCGTAGGGCTAAACTATCGGGATATCGCCATCGCGACGTCAAATTACCCCCTACCGGTCAAAGACCTCGTCGTTCCATGCTCGGACATGGCGGGCGAGGTGGTGCAGGTGGGTGACGACGTCGTGAGTGGCGGCGGCGCCGACGAAGTGGCTGTGGGAGACGCCGTCGTCACACCGGCGAGCTTCGTGTTGCTGTATGGCCCGACCAAGGGTCACCTCGACACGCTGGGCGGAGGCCGGGACGGCGTGCTGCGCGAGTACTTCGTGGTGCCGGCGCATGCCGTCATCAAAATCCCGCAATCGTCGTCCCACAGTCTCACCGACTGGGCGGCCATGACAACCACAGGGGCGACGGTGTGGAATGCATTTTACGGTCATACGCCCTTGAAGCCGGGCCAGACTGTATTGGTGCAAGGTATGTTGCCCCCCACCCCCCGACAACATCCCGGCTTGGGAGATCTCCGACTCACCATCCGTATAGGCACCGGCGGGGTCGCTCTCACAGCGTTGATTTTCGCCAAAGCAGCCGGCGCCACCGTCATTGTCACATCGTCCAGTGACGACAAGTTGGATTATGTCAAGGCCAAGTATGGCGCCGACTTCACCATCAACTACAAGACGCACCCCCGCTGGGCCGCTGAGGTGCAGCGCATTACCAACGGCCGAGGCGCCGACCACGTCGTCGACGTCGGCGGCGCGGGGACCATCGAGCAGAGCCTCGAGGCGGTGGCCTGGGGAGGCATCGTGTCCAACATTGGCTTTTTGGCCGGCGTGCCCGAAGGTCAAATGCCCAACGTAGCTTTAATGACCCTGGTCAAAGGTTCCACGCTCCGCGGCATCTTGAGCGGGTCGAAGCAGCAACTGGAAGAGGCCGTGAGGTTTATGGCCGGGCTCAACGTGCCCATACCCGTGGACAGGACATTCGGCTTCGACCGGGAGGAGATCCTGGCCGCCTTTGAGTACGTCGCTTCCGGCAAGATGATCGGCAAGGTCTGCGTCAATCTGGATTAGATAGGGCTTGTAGACGACATATCGCTCAGGTGCTTGAGCCCGGCGGCAATGAAATCGTCCACGTCGAGAGCGTGGGAAAACTGGAAGATGCGGGCCCAGAGCTGAACCACGGTAGTAGCCATGCGTTGAACGCGCGAGGCGTCGTCGTCCTCGACGACCGCCAGTGTGTCGGATAGAAATGTTTCCTTGATGACTTCGGCAATGATGTGGAGAAGTTTCTGTTCGGCCTGCCGGAGTTTCTCAATGCTGCCGCAAGATCGCACCGTGGCCGCCATCGTCTCCAGCCAGCGTTGGAGTAGTAGGGCGCACTCGAGGCTGCATAACGAGTGCTCAATGGTCCAAAATGGCTGTCGGGCGCGGGTGATCAGCTCAATGCCCAGGCGCACCGGGACCGCGAGGGCGTGCACGGCGTGCAAGACGGCGCGATCGAGGTGTGGCAACCGCTGAGTGGGATAATGCCTATCGTTGCCCACCAGGCACCGCAGGTCTCGCCTGAGTAGACCTCGATTTGGAATTGGACCGTCCGAACTCAACCAGATATAGGCGTGTCGGAGCAAGGAGGCAGCGGTGAACCCGAGCGGGCCCTTGGGCGACAGCGGGTCGAGCGTTGACTCGTGCGTAAGCTCCCAGGATCGCTGCCAAGTGCGCAGGGCCGTCTCTAAGGCCTTGCGGGTCTCGCACCCCAACGAGCTTCCCGTCGAGCCGTGGCGGTCGACGTAGATCTGCTGCAAAAGGCCGTGGATGAGGAGATAGTTGGAGAATGAAGATACACCCGCGTTGGCGTCGCCATCGCAAAGAGACTGGAGCTCGACCTTGAACGGCCGATCGACTTGTTCACCCCCGCCGCCGCACTGGTGCCATTGAATCGCGTTGGTCGCTTTCCACAATTCGGCGGAGCTGGGTAACATGATGCCCACCTCCTGGTTCAAGATCAATGGGGGCGTGTCGAAAGCGATGGTATGCAGGTTGAACAGTACGTACGCGGCGTACAAGGATCTTCGCCTTTCTTCGACCGTGACCCAGGATGACCAGTCCGCCTGCTGCTGCTGCAACGGCGCCGGATCGAGCTCGGAGGTTCCGTTCACTCGCGCCAGCGTGGCCAACTGACCGGCCATGGACAAGGCGTCTGGGAGGATCTTCAGGTCGGACCATGAAGCAAAAGAAATCAGCAATGCGAACGTCTGTATCTTGGCGACATCGATTCGTCTGTCGAGAATTGAATGGTTCTTTCCGGACAGCAAATCAGACGACAACTGCAAGTCCTCACGACGTGTGTTCTCGAACAAGATCGCCTTGGCCATATAGTACAACTCGAAACATTTTGGAGAATCGAACCGAGTCTGTGCACCAAGGGCCGCAGCAGCCAACACCAACTCGACGTCCTTTCGCTCCACCGAGAAGGTGGCAGCGTGGACGAAGGGAAGATGCTCCTGGACACATCTGAAGTAGGCTTCCAGATTCCGGGCCAATGTGTTTCTGGACGGCAAGGCACAGCCGGAGGGGAGGACTTCCGAGTAAGCCTGAACCCGCTGACAAAAGCTTTCGTAGCCAAGACCGGTGATGGACCATGGTACGGGACCGGGGAGGGAGGCCGTGCTCTCAGCCTGATCGTCGTGATTTGGGTCCTCGTCAGCTGTGCTTGCTGCCGTGGCATCCAGCGATGGCAGGCCAGACGTAAACCGAGAGAAACTGCTCGTGAGGGAAGGTTGGGGGTTGCTTCGCAGCGGTGGATCGGCGAGCGACATGTCGGTGTCGAAGAGCATGGCTGGAAGCATGTCATGCGTGATGAAATCGGGATCCCAGAAGAGGTCTGGATCTCCTACACCCAGGTCGGTTGTGTCATGATGGGGGAATGGCTGCACCACCTGGTCCTCCTCCCCTGGTGGCGGTAGAACGGGAGGGCCTGACGGGTGCCACACCCGGATATGGCGCATAAGAAGGTCCCTGCACGGGCGTTAGTAACATGCTCGTAATATTGACTATCGACGACGCGGTTTGTCCGCTGTCTGCTTACCGTCTCGTAAAGGTCTGGCCGCAGTCACAGGGAAACGGCCTCTCTTGCGTGTCTGCAAGGTGTCAGAAGATGAACATAACCGTGTTGTGTAGAAAGCAGAGTCAGAAATGAGTTTGGGTTTCTTACGCCTGCTGCGCTCATGCCTGAGCAAATGTTCCTGCCTCTTGAACTGCCGGCCACAGTGCCGGCATGGCGCAACAACCACTTTGGGTCTGCCGCGAGGCATTGTTTTTCGATGATTGTCGTATCCGGTCAGAAGGCATTGCGGCGTCAAGGCTGGTAGGTGGCCTCAGTAGAACCGGATGAACGCTGGGCAGCCAGGGCCGTGGCTGCATTTAGGTGCGACATTCCTTCACTATACAACTTCAAGAACATGGCCACGTCGCCAGAGTATGGCAGAAATCAGAACCGGGGGGCATGAAGTGATATTGGGGGGTGGATGGTAGGAAGGATGATGATAAAGCATCAAAGCAGACAAGACAAACGGGAACGGAGCAGTACAGGAACCATATTGGGTCTTGGCGCCAAGTCCGGGTATAGTACAGTACTAATACAGATAGGGATACATGTACTACTAAGTACTAGGATGGATCAGTATGCTAGATGCCTCCTCAGGTCTACGCGGGTTGCTGTGGGTTGCATGGCTAATTCACAGCATGTCTTGACCCTCTCAACGGAGCTCTACCATTTGGTGCTTGCCCAAGTCTTTAGCAAAGGTCGGAGCTCTATTGGTCCGCTGAACCCCCTAGCCTGCAGCCTGCTTGCACTCCTTGCTTCAGCCTCGTCCACTCTTCGTCAGCGACTTGGCTCGAATACCATGCCATGCGGCGTGCGCACCTTGAGAGCCAGACAGCCTGCAACTCACGTAATGCTCGTTCAACGAGCCCACAGCCAATGCGTTGGCGCATACGACGCAACAGAGATTCGATCAATTCAATATCCTGGTCGTCGTTGATTGCGCAGCCAAAAACCAACATGGGCCACACGCCAAGAAAACTGCGCGTCCAATTCTTGTGCATGCTCGGCCGGCGAAGGATGCCTGGAGCGCGCACCAGCTGCCAGCTTGTCGGCAGTGGAGCAGGCGGCGGCGAAGGTAGAGCTTGCCGGGGTCGCTTCATCCATGACGGTGCTGCCTTGTGTGGGTCCGAGTGCGAGCGTGGGTGCCACATGCGCAGGTTGGAGATGCGGCAACCATGGCGAGAGTAGACATGCAGGTCCGACTGTATCTCGCCTAGCTCCACCGTCCAGTCCAGCAGTAGAGATGCAGCCAGTGCGTACAAAGCCACCGCTTCGGAATACGGATACCATTGTTGCGTCGTCGATGTTGGCGATTGCTGATGGCCAGATGCGTCGACATCGATCGCCGCCGTTTCCCAGTATTTCATCTCGCTCTTCGATTTCGAACACACCTCAGGACCTGTGTGTGCAGGTGAGCTGCACAAATGGATCACGTCCGGGATCAGTCAATAGAGTGGCAGAGGGATGCCCATCGCGACGGTGGTCATGTTCGTTGTGTGTTCCGGGAGGCGGAGTTGAGTGCGTCTATCAGAGAGGAAGCTATCGATCTAGTTAGCAATAGGGCCGTTGAGTCCCCGTTTCCGAATGTTATGTATTAGACGGTCCTTATTGATATTATCAAAGGAGCCGGCGACGTCTAAAAATAGGGCGCTTATATATTTTCCTTGTCTCGATGCTCTATATACTCTTTCTATAAGCAGGTGGAGAGCTATATCGCATAAGAGGCCTTTACGAGCGCCTAGATGGCCTGCCGGGAGTTTTCAGAGGCTCTCGGCCGCGAAGGCGATCCGTTCTGCGATGATGGATTCTATTGATTTACCTATAGTGCTGAGCAAAGCGATTGGTCGGTAGGCCTTTGGTTAGGAGTAGTTATCTTTACCAGGTTTCTTGAGGGAGACGGTGAGGCTTTCCCGGAAATGTCCTAGGTAGTAGCTATATTGGAGGCTTGCGTTGAAGAGGTGTAGTAGCATTAGTGTGGCTTGTCCCGCGTGGGTCTTGAGTATGTGGTTGGGGATGTTATCCGGGCCTGGAGCCTTGTGGCCCGGGACTTTTTCGAGGGTTCTTCGGACTTCAGTGTGGTTGATTGGTGGTTGGTCTATGCTGGGTTCCTGATAGACCTCTTGTCCCATTTCTTGGTAGAAGTGGAGAAGGTTATTTGTTGGGATGTTATCTCTCCTGATACCTAGGGGTACAGGGAAGAACTTTTTCCAGAGCTGGTGTGCCTTCTCCTCTAGTTTTGTTGCGAATGTGCCATCGTGCCGTTGAAGATGGGGGGTGTATGCTCGGTAGGGGCTCTGGCGGCCTTTTACCCATTTTACGAGTTTCTAAGTCTGTTTTGTGTCCCCTGAGGCTGCGGAGACGGCATCGCAGAATCTCCATCTCTTATAGTACCTCATCTTCCTCTTCTTGGTGTTTGATTGTCGGATTACTTCGGCGCGGTTCTCAGGTGTCTGGTTTCCGTCATACTTCCTCTGGGCCCTTTTGGCGTCCTTGATGGCTTCAGCTACTTCCCTTGGGAGGCCGGGTTGGGTCCATCTTGTGATCTTCTTAACGGGGACAGCCGCGTCGATGGCGAGGGTGAAAGCGTTGGTAATGTTCTGTGTATATTAGTCGATGCCTCTATGGTCTTCTAGTCTAGTGTTAGGTGGTGGTAGATATTCCAGGAGCACCTGTCGAGCGATTTCATGATTGGCATCTTCCCATAGGCGATGTTTGACAATTAGGGCGTCCTCAATATTGATGTTAAAGAGGGTTTCAATTGGGAAGTGGTTAGAGGAGAATTTCAGGCCCCGGCGGAGTCGGCAGCTTAGTGTCTGTTCTGCGAGGCCGGGGCTGGCTAGTATCAGGTCGATCGCGCTCCGGGCCTCGTTGCTGGCGCTGATATATGTTATAGTTCCCGGCTCGACTAGGCTTTCCAGGTTGAAGGTGTCTATTAGGTAGAGTAGGTCGTCTGCCTGGGTGCTGGGGTTGACTGAGGGGCCTCCCCACAGGGGGTGACGGGTATTGAAATCGCCCATAATGAGATAGCTATGATAATCGGATCCTTCGGGCTTAAGGGCAAGGCTGTCCGAGAGTGTTTGCATGACAGAGGTAGAGACAGGGCCTGGTTCCTGATACACACTGTGAATGTCCACGGTGGTATAGAAGAGTACCTTCGTAGGGTCTCACCTATCATAGATCCTCTGGGTGAAGGTGAGTGTTGTGTGGTCTGCTGAATGCCATTTGATCGTCCAATGCCTTGGGGAGATCCTCTTGCTAATGTAGAAGCAGACTCTGGGTCTCTCATTGTCGACTTCTGCTTGCTCCGGGTAGATTGCATGAAAAAGTTGTTTTACTGGGCTGTGAACGTTATTTGGGATTTTCTGGAACAATAGTGGCTCTTGGATTGTAATCTAATCGTATCGTCTTGCCTGTGGGTCGTGTAGGAGAGGGGTGATCACCCCGTGCGTCTGTTTGTTCACGTGGAAAGAGAGTCCTGTGAGGTATTGTTTGCTGCACGAGAGTGGTGCTTGTTTGGGGTCCACCGTTGGTGTCGTTTGATTGCGCTGAGGCGGGCTTGCTTGAGTGTCTTCTAAGGTAGAAGATCCTCCCTGGCTATGGTTCTCGGGGCGTGCCTGAGATTGTAGTCGCCATCTTCGCCTTTTCGTGGGGACTTGAGGGTCGTCCTGTGGTCGCTTCCTGCTTGCTGTTGGCATCTTTTAGTTGGGTACTCTCTTGTTAGGTGCCTTCTAGTTAAGAAGGGTTGGTCGTGTGAGTGTCACCAGGGCAGGGTCTCTCTGGTGTTGGTGATCGGGGAGCGAACGGGTTGAAGATGGTGTTGTCCTCTGGCTGGCTGTTAGGAATAGTGTCGTAAGAGGATTGGGATTCGTCTGAGGAGAGCTGCGACTGCGGTAGTTGCTGGTAGTCCACCAAGATTGTTGACGTCTCTTCCGTTATAGATGGCGACGGAGTAGATGATGGTATTCTTTGGTGAGGGGAGTCAAAACCAAAGGTGGGTGTTGTATGCCGAGCTCCTATTGGTGTGGGTGTTGGTCCCACTTTACCCCACGCCGTGTGTTTGGCTCGTTTAGTTCTCGTCAGTGACGCCTCCTCTGCCTCAATAAGTTTGGCTGTTCTCTTGAATGGACGCTTTCCCGGGGCTCTTTGCAACGTAGGTTTCGGATGGGAGCTATCAGTGCTAGAAGTGTTCTTGGGAGGTCCTCTCCTTGTAGGCTTCCTTGCGGGGGAGTTGGTGTTCTGTCCGTGTAGCGCTGACATTGTGGATTTGATTTGTTCTGCAAGGGGGCGGATCGAGGCTGCCACTGTCTCCTTGATAGCCTTCTGTTTTTCTAGGTCTGTTTGAGTCCTGAAGGTTTCGGCTGGGGTGTTTCCAGAGATGTTTCCAGAGGTGTTTCCAAGGATGTCTCCAGGGGTTTCCAAGGGGGTCGTGAGGGGTAAGGGTTGGGAAGTCTGAATATCATTTTCGGGGTCTAGTGCATGCCCCGAGTCGTGTCGTTCTTCAGTCTCACCTTCCTAAGGGTCCATGGGAGTCCCCTTGAATATCACCTCTGCCTGCGCCTGTTGCCCGTTAGCGGATTCCTGGGTGTCTAAATTAGCCCCCTGGGTGCCTAAATTGGCTCCCTTTATATGTTTTAGTACTAGTTGGAGTGCCTGAGTGGGCTTCGGCTCCGGCCAGTATCTTTTAATGTTCGGGTTGCTATCCAGCATGAGGATTTGCTCTATACGGGCGTGTTCGGCCTGCATGAGGCGGCAATCTCTGGTCTAGGGACTGTGCGGCCCTTTGCAGTTTGCGCATATACGGACGTTTGATAGATAGGTACAGTTCTTGTGGCTATGTCTCGTTCTAGAGCATTTTCTACATCGTTGGGGGGACGTGCATGATGATGCTATGTGACTAAAGCGCCAGTATTCATAGCATTGCCGGACGCGTCTATTGCGAACTCTTATCACGTAGGAGTGTGGTTCCCCGTCGAGGACCAGGCCGTGTTTAATGCATTCGTACGCCTGTCGAGCTTCTAGGAATTCAAGGACAATAGAGGTGATCTCTTTATTGTAGCCGTGTCTGGAGAGCCAGTTAATGTGGCGGATATCTATAATGGTCGTCAGTGTGTTCAGTCTGATAGCATTTTCTGCAATAATGGGTTGGATAATCTGTTGGCTCGCCTCTAGTTTCTAATAGCGCCGAGCGCTTTCGTGCGTATCGTGTTCACGACAATACCGTATGTGTGCTGGTAGATGAATGCCTGTTCCCGGAGGGTTTTGATCCATTCGGCAGCGTAGAGAGCCAGGGCGTTGACATCGTCCTCGGTATGTGCTGTGATCTCTAGGTCGCCGCTTTTTAGTTGTCGTACGGCAGCGATGGTGATCTCGTTGATGGTCTCATTTTTCGATCCTTTTTATTGCCGAGTTTACTCTCCCTGTGATGTGCCCGATCGTGTTCCTTCTGAAGCCGAGGATGACGCCTGGCTCGAGTCTGACCACGAGTGTCCGGGGGTCTCTAAAGTTGGTGCGGTCTTCGACAGGGTGGGAGGAAGACAAGGTAGAGGATCGGTAGGGAGAAGCTGTTTTCGAGGGGCTAGATTGTTGTTGTGCTATACTGAGGAGGGCTCTTTGACGTTCGCCCAGCTCCCGACTCTCTTGTTGAATCACTTTGAGGCGTTCAGTGATCTCTTTGTTGTTATATGTGGTGCAGAACTTGTTCTTGAGTTCCTCGAAACTGTCGAGGAGACGAATGTATATCTCGGCTGGTAGCTTGCGGTTGAGTTGCATGCAGGCCTTCAACTGGGCATTCAAATCCTGGTGAAATTGGTGTAGGTGCTCGTACAATGTGTTTGGGTGCTCACTACTGCTCAACGCGGGGAATTTCCCTTTACTCGCCATCCTGCACTGCCGCGGTGAGTTAACTTGCTCGTAATGGGTATTGAAATGTGCAGAATAGGTTAATGAGTAATCCTAAATTGGAGCGAAGATGGTAGCTGTATGTTCTGATGGTAGATTTCAAAATGTGTGTTCTGTACTTGGGGAGTGGTTTACTGGCCTAAGATCCAAACCCTAATAATTACTTTATCGACACCTGCCCGGATATTTTCCCTATCATCTGCCTCGGGACTCAGTGCCTCTTTTATCCCGGCGATAACAGCCTCGCTTCAGAAATACGGACGTATTGCTTTAAAAACACATTCTCGCTAACAAGATACGTCCTAAAACCAACACCTTAATTATCTTGCACCTAGTGTATTCGTCTACCCTCACCCTTACTACCAGGTGACCCGAGTGGAATATCTTAACGCGAGTTATTTTAAAATTCACGCGTTAAATATTTATAATATTATCTATAGCCCCTAAGGTATTAGAGGGAGATAACGAGAAATCTAGGCGAGTATACTTAAATATAGGTAAAGATTTAAACTTTAGATACCATAAGATATATATATACTTAGCCGCTATTAGACCAGGGGAAAGCGATAAGGTTCACATTAATATACAGAATCAGTAAATAGTCACTAAGTCCTATACCCTTATAGTTACGCTCTAGTTTACGGCTCGAATACTAACGCAAAAAACCACCTGATACAAGACTAATCCACGACTTTGCAAACCTAGATTCATTACAAGAAGCTTCTTATTAAACACGAGATTAATAATCTAGATTAGAATCTTTAGTAGACCTTTCTCCTAGCTAATTACTAAAGCGGTATATAAAATTACTAGGACACTTTCTAACCGGCGGAGGATATATTTTACCCTAGATACCACGCCGTATAGGTTAGCTCGCGAATTACGTATAAAGAGGAATAAAACTAACTAATTATTCTTCCGACCGAATCTATTCACTCTCGGGATTAGAATTAAAGGTATATATACGGCTATAAGCCTTCACGAGAATATATATATTAATATTATCTAGGTAGCTAAGTTCGAATCCCTTAGTAAAAAGACTCTTACGGCGGCGCGCCAGCCTTTACTACTTTAATTTCTTGTTACTTCTGACCTTATTATTTATTTCTATATATTAGTCTTAGGGCTTTTAATCGTTATTTCACCGTAAAGGACGATCAACAAATATAAATCTTCGCTTATTATTGTCACGGTTGCATACCACAGTTAGCAAGTGACAAGAGTGCAACTGTGGGTCACGTGGCACCACGTGACCATAGAGGCTTGGCAGAGACTTGGCCTAGCCTTGCTGCACACGTGACTGCGAGAGAGCCTCATGCTCGTTGCACTCCTCGCAACTCTTCATAAAACTCTCTATCTTAAAATTCATATCATATTTGGCATACACGTTTACTCGTCGCTGTGCTCCGTGATAATTATACTTTTAATAGGATTACGAGTAGGTTAAGTCTAGTAACAAGACTCTATATTATATTAACGGTCTTATACACTCGACTTCGACTTCGACTTCGGCGGTATTAATAGTGCCTTCGAGCCTTCGTATATTATACCTCTCGTATAATAGTCGCTACTCGCCACAGCTTTTCAAATTTCCCACCACAAGTTGTAGAAGAGGAGCATAAAGTAATTACGGCAACCCCTAACCTAAAAGCGTAGTGTGTTACGATCTGAGCCGACACGCCGGGGCGTGTCCCGTGTTGAGCGCCTCAACATCGTAGGGGTCTTGAAAAGAGGGAAACATCAATGCGGAATGAGTGTATTCTACCAGGCACTCCCTGTGGAGTCCTGGTTCAGGCTCCCATGAGCCTAATGCTCAGAGGTAGAGCGAAGTTGACCATGAAGGTCCTAACTGATATCTGGGAAAGGAGCGTGGCTATATAGTCCTGACTTCCTGTTCTGCTCTGTTGTGCTCCGTGTGCTCTGTACTGAGCACACTGATCACACTGATCATGTCACGTGCTTCCGTTCCATATGGTCGTTATACCTTCCTTGTTGGGTAGTTCCTTGTCGTGTCCTCTGCTGGCGGGGGGTTGACCCTAAAGTCAACCTGATTCGTGACATAGTGCTCGGCATTAAGAACACGGGCCCGCGTTAACTAAAGGAAGATCTCGAAAGGATTAACAGTTATCTAAACACCAAGAGCCGTCAAGTCACCTAATATAATCATTCTTATCGTCTAATAACATTCGCGGCTTTCTTAACGAGCTCTACCGGTAATATAGGTACTAAACAAAGCGATAGGGGAAAACGCTTAGTTACGTGATAAAGTCTTAGTATACGCGCTAAATATCGCGCTCCTACGGTGCCTGCGCACTCACACTGTTTACTTAAAGGTCCCTTGCACCCATTATATTCTAATCACTCCCTACCACCCTTAACACGCCTGCTTAAAACGGTTAAACGCATCCTGCTGGACCTTTATTATTTTCTCCCCCACGGTTACAACTTACGTGCAAAATTGGTGTCCTATTTAGCCTAGTAAAAGATGGGTTTTAGATTAAGTCAGAGTCGGTTGGATATTGCACGCCTTACTATAAATAGTTAAGCGTGACACTGCCATTCAGCTTTAATTACAGTATATGAGAAGATAAAGCATACGACAGAATTATCATTTAAAATGGCCTTGGTAAAGGTTTCCGAGGTCGGCTCCTTCTCCAGTGATCCCGGTTTGGCTGGACCCCTTGAGGTTTTGCGCAAGCTCTCTCTGCGGCAAAGACCTAGGCCAGATACAAAAACAATTAGAAGACCTGCGTACTTTAGAAGCCACGTGCATTGTAAACTAAGATTCTTCATTAGCGTTATTAATTTCAAAGCTATAGATTTACAACCAAATCAAATTAATAAGCTATTTGCCACTCCTACGCTGCTCAAGAGAATAAAAGCACGCTCGCTCAGAGGAGGTGGGCGGGGTGGCGGTTCAGGAGGCGAATTCCATAACCAAAACTCCACCAGAGATATACCCAAATGCCACAATATTCTTATAAATAGCGATAACGCTGGTCCGACGCTCGAAAGGAAGCCAAAGAATATTGTCCTTACCCCGACTTACCCATTGCTCTCCAACAGATATAGAAAGTGGGAGGCTTAGTCGAGGAGCATCTTTGCCTGGGGTAGGATATGCGATATATAATGATCCCCTGTTAGTGTGGAAGAATGTACCATCGTCGGAGAACGAAAGGGTGTGGATGACAGTGTCAACCTCGAGCGTCTGCTTTACCTCTCCCGAGCCGGCGTCCCACAGCCTGACCGTGCTGTCATCAGAGGCCGACGCTAGCAGCTTCCCGTCTGGCGAGAAGGCCACGGTATAGACCCGACCTGAGTGGCCCTCGAGTGTCTGCTTTGCCTCTCCCGAGCCGGCGTCCCACAGCCTGACCGTGCTGTCACCAGAGGCCGACGCCAGTAGCTTCCCGTCTGGCGAGAAGGCCACGGCGTAGACCGGATCTGAGTGGCCCTCGAGCGTCTGCTTTGCCTCTCCCGAGCCGGCGTCCCACAGCCTGACCGTGCTGTCA